CTGGACCGCGATAAATTTTGAGCGTGCTCTTTTCAAAACGCAATAGATTTAAAAAATATGAGTTATCGAAAACAATTATTTCAAGAACAAGATCGACTTTTCAAACTGAGAAAAATACTTTTTATTGCTTCAAAAATATTTAGCCTTCTTTCATTAAGCAATGTTTGTTTTTAATTTGTTCATAATAGCTTTGCTGAAAAACTGAAAAAATCTGAAAAACGCTCTCCATAGACAATCAATAGAACTGCAATAAACAACATAATAGAATAAAATTTTGAAACTCAAAATTTGAAGTGCGTTTAACTATAATAAAACATTTTTTAGAAGCAAAAAAGGGTAGACGTATATATTCTTGCAAGGAAAATATTCTGGAGGTCTGAATTCAATACGTAGGTTGTCATCATTAATGTGCAAATGGGCACCATAAATAGAAAATGATTATTTATGTAAAAACGCAACGTTTTTTTCGATTACACTTTCACACGTTTTGAAAACGTAATCTAATGATGAGTAATATCAATACAGACGTATTCTGCAATTCATAAGGACCAGACATTATGAAAAAATAAAAATAATGGGATAATACGGTATTCAAAAGAAGCGAAGAATGCAAATACAAATGAAGTAAAGTGCCTTTGAGAAGCGCTCGTTGGCACATCTAGTTGGAAGATTAGACTAGCTATTGTGGAATAATTCAGAAGGCCAGCTCCTCGCCAACCAGTCTCACGTCGTCATTGTATGCTTTTCTTTTATCTTTGGAGACGCAATGGAGACAGCGTAAAAATTCTTTCACAACTCGTGCAACTTTGATTCTCATGCCCTTCCTTAGCATGAGCTCATTATCATCAACATTCAAAAGGACAAGAAGATGCGAGCAAAATAAAAGTCAATGATGAAAGAAGTCTCACGCTACCAATATTTGCACAATTTCAATTTTTTGTAGTTGATAATCTGTTTGTTTATTTCAAAACTTTGAAACGATTTTTTTGAATTATAACAATAATGATTAAGAAAATTTTAAAATATGGTTCACAAAAAGTGTTTGAATCATTTTTCATATTTCTCGCCAAGACTCCAGTTATGACAGAGAGAATTAAATGACTTTTCTCAAATATATGACTTGATGAACAAAATCCTTATTTTTAAATTTATACTGTATTGAGATTATATGTGTGTTAGACCTTGCTAATAATAATGCAAAAAGTAGATGGCACAAGGAAAGCCAAACGAATCGACGAATGAAAAACAATATGGTAACATTAAAATTCACTTGGAATGAACATACATAATGAGCATGAATTGTGAAAACAGAGCAAAGAAACTGCCGAGTTTCGCAAAAATCTGGGATGATTTTTTTGGGAATTTTTTGGGGAAAATCTTGATTCACAGGTTATTTGCTGTTTGGTATCCTCACAATTGCTTAAGATTCTCATTTTTATTATGGTAATATCTGCCGAAATTAATTCATTGGCTTCATTCATTCATAATTCATTCATAATAGATTATTTAGAACTATAAAAGTTCTTGCACACTATAATGGAGTTTAATGAAAGATACTTAAAGTGAGAATTCTCAAAAAAGATTGAGCCAATCATGAGGAATACTATGCTTTGTTGTGTTTAAATTGAAAAATGCATTCTGCATCTAGTTTGAGAAAAAGAGAAGAGTGCATCGTGGAAAAAATAAGACGGCAAAAACAAATTTTCAAAAAAAAAAAATTGATGCTAACTTCTTTTTATTGTTTCTTGTCGTTAGTCGATAGTCAGCTCATAGAACTACGTCTCATTGTTTTAGGGAAACATGAGATTTTTCTGGAAATGGGAAATAATAATGAGCACATTATGGATCATATTCGCTATTTTCGGAAATTCACACGAAAATGACCAAAATGATTTGGCGTGGGTCACCGAGAAAACATTGGGTTAAGGACTCAACGACTAAATTCTTATGAATGATCTACATGCCAGCTACATGAGAAAACATATATATTCAGCACCAATGGTCTTCATATTGTTCACTTCCGAAGAAAAAATGTAATGTGCAAATGAAAATATGCCTACAATGATGCAGATTTTTCAAAAAAAAAAAGAAAAAAAGCTTGTTAAAAAACTATATATAATTCAAAAAAAAATTACCTAAAAATTACTGTTTGAATGGATATGAAAAAAAAAACATTTGTTTCCAAGTAATCCTGTGTTGTAAGATTCATTTCTTAGAATCTAGAATGAAGATTGCCAGATTTTCTCTTTATAAATTTTTCTTTATACATTCATACTCTTTTTGACACACTTTTCATATTTGCTAATGTATAAAAATAGAATTCTGCAAATTAAGGGGGGGGGAATGAATGTGAGAACACAAGGAAATTTCGAAGAAAATGGATTCGTTTTTCAAGTCAGGAAAAAATCGTTTGCCGTATCAAATGTCAATAGGACAAAGTTTTTTTGCAAATTTTGCAAGTACCACTGAAATCTCAATGGTCCCAATTGCGGTCCATGAAAATACATAAGTTTGAGCTGATTTTAGCTGATGAGCGAACGAGACGATTAGTATTTTCACAAGAAGCTGCAATATTTGCCAAAAAAGAATTTTAATTCTGTTCTATTGCAATAAAAGAATACAATAATCTGTTCATAAATTCCTGAATTTTAAATCAGCAGATCATTCTGAATCTATGATTAGAAGTTGAAAAGAATTGAACGCGAATAAACCTAAAGCTGATACATGAAAAGAAAAACAGCTTGAAAAGGATTATTTGAAGACAATGAAGAAAATTTGATTGATGCATTTCAGAGGCATCGCGAGAAAAATGAAAGCGACGGAAAAATTGCGGTGCATGCACAATGTGTGCCGCAATCTCAATAAGTTGTTCAAACAATTGGAACCAAGGTGGGTCATTTGGATAGTACCGACAAATAAAGAAAAAACCCCTTTTAATCCTATTAGCAATCGCCCTATGGATAATTTAGATAATTAGTGGACTTGCGAAATGAAGAGACACCACACTTTCGCCATTTCTCATTTTCATATGACGGAATGTGTTAGGACCTAACTATTCTATTACAATGTATCTTATTTCAATGAACTAGACGGGAGTAGGCACATCCTTTTCCATATACAGAGATTCGGGAAGCTAAAAAAGAATGATGAAGAATCGAGACAACGCGAGTGATCTGCGATGTGCACTTTTGCTGTGAAAATGACCGATGCATTGTTAAGAGCGTGAATCGCCCGCTTATCACTTTTATTATGCGACCCATGTGAACTTTCGAATCATTCTACGTTTGGCTAGCGTAGCGTAATGCTGTCCAGACATTCTTCGGATATCCAAATTAAAATCCATTCAAACATTACGGAAGTATGTGTTTTCGGAAAATTGTAATGATCTATTTTTGATCTCTGTGGGAACGAAAAATAACGTTGTTTGGATTCGAATTGAAAAAAAGTTGTCAATTAACACATTATGTGTATAGTATAATGAAGACATATGATTTCGATCATTCAATTACTGTATTGATCAAAAGCGTAATTGAAAACTGAATCTGAAATTAAAAATTTTACCCAAATTTTAGAATTACTGGGTTACCGAGTTTTCGATTGTTCATTGTTTTTTTTATGTGCGAAAGATTTATATTTTAACATGACAATTGCTGAAATATGCTATTTTTAATCATAAATAAATTTCAATGAATACCTAATTAAAACAAAATTCTTGATTTAGACAAAGTTGGGTTTTCAAGTGGACTTTTTTTTAAAGGTTTCACGTGGACTTTTAAATCAATGCAGTATTTCAGAAAACACGATGTTAATTAAATTTCAAGAAACATTTGAAGACCGGTGGAAGGCTAAAAAAAGCTATAACAAAAAATTGCAGGAATGTTGAATACTTAAAAAAAAACATAACCCTGAATTTTTGAAAATTTGAGACGTCGAAATTGATTACAAGCTTAAAAATGAATTTCTGTACGCATACTATACTACCGATTTAACGATTGTAGTATAAAGTTAATTCATACAACCTCAATGGGCAAAAGTTTAAATTGAATGATTTTATTGTATGTATTCTAAATTACTTATTATTATTAATCTAATTAATATATTTCATATTTGAATTCAATTTTTTTTTACAAAAACGAAATGATGATATATTTGTCGAATTAGTTTATATTTTTAGCGTTATTGCATTCATACATAAAAATTCTGCGAGATTTATCTTCCAACAAGTCTACAACACATTTTCTTGCGGCGTACGTACTTATCCTGTCTGATCGCGATAGGAACAAAAGAATATAACCAAAAGTTGTTTGAATACCACCCACGATATACATAAGTATTTAGTGAACCGACTATTGTACCAACGTTAATCTTCACCAAATTGCAGAAAAATTCTTAGAAGAAATTAAAACAAATTTTGTTTACATGATTGAAGCAATGCAAGCATTTTTCAAAATTAGGGTTCTTTTTTTTTTAATGATTGGTTTCTAATCTCCATTTCACAATTTCTGAGAAGCCAATAATTTTTTTTTTTGAAAAACTCCCTAGTCAGGGCAAAAAATGAATTCATCGCACATTGGTGCCCTTCTGCTTTGGTGATTCGCAAGAGCAACCGTATTCACAAATTCATTTTTTTTTCATCTGGATTCGTCCTAGGAAGACAATTATTTGTTCCGCGGCCTGCATTTAAAATGAACTATTCTTCCATTGTTTTACATTTCCATTCTAGTTATTTTTCATTGTTAAGATGTGAAATTTTTTTTGCTTTCATTTCATATTTCGATTTAAGCTTGAATCATATAGAGGTTGTATCCCTGCGTTGAATTCATTTCAATTCTCTCTAAAACGATAACACTCATGAAATGCATCAGCTTTATTGCGTTTCTTATGCGATTTTCATCAATTGAGAACATGCCCTCTTGCCGTAGAATAATCTATTTATTCCAATTGAAAATAGCAATATCATCTCATTCTCTACATGCATATCTTTAAACATACATTTTTTTTCATATTTCATAGTTTGGAACACGTTCGAAAATGTTATACACTTCCTTGACTAGATTGTTCCAAGGAAGTACCATGTCGGCATCTTCGATTTTCAAGCCATTTGAAATATACGCAAATGTCAATTCGTTATGCATATCCACTCGAACATTTTGGCCTCCGAAGCCTGAATGACCGAATACCCATTGGTTCTGAAAAAAACGAATATCATATTCACATTTCGAACTTTCTCCATTGTATATAAACAAAAAGAAACGTTTTCAAAAACATAACTCGTTAAATAAAAATTGAAATATCATTAATATTAATTGTTCTGCATTAAGTTATTCCCTAAATCTCCGTCTGGCCCATCATTTTTTTTAACCCGCATCACGTGTGCAATCTCTACCACACTTTCTTCTTTTTCTAAATTGCAGAGTCTTTGCGATATGAAAAGTCAACTTTCGAAACATTCAACCCTTCTGAATAATTCTTTTCCTTTTAAACAAATAGTGATTTTCCGTTAGCCAGTTTTACTATTTCTATTGTTCCATTTATTATGAGTTTCCTTCTATTAACACATTTGTATTCAGAAATTATAGTTGCTGATATATAAAGATTCTATTGTCGGAGTCAAACGACTTGAAAAATAATAATAAAATGATTGGCTATGTACCATGTGACTCGAGGCAGCGAGAAGTACGCGAGACTGTGTACATTGCATTATAGTATATTCAGTCAGCGATAAATTCAAATCTACACTGATTTCGCGAACTTGAAGGGAGCGCTCCCCTTTAGTCGTTTGATGCCAACAATAATTGATCAAAAATTCACATTTGTTTTCGCATTGTCACCAGAATTATGTCATCTGTTAAATACATTCATGATTAATAACTGAATATTCAACTATCAAGGAAAATTATTTTAATTCAACTTTCTCCGAAATATCTAGCCCTTTATTGATGAGGCATTTAAAAAAAAACTGTAGATTTATTATTTTATCCTATTTCTATCCTATATGTATATGGCGATATTATATTTATCCTCTGCCTTTCAAAAAATCAATTACACTTAATTTTTTATTCTATCCCATTATTGATTCTAAATTTGATAGTGACTGAACGAATATTTTGTGTTTTCAAAATCGTCGCACATTTTCATTGTTTACTTTGTGTTTTTGCACTATTGTTTTTCTTCGTTTTTCCACTCAACTCATCTTTAATGAGATGGGCCGATATTTCTTTCTTATATTTCATAGGCACTCAGATTTCTTTTTTTGTTATTCATACTGTGTTATGCGCGAAAATGTTGGTGGTGTAAAGCACGTGTATTTCGTTGGCGTCTCAGAAATTGGCTGTTCGAAACAGATGGGATACGAAATTAATCATTTTGGCACTCGAGTTTTTGACACGCTGTTGAAATCTTCTTCAATTTTCGCTTCAAAATTTTTCATTTTTTTTTTGTATGCATACCAACGGATTTTTGGTGAACTGGAATCCGTATCCTTTCGACTCGGTGTAACCAATTCCATGATCGAAAGCATTTTCTAGGACAGGCTTTTCGAATAATTTGTAAAATTGTGTCGATAGAATTCGTTTTGTCGAGAGCAGAGAATGGAATTTGGCGAGCGCCTTTGCGCTCGATATCCCCATATTGGACGGCATTGGTAGAAGGCGATTTTCAATTAGATTGTACTGAAAATGCGAGTTTTGCGAATACTAATTCATCCCTACATTTATTGTTTCATGTTTTTTGCCCTCTCATGTAAGCGGGACTTTTCATTTTCTCTCGCCAACTTACATCGTCTGTTGTGATCCACGAGAAAATCTCGTAGAGTTTTTGATGATGAATGTTATCACCAGACATGTAGAGTTCATATGCTTTCGGATTGCGTTCTGCTTGCTTTTGAACCATTTTCTCATCCAGTTTTGTGAGAATGGCAACTTTTTCATTATCCTTTCGATTTTTTAGACCAATAGATAAATCTTTGATATCTAAAAATGAAAATTCATCAAAATATAATTATCCATTTTTTTTAGACCCTTTCTTACCATATTTTGCAATAAAATCTTCATCTAATATTTGTGCAATACTTCTTTTCTTTTCATCAATTCTTCGGATGATTTGCTCCAATAAAAGTCTGAAACTCAATCTACGTCTATTTAATTTTTGCAGTCAAATTGAGCAAACCCGAATGTCAAGGCATGGTAGATTATATTTCCCTTTTCTATCATTGGTGTCGCATTTTCAAACATTTTCGAAATTTTCTCGTGATCGAGTATATCCTCGCGTGTTAGTTTTTCATTAAAATATGCGAGACCTGCCTGAAATGTGCTCCTATTATCCTCCGAAAACTCTTTAGTTTTTTTTTTTCACAAACTTGATGTAATGTGGCGTCCAGTATTGTTATTTCCTCTTTTCCGTTGCTGCCAAATTCTGGCCAAAAACTTATAATTTTCGTATCATACGAAATATGATATTTATCCAAAATATATGCTAGTATTACTGAAGATATGCTCTAGAAAAAAGTGTATAATAATATTTTCCGTCAAATCCACATCAAACCTTCGTTGTTGAGAAACACACTGACATCGTCTCATTTTCCCATGGCAGCATCTCATTTACATTACGATATCCGCCATAAATATTGATAAGTAATTCGTTTTTATAATAAACTGCAAATGAAGCACCAGCATGTTCCAAATCGTTCTCGAAATTTTGCCTAAATGTGTTATTCGACATAATGTTTTGGGAAAAATATGTATTCACATATATTTTTCTTCGAAAACGGCCTAATGATAAATGTTGCTTATTTGATATTTCCTTTTATATTTTCTCTTCTCATTTTACAATTGTCATCTTTCTTGACTCATTTTCTCCCATTTTGGTCGTTTGTTTCACAAAATTGATCAAATATTAAAGTAGCACATATGTGATTCCATTAAATGTCAGGTGAAAATCAATTAGATTAAGTTTAATGTGGAATAATTCTAAATGTTGTAAGTCACGAATTTTCTTCTTTTCATGTTCTTTTTGCAATCGCAAAAAAGCGAGGAGATTTTTATATTTTCAACTTTTTTTTAGGTTTATTCGCAGGTTATCCAAGATTTGAGTTGTCTCGTTTTTTTTTTCGTCATACCGCTATTTCCATCATACAGTTACAAAATTTTTTCGAAAAGTTCAAAAGTTTATTCTCGCTAGATAAGCATACAGACTAATTAAGTTTCACCTCTCCCTTCTACGAATTTTCCATGATAAGTTATCTCTATTTGATTATACAAAGAATGTGAAATACCGATTCTGCATCTGTTGCTAATTATCAGTATTGTGTTTCGTATCAATGAAATACTGTAAACTGTCTTATGTAAAATTTAATTTTTTATGGAAAATAAGATGAATTCTTAAATTAAAGGGATTAGGCAGCTTAATCTAGGATAACTGCGAATTTCTTCAATTTCAATTTCCACTTGAGCGAGACTTTGGATAGTTACCTGAATATGTCTGCGACCTTCTTGTAATATGGATGCACTTCTCCTTTGATATGGAACTCATCGAATTCAATTTTCTCGTTTTGAACTCCTGCCATCAAATAGCACTGAAAGTGCGATGATGTTAAAACAGCAGGAAAAATGCGAAGCACACAAAATCGAAAAAAGTGAAATGGGGGGAGGGTGAATTGAAAAGGCAAGGAGAAATAGATTTATGTTAACTAGAAGACACCCCTAAATTATATAAGAAGAAGCCATGATTTATGGGCAGGCGACGGGTTGGCCACATTGAGTGCGAATATGTTATTTTTGTGCTTCTTCTCGAAAGAGTATGATGTTTTGGTTGTGTGCTATAGTTCAATTTAAAATGCACAGAATAATGCATCATCGTTTTTTTCCTCTTTGCATAATGTCTGATTCAAAGTTGGGAGTGAAAAAAAAACATGTTGTGCGTTACAACGAACAAGAAACGTGAAAGCCAAGTGTGACGATTTAACATGCCCCCAAGACGCTATTATTGAATCCTAATCCTGTGAAAACGAGTGGTCCCAACAAAAAAAAACACGACAGGAGTGTTTTTGGCAATCCGAACATTTAAAGTAGTTGGGAGAGGAAGCTTCTGCATAACTTTTGCGTTTTTCATGTAAGCTTGAATGTGCGCAGGATCTCAATACACATGAGATTTGATTCCCGAATTTTTTTTTTCGCGTTGTTCATTTTATAAGGCACGCAAGAAAATAAAGATTGCATAAACAAACAAATCGATAACGGAAACAAAATATGAGCGAAAACAAAATGTTGGGTGGCTAGACATTGTTCATGTATAATCCGATTGCAAAATGATGCACGCGGAACTACTAAACCCAACCACAAACCACCAAATTAAATGAAAAAAAAAGACAACATATTTGTCCACATTAGGAAGTTCTCTAATTACAAACAATGATTGTTTGATCACCAATTTCGAGAAATTTTAATGGGAATTTCAATGAATCATCAGCGGAAGTGATGATAGTCTATTAATGAATTTGTAGGTTCAGGTCTAGCTAGAGGTTTTCTACTTTTAGCGAACTTCCTTAATAATGGATTTTTTGAAGGGTCTCGTAATTTGATATGTCCTCATTTTCCATTATAAATGCATTAGTTTTTCTATATAATCCTTTGAAAAATAATACATTATTGAATTGTCGATGAGGCAAATATGTATATGACACGCATGCGATAAGAAAATAATCTCGGCTAATATGTATATGGAAGGAGAATGATTGACTAGGGGAACACATTGGCAGAAGAACATGTCGTGGTTTTCCACTTCTTTTTGTTCGTAAGATTATAATATCTTATGTGACTAGCACTTGGCGGGCTTGTAATTCATATAAACTAACCAATTTCCAGAATCGTGCCGATATAGATTACGCGACACATTCATTTGCATTTTGCAGACATACATTATATGACTGATTCATTAAATCAATCCACTCTTAACTAATGGATTATATATCCAACGGATTTCGATCGCATTTTTAATATCAGTTTTCCTTTTCATTAGCTCAAAGTTAATCATCTACAACTGATAGTTTCTTTCCACTAGAAAAAACCCTGACGAATACTGGTTGAGATGTAATTTATTGGAAGAATATAAGTCAAAGGTTTAAAGTAAATTACAGAAATATCTCTGAAAACCAATAATAACTTTAAAATCGAAATATTCGGGTATCATATTAACCGCTATATAAGTAAATTAGTTTTATAGTGATGTTAAAAGTAATGTTTGTTTATTTCAATTCTCTTAACAATACCACAATAGTCAATCAACGTATTATTTTAATAAAATACAGCATAAGTTCTAAAAAATCTGAGGGCTATGCATATCTGTTTTACATCAGGTAACTTTTTTCACTTTGAAAAACATTTTTTATAGTTAATAAAATATTCAAAAAATTAAAAAATATGACATCGTAAAAATTAAGCAAATCAGTTTATCGCGTTTTATCGAATAATGACACAATAGAATAAAATTGAACTTGCACTTTCATAAATGCAAAATAGCTTCCGAATAAATTTGACTTGTAACAATTTTTTTCAACGAATATTGCAAAATGTCATAAAAATATTTATTCTTCTCTCTTAATTTTATTTTAACTTCTTGGTAAATTTTTCATTATTATTCCAAACTAAATTATTTATGAATAATCACATATATCTAGCAGAATTCTTAATGCACATTGAGAGATCTAGAATTTCATAAGGATATTATGAGCATAGTTGCAGCTCATTTTCTACATCTGCTTTTAGATTTTCTATAAATGATTCAAATAGTTTCTCAATTGCAAAAGTTGGCATATTATTGAAAAAAAATTGTAGTGTTGAGATCAGTGTAAAATCGAACGATTCCCAGTTCAACATCACATTTTATCAGACAAACGTCGTTTTCTCTTTTATCTGAACATTTCTTTTGATACTCTCGTTTCATGAATGTTTGCGATTGAAAACTATTTTGACCGACATAACCGTTTCATCGCATTTTTATGACACGAACATTTATTTATAAATACGTGCAACGTCTGTGCTCGACACACTTTCATTCACCCCTCACAACCATTGAGTGATATACTTATTCAAATCTCTCCTTAACCTGCGCATTGTATAAACAATCATGTTGTCTTTCCCTCACAAGTACTTTCTTATTAGTAACACAATTCCCTGCTGGCCGCGACGGCCACTTATTTTTCTTCTTCGCCACTGGAGCGCACTTGTCGCACCGCAGCTATTTTTTGTTTGTCGCTGGCTGTGTTCGTCGCATTACTCAAATTTTGGCGTTACTTTTCGATTTAATGCCAGTTTCTCATTGATTTTTCGCCTCAAATAGTTTCTTTTCATTTTCATTTTATTTTTAATCATTCTTTTTTGCAGAACATATTGCGGTCCTTTGAAGAACAAATAAGATGGACGATACAGTCTCAGCAGCGGCAGTTTCTGCTGATAAAAGTGAGAAAATTTGCTAGTGTTTACCGTATAATTATAACAAAATCGCAATTATAGATGTAATGGAGGAAATGCCAACAGTGAACTCGCCGGCAACATCGATTTCTTCATTGTTTAGTGAGCAGCTTGACGGAACTCGCAATTCGCCGTGAGTTTATTCTTTTTCACTTCTATCATGTATTGTACTGATTTCAGAATGGCAACAGGACACGCTTCCCCATCGCTGAACTTTCAACGTCCCGAATTTTTGAACACTAGTGTGCCAGACTCGGAAACATCGAGCCGTTCGTCATACGACGGATTTACTATGAAGGGAACCACCGCAGAAAACATTGAAAAATTCAAACTTCGTAGTAAACGAGAGAAAAGCTCGTCGGGAAGCGATGAAGATGAAGAATGCGGCGATGTTGTACGCAAAATTAGCTCTCTCGTAAGTTTATGATGATTATTATTATTATTAGTATTTGTCGACATTTAGTACAAGAATGATTCATTCGTCACTAGTCATTGTAAAAAATCGTAATGCTGTTTATTATTTTAGAGTGAAGAAAAGTTTGTCGGTAGAGCGATTGATGCTCCACGTGGACGTATTGCCAATATCAGAAGAGAGAGCAATTGCTCGATTGATAGTGAAGCAGCTCATGAAAAAATGGTCAAGGTTTCGCAGCAAGTGTCCAGCGGATTTGACGAATTCAGTCTTGAATCCGAGCGCGGCTCTCCGAGTGCATTAGATTTTCGTCGAAGGACTCCATCGTTCACATGTGTCGGAGAACCAATCAGCGTGGTGACTAATGCTTTCATCCCACATAGTTGCTCGCCGAGTCCAACGCGTTTGCCGGAAGCGTTCAAGCAGTGCTACTCGCCGTCGACACAACAAATCGTACGCCCGAATATCTCATACACTCCGAGTCCACGTGGAAGTCCGTGTCAAAGTCCCACGCGTTATGCGAAGAGCAAAATATTGAAGTATAAAAACGCGGACGAATTGGAGTTTAAAATTTTCATTTCAGCTTCCGTAGTGTCTCACCAATATCCTTCGGCAATCGGCAGCCATTGAAAAGAAAGATAACTGGCATTGAAGCGGATATGGAATGCAAGCGGTCTTTTATTCAACGAAATAACACATCCCCATTAGTCCACGACAAGACGTACCAATCACTGAATTCCTTCAATTCGAACACGGATCATGAATTCGCTAGTCCATCGTAAGTAAATGCTATCCACCTTGTTTGATGCGAACTAATTTAGGGTGCCTCATAGTCCAGCTCCTCAGCCACTCGACTTTGGAAGAAACCTGACTAGCCATGCGGTTAAAGATTCAGAAGACAAGGAAGTGAGATCCGTTTTATTGGAACTATTAGTTATTTAAAGATAATTTATAGAAAACAGTAGATAATAGATAAAATACTTAAATTCTTCATTCAAACTGACTTAATGGAAATTATCTGTTTAGAGTTTCCTCGTCGAAATTTTCAGAACTGCAAATAATGCTTTCTGTAAAAAAAAATGACAACAAACATTCACAAATATTGAAAGAAAATTTTTCAAAATTTTATATCTTATCATGGGAAAATGAAAATATTTGATTTTAATAGTTTTGTGTCGTTCTTCGTCACAAAATGCAGACAAATATTTGAAAAAGATGTTGTTTTCAGCGTAACGAGCAAGATAAGAACGACGTTGATATGGACGATGACGAAGAACAGGCTGAGAAGTTGTTGAAGCGAGCGCTTTCGGTTCCACTTCCGCCGGATAATTTCTAACCGCGAGATTTGCTTTAACACATATCACGTCTATTATAATCGATTGATGCTCAATCAAAACAACTGACGCTTTTTTTATTTATTTGGTTCACACTGATCTCGTCGTGAATTCATCATTATCATCATTTATTTATTGTGTTTTAGCTTCCACAATTTGTTTTACCCGTGACTTCCGATATAGTCATTTCGCATTGTCTTGTTTAGCTTTAACGAGTTCATTTTAACCAAAAACCGATGCTGTCTTCAACGTGTTTTCTGGTTAATTAATAATTGTGACATTTGTACATTTCTCAATGGTTATTTTATCATTCTTGTTTTTTGGCAATGTATTCAATAATTTATTGAATCAAACTGTACAATAAACCAGCAGTGATTGAATCAGTAGTTGTAAGCATGAATGTCATCGCGATCGTCATTTCTTTTGCGACGTAGCAAACCAGTTGTATCATCTGGTGTCTCGTAAGCAAGGATGTACCTAGAAATAGTTGTTTTGGTAGTTCTACGACGCTAGCAGCAACCTTCCATTAATTTCAACTTTGCACACATTGGTTCTCTTGAAGTGAATTCGCTCCGCGTAGTCAGATAATCCAACAATGGTCTCAAACGGAGCACCAAATCTTAAACAAGCATTGCTACAGTGGTTGTTGAAGGGAATTTTGCTTCTGACAACGTTTTCGCTTCGCTACTTCGGGTCGCGCTCAATTGTGCATGACATAACGAAACAATGTTTTTGTTTTTTCTTTTCCAGTGTTGCAACAAGACAAAGGGGTCACTCACGTTTCTTCGCATTTCTCCTGAAGGACATTTGCAACTTTCTGAACATTGCATCGATGGAATGTTCCATTGTTCAGCATGTCCTAAATGTTGAATGACTAATGTTTGTATTCGACAATATTTCAAATAGCAAGGTAATGTTATGGGCCTCACATGTTTTAATTGCCGAAATAATTTTTTGAAAATAATGAAAAGCAACGACATGGATTGAGCATTTTGAATAATTGCTTTGAACTTATGGGAATTCCAATGAAAAATGGCTCGCGCACAAAAAAAAATGAGCGAACCTTTGCGATATCTTCCATGAGATTTTGAAGTGCGGCGTTGCAACACGCAAATCCATGTGAGTTATAGAAACACCCCTTCATTGGAAGATCTCGCTCTGGATAATTGTATTCTGTGTCCGGCTTGCGAGTTACTTTTAGAGTTGTTGTCGTCGAAGGAGTTGTTGTCGTTGTAGGAATCTTGTAAATTATTTAATTAATGAACACTAATGCTTTACCGTGTAAAAATCAGGCGCTTTGCTTGTCAAGAACTGATGAGAAACCGGTGCTTGCTTGATGTACGCCTATTCAAACGAAAATCTGTTCATACATGCTGCTCTTAAAGCTCACGTATTTCGCGTCAACGTATGAAGGATGAGGGCGATAAATATTAGATCGTTGTGAGACCACTTGACCAAAAATACTCAGAGTAGCTAATAGAATGTTGATGGACATTGCGAATTAAGGCGACACGGCTAAACAACTCATTTTATATATGTCGAAAGGATTACGACATAATTATCGGAGTTGAAATCGCATCTTTATGAATGTATTGATCAATCAGACTGGTTTATCCGGCAGAGTTATTACTTCCTTGTTTGTTCAAATTAAGAAGTAGGCGTAATTTGGGAAAACGGTACCTAACAAAAAATCAACAACGAATGGGAAAAAATGACAAATTGACTCGCATATTCCATGAGCGAAATGAAAGAAATTAAAATGAGATGGTAGAAGGACGAGATGAAGTGTTTGATCGAACGCAACCAATGTTGAGACGTTGGTCGAAGCCAACGACACGCATGTACCATCAGGATGAACGAATTTTGCGCCAGCTTTGTGCATTCTGCAAGAAATTTGTGCAATTTTTTCATTTAACTAATTTACCTCTCAAGTTTGCCAAGTGTTCCAGGTAAAATTAAACTATCAAACTGCATTAGAGATGGTTTCATTTTGTAATTATTCCATATCCAATTTGAAATTGTGTGGTAGGGGATATACTCGCACTTAACTGATGCAAATCTTTTAGAACACAATGCTCCCATGACGTTATTGTCGGTGGTGTATTTAATTCTGAATACTTCTTAATTCATATAAGTTATGTGAAAAAAATCTACCTTATTTGAGTAGAAAGCTGATGAAAGAAAAGCGAAGAAGCTTGGGATGATTTCACAAAGAAATTTCCTCCGGCAATCATTTTTGACGATAAAGCCGATTCGCCCTCAACGTCGAGAAACACATTAGTTGACGAATTTAGAGTTACATCTAAAATGAATTTTGTGATCTATTCCGCTTAAAATCAATTATAACCAAGAACATCAAAGAGATTATCTCTCCAATATGTATCCGGCTGCAACATCCAAAACGATTTATTCAGCATGGAGAAGATTGTTGCCAAATTTGCCCGCAACAATTGAAATAGTTGATATTGACAATTGTTGATTGTTGCTGTCTTCTGATTCTCTTCGATGGCGTTGATTGTTGCGATCTTGTGATTCTCGTCGATGATGTTGACGATATGTTTTTCTTGATCGTGATTGTGATCTTGATTTCGATCGTGATCTCGATTTCGTATTTGATCTCGCATATGACTTGGGTGTTTCACTGCTGCTTGATCTTGGCGAGCGGGATGACGAATTTCGGGATTTTGCGTTTGGCCTTGGAGATTTTGTCGTGCTTCTGGCTCGACCTTGGGCCTCCGGCGCGAATGACTGGCAAGTGTTTTCAATGTTTTTGGCGCATTCTCGCATTGTTTTTTGAATGGCCTCAAATAGTTGTTGGTTATGATCCATTAGTAATCCTGTCATTTGTTCCTTTGACTTCATCTTCGATATGCACTTTTTGATGAATCGTAATGAGCAATTGGTGATCCGTGTCATCTTTTCGAAAGAGTTTGTTCGGTTACAATTGTAAATGACTTCATCCGGATCTGGGCAGTAATGTTTGACTGCATTGACGTGAATTTCCTCTTCGCCATCTGGATCACTGATCTGGAACAGCTGGGTATCTTCTGGCCAGGTTTCTTCGTGTTTTGTGATGAATTCTGGGCCATTCCACCACAGCTTATTATCCATTTCTTCCTTTGTGAGTCCTCTGGTTGCATGATCGGCTGGATTCTCATCTGTCCTCACGTAGCCAAATGAAATTTGAACGTTCATTTCTTTCATCTTCTCGGCGTCGTTGCGGATTTGTCGAAGTCGATTGGTGACATAAACTCCTCCTTTTTCTTTTCCTGGAGGTAATTTTATCCAGGCTTTGACGATTTCACTATCGGTGAGAAGATAAGCTTTGTCGACTTTGATATTTCCTTCTATGAGGGCTGATATCGTGGTTATGGTTGATGTGACTCCCATGCATGCTGCTTTGAGCTCTAATTTCGGGATGGTCCATTTTTCCTTGGCTGGCCGAATGCTGGATTTTGCATATATAAGGTGTGATCCTAGAGTATTGACGATGAATGTGCATGAGGCAGTTGCGTGTATGCTGGCATCCGTAAAGGTGATAATTGTATTCGTTCCGCTTTTCAGGATGACGTTCCGTGGAATAGATTTGGTGAAGCCAATTGTCGATTCCATTAGATTATTCCATTTGGTTTCTTGATTGTCGTCTAGTTTGTCATCCCAATCGATGTGCTCTATCCAATTTTTCTGCTGTTCGATTTTTAGTGGCAAGACAAGTGGTGCCATCAGTCCCAGTGGATCGTAAATGCTTCCAATGAGACCGGAAATTGATCGTTTTGACCATTTTTCAGGTGGCTTGACGTCGCACTTGACTTGAAGTTGGTCTGTAGTTGACTTCCATTGAATTCCTAGTATTTTCATGTCTTCTTCAATTGATCGGTCTTTTTCATCAAATATTTCGTTTAGTTTGTTATCATTGCTTCTAAACTCTCTGATGTTCATGCTCATTTCGTTGAACAGATTCTTGATATCGCGATATTTCTTCTCTAGTTCTTCCGGGGATTCTTCATCGGTTGTCACCAGAAGATTGTCAACGTATAGCTGATTGCTGATCTCCTTTGCGATCGCTTGCTGTGAGTGTTCTATGTGGTATTTGATTGTAGCTCCGAGTAGGAATGGTGAACAATTTAGTCCAAAAAGTACGCGTCGAAATCTCAGGATCATGAGATTATCTCCAGATGCTGGTTTTGATGTATCGTGAACCCATAAAACTCTGGTTGCATCTCGATCATCTTCATGAAGGTGAACCGCAAGAAAGGCTTTTTCCACGTCGGAAACGATTGCTGTTTTCCCGGTTCGGAATCGGATGAGAAGTTTCTTTAAATCAGGCAGGATGACGTCTCCTTGGTAAAGTACGTCGTTGAGGCTCAGGTTGTTTCGAAAATGTGAGCTTCCATCAATCACGATTCTGCATTTAGTCGTTGTTTTATGCGGCGTGATGACAGGTTGGTGTGGGTTGTAATGGACGATTTTCGAGATGGGTCCATTTCCCTGATCATTGACCTTTTCGATGATCTGCTTCTCCAATTGATCTTTGAACACTTGATCGATTTGTTGAAGTATGGCTGGTGTGTTCTGTTTCAATACACTGACCAGTCGCTTGTGCGCGATAGCGTAATTTCCGGGAAGTTGATCTGCATCTTTTTTGAACGGTAGACGCACGAAGTATCCCTCTTCTCTCTTTTCGATGGTGGAATTGAACGTTTTCCATACTTCTTCAACTTCTTTCGCTTTTTCTTCTTTTGTGGAACCTGTGAATTCTGCTGATTCGTTGTCAGTCTTCGTCACTTCATTCCATTCGATGGTGTCGTCTCCGGAAATTATAATGTTGCTCCGACTAATTCCGGTTTCGTCTTCGATTGATTGCTTGATTGTCTTGCCTATCACGGTCATCCCAAATTCCGTTTGAATGAGATGCAATCCGGATGGAAGTTTAATCATTGATCCGTTCCAGAATGTTGTCAAATGGTCCATACCAATGATCATGTCTGGTTCTACAGCGGCTAGATTGTGTTCATCCTCGTTGAATTTCGTTTTTAACGTGGCCATGAACAGCTTGTCTTCTTGACTTATATCCGCTTTCCGTATTGTTCCGACGAGTTGTTTTGTGAGCATTGCCTTAATGGTTTCGGTTCCATTTCGAATGAGCATTTTCAATTCCACAATTTCACTCGTATGTTGTGTCAGTTTTTGTTCTCCAAACGTTTGAAGAACGATTTTCGAGGTTCCGAGTTTCGTCAGGTTCCAGCTGTCAGCAAGCTTTTCCGTGCAGAATGTGTTTTCTGCTCCTGAATCGAACATCACTGTTATTTTTTCCCATTGGTCAGTCTTTGGATTGAATGCCATGGCCTTGATGGTTGGTAGAATTCCCGATTGTGGCCTTGGGATAAATTTGATCTCGGACGAGTTTTCTGATTCGCATGGCAATTCCTTCTTGCTTTGAATGGTGGCATGCGTTATATTCGGACTGCGATTAGACGAATGTACCGATCGTCTATTGTTGTTCTGGTTTCCTTGGTTTCCAGAGTTCTGATTGTCGACTTCCGTAGTCTTCAGACACAAATATTGAATGTGATCTCCATTGCATTTCGAGCATTTGATTGAAGTCGGGCATTCGTTCGATTTGTGATTTTTGTAGCATTTCCAGCAACGGTTTTTTCTTCTGAGTGCGTCCCGTTTCTGCGTAATGGATATTGTGCATTCTTTGTTCAGATGATTTCCTTCGCAAAAGACGCACGAAAACGAGCTTCGATGTCGATTATCCACTATTCTGTCTGATTTGGTATCAGTTTCATTACGATATGAATTTTTGGGTTCGTATCGATGGAAATCATGTCGTTGATTTCCCAATTCCTGTCGATATTTTGGTTGTCTTGGCTTCCCTTGGTGATATAGTTCTGGCCTTTCCTGATGTCGATAACTATGACTTTTTTCAGCTTCGTTGGCGCTTTCTGGCATCCATGATTGAAGTTGTTCTTCTTTGTTGATTGTTTTCTCAATCTCGTCCATAATTGCGTCCAGATCCCATGATCTGTCGTCGTTGTCGTAATTCTCGGCACGATCCTCGAAAACTTTTCGTTGGATGGTTCCCGAAAACTTTCTTATAATCATTTCTTTGATTATTCGCGAATTCAAATCTTCGCCATGTTTGCGTAGTTGCTGCGTAATCGCGAATACTTTGTCGAAAAGGTCGCGTTGATGATTCAGCTTTGTTCCTTCTGCTTTTTCGTTCGTCAGCAGTTCGCTGAGTTGGCGAATGGCGGCGTCTTTGTTGTCGTACCTCTTTCTTAGTGCGCTCATTGCCATTTTGTAGTTTTCCTCTCGGAATTCAAATTTCTGAATGACTTTCTTCGCTTGTCCTTGTAAGCTTTGTTGCAGATAGTTGAGCTTTTCCAGGTCGGATATGTTTCTTTTGTCGATAGTCTCTTCAAATATTGTGTAGAAATTCGTCCATTCTGACAGATTTCCAGCAAATTTCGGGATTGGAATAGGTGGCAGTTTGCTTTCTTCTCGTCGTTGTGTAACGTTTGATTCCGATGGCTCTATGCTGGGTTGTTCCAATCTGATTATTGTCTCGATTGTCTTTTCGTCGTCTTCCAGCTGGAACTCCTGGTCCTTTGCTCTTTGGATTACGTCAGTGGCTTTATCGATGAATTCGTCGAGGGTTTTCTGGCCTTGTTCATCACAAGCTACTTGGCGGGTTGCTGTCATAAGCTCTTTAGTTCGCTCTTCGAGGTCGCTCCTATTTTGGATGATGTGTCTCAATCGATTTGAGACTTTTCTGGCTTCTATTTCCGTGATAGGTTGATGACTTTCTTCTTGTTTCTTCAGGACTGATCGCATTTTTTCTGCGTCGATAAGTTGTTGTGCCAGGGAGTTCATTGAGCGTGTGGCTGCCGTCAGGTAATAGCGAAGTTCACTCATTTTTAATGAATGACTGTGTAGTTTTTTGGAAGGACTAACAAATGGATGGATGGCTTGATGGTTTAGGACTCGATTTCGATCAAATCGATGTTCTTTGTGTTGTTAGTATCGTGCAAAGCGTTGAAGTATGAGTTGTGCCACGCGGGTCTTGCAATGTTGAGAAAACGGACCTTCGATTTGTTGTAATTCGAAGATGAAGCTGGATGGCCGTAGTTGTGGTTGAGTCGTTTTCTTTCAGGATGGCTTTTGGTTGTTGACTTGAACTTGTTGGCTTGATATTTCGGCGGCTTGAATTCGTAAGTCGTCGATGCACCAAATTTATTAACCAGTAGGAGATGGACAACCTCAAACTTGGGTAATTAAACCTTATTGTAAAAGAAATAAATTAAAAATAAGTTAAACATGAATTGGACATAAATTGAATATAAGTTGAACAACAACCAACGAAGGGAAAGAAAGTGAAAAAATGGGCGTTGAGGCTCCCTTTTATAGGGGCACACGAATGCAATATAAAGGTTACACTGTGTGCGTAGGTGGCTTTGGTGGCGTGTGGCTTTGGCGGTACAATTTAATAATAGTTTATCAATTTTAAACTTTCAATAATGTGCTTCAGATATTGAATTGTGATGGCGAGGAATGATTTGTGATGGCCTTTAGACTACTTTCCGGTAGTCATTAATGACATAGTTAGCATTGTAAAATACGTGAACCAACCACAGCAGGAAGATCTAATTTGAATATTTCAATCTCTGGCTATTGTTTCTTCAAAGTATCATGCGATTCTTGATCCATGGCGAATATTACGTTATTCGATAGTATTGTTGGATCGTTTAAAGCATACAAATTGCAAAGCCAGTTCATTGTAATATTAAGAGCATGCCTATTAAGCAGAAAAACACCCACGTTGTCCTGAATATGCTCAAATTTCTGAAATTTGAGAACGTTGGCAACCAAAAGTTGGACTTTTAGATGAACCTCAATTAGCTTGGGAAAATTTTGTAACCTTGGTATACTGACATCCATGAAATTTTCATTTAGACATTGCAAAGTATTCGAAGCTTGTTCTCGTTTATGTCCAATTCGAGTTAGAAATGATAAGCATAATAAATAAAGCACATGTCCCACAATGTTCTGAAATTTTACGTTTTGTGTATATAAAAATTATGCATGTGCAAAATCTTTAATTGTTGATGCTTTGAACAGCATTTTTATGTATACACTCAATGTATTAAAGTTGTCAAAAATTAGAAGTTAGGAAATAACTTTTTTATCTTACTTCAAGTATGCGAATAAAGAAGTATCGTCTATTGCATGATAACTATGAAAAAATTTTCGATATTATTTTCATCGCAAGAACCGACCATCGTATTTTTTGGGTGGCAATTCAAGTTTGAATTTAGAAAGTACGAATTAGTGTACTTAATCACTGAAAACAGAATTTAAAAAAAAATCAAACTCATCGTAAATCTACACAGGAAGCTCGCTTTTTGTAAAATTGATTCATCAATTTTTATTTAATTATTCCTATACGTTTGATTTTTCAGAAATCAATAAGGGTTTATTAAAAATTATGCATTATTATTTTCAAAGTTTATAATTCTGTAAGCTGTTCTCCATCAATGTCCATTTTCAACTATGCTCCCCAAAATTTTTGTTCTTAGTTATTAATCCTAGTACTCCTTACAATAATAATTGCAAGAATCGGAAATCAGAATTTTCATTCTGTTAGTGATTTGTTGCTAAGCATATATAAATTGGTTCATAGAATATCAAATGAACTTATATGCATGACAACCGTGGTTCCCAATAACAACACATTATTATATAAATCATCGAGATACAATTATCGGTCTGCAATAATCGTGAAAAAAAAACAAGAAAACGTAATTCTTTGCTCGCAAAAGATCCAAAAAATATAGAGAATCCTAAGAAATTTTTACCTTCATTATACCAAAATAGATGTGTCAATTATTGAATTTATCCATGAAGCGTAGAAAACAACAATATCTGTTGAAATTTGAATCAATAGAAACTAAGTAGCATCAAAAGATGCTTATCGTTGTCGCAGAAGTTGTTATTACCATGCGATATTTCTTGAAAGAAGGCCGTTTCACACACATTCCAAATGGCATACATTCGATAGAAGCAACAATACGATGCGGGCAAAAAACGTAAGAATAATTTATTAATAAATAAACAATTTATGCAATATGAAACTGTTTTGTTCAATTAAAAGTGGGTACGAGTATCATTCGGAATTCAATAAATCTACTTTTTGTTCTTTTTATACCCATAAATTGATAGTTAAACAAATTACAAAAAAAAGAAAACAATTTTATTGTTGAGCACCTCCAACGGACACATCGGAGTCCTTGCGAACCGGACCGGTTCCAGCTAATGATGAGCTATGGAACAGTTTGTACCAGCCAATGAGCGGTTGAGCACCGAGTTCGAGATCATCAAGACGAATTTGCGCGATTCCCATGAATGTCTTCCTTTCCATTCTCCCATAGTCACCAAGCACCGTAATCTGAAATATAAGGCATTGGAAGACTTCGAACATATTTGGTTACTTGTAGCATTTTCTTCTTTGGACTGTCATTGAATATCAAATGCTGCTGGAAAAGCGGTGACGTCGTCTTATTAGCCGCGTTGGTCTTTGCCTTCGCAACGCATTGCTTGCCTTCCATTAAGTATACTTTGACGTACGGCGCTGAATAAGTTTGCAGATTATGTGAACAATGGTGCGCTATTTTTTTTCCAACCTGGACAAATTTTCACACCGGGCTTAACCACGAGATTCTTGGCTCGAATGATCTCCACGTCGATTCCACTGCGCCCAGCCATAATGCCAATTTGAATTTCGCCAAGAACTGGAGATGCAAGAACTTGACGTCCAACAACTTGTCCTGGACCAAGATTATCTACGAATGAACCAAGTGGCCCATCGGCAAGAACGGGGAGCCAACTAAACGTTCAAATTAGGATTTTGATGGATTTTTTTCTGAATTACTTGTCGGAATGGGCCGAATCAGTACTTTCCTTGCTGGCTTGTTTTAGAAATGGAGGGGTTGGCTCAACAAGCCTATCGGATGACATGTTTCCCGGAATTCCAACCTCTTCGGATCTCGCAAATCCAGTACGCTTACCTTCTATAGATAAAGAGTATATTTAAAATAATGAAAATGATACTTACCTGCACCACCAGAGCGACCTGGAATGAATCGAGTCATGAGACTCTTCTTTCGTTCTTTCATTAAAGTGTTAGATGAAGCGTTATTCGATGCAGTTGCGCTATTGGGAACAGACGAAGAACTAGCCATTGATGAAACTTTGGAGACCTCAGTTTTTCTCGATTGCTCTTCGAATGAGGAAGTATTGTCGTTGGAATTTTGAGCCATATTTCGGCGATTGATTGTTCTTAAAATAAAAGAGCGCAACATTAGACGGCGAGAATTTTCGGCTCAAACTAACGTAATCATGGGCATACTATTGCAAGAGTGCACACTCATTGTCTCGCTTCCATCGCTATAGTAACCCTGCTGCGGCATCTGTTGCCGCTGCTGTTGCTGCGTCGCCGTCTGCTGCTTTGGCTGCTGCTGTTGCTGCAATTGTTGCTGCTGCAGTGATGGTGGAAGCGGTAGCTGTGGTTGCTGAGCCTGTGGCGGGCCCTGAATTTGAGCCGGCTGTCCGGGAGCGCCTATTGCCGGAGGTGCCTGAGATGGAGCGCCGAAACGTTGAGTGGAAGGAATTTTATATCTCGAATCTTCATACATTGTATTTTCCCCCGCGTAGTATTGAGAACCATGTGATCCACTGAAAAAAATTAAGTGATGATGTCCAATGACTAGAATGCTACTTTGATCCATGATAGTCGTCTTCTTCAGCTCTCCCACGAAAATATTTCTTATGATCGTACATTTCTTCAGGTCCCACTAAAATAAGTATGGATTAATTTTAAAAGCAATGCGAATGCTAACTATGCATGAGAGCTGTGGCACTTCTTGGTCTCCTGTGTTGTCGGCGATTATATGTTCTTGGCATCATCGAATTTTTGCCGTACCCGTGATCTGACATATATCCCGATTGTCGATTCATTGTCCAATCCGCATAGCCATGCAATTTATCGCGTCGCTGTCGGTCATAGGTGCGACTTTTGCGCACCATTCCAGCAGGTGTTCGCGCCAAATCCATGTCATTCTCCATATCGTCGTCGTCGAGATATTCATCATGTTCATCGTCGCGATCGTGACCACTTCGTCCTACTTCATTGTAATAGTTTGAGTGATCATTATAGTAGTTAAGTTCCGATTGAGGGCGACGATAAGGCGGTACGTGATGGTGCGAGGATTTTCGAAGTTTTAATCTCTGTAATACGATTTTTAATATAAAATTTCCAGATTTGAAGTACAGTTCTCAATGGATTATCATCGTCCATGTCTACTAATGTGCACATCAATGAGTGATTGCCATCCAGTGGAACTGCAGCAAGGTCGATGAGCGTTTCACCAAGGAAACTGTTCGTGCCAAATTTGTCATAGTCCCACACGGTGATCTGAAAATGGATTTGTGTCAGAAATGAGAGAGCACACACGAAAACCTCGAGCACTCTCTGCATTATCATTGGCTCAGTGAGCCCATTGTAATAAAATACTTCATTCCATACGGGCATCAATGTTTCGGCAATGACGGCAGATTGCCTTCGCGATTTCTCGCTTCGATCGGGCAAAAGGAAAAGTTTGACGTAGGGATTCCGGAGTGTGCCGTCTGGCCTCGGTGGTAAATCATGTGCTCTTTCAAGCGCAACAGAAAGCTGCCTGTCATGATGCGAATAGACAAAGGAAACTTCTAAGCGACCAAAGATGTGACCGGTTCCATATGGCTGAGCATTTGGAGCCTCTCTATAGGGCGCAACAGGAGGGACACCAAGGTCGACGTCTGCAAAAGCACCGCTTATAAAAATAAACAACAAAAATATTACCAGGATAGTAATAGCTAGATGTGCTACGATTCCGTGTTGGAAGTGTGTTGGTCTGCGCGAAAACCGCTGATTGTGAATGAGACAATAATTGAGCAGGAATAGTGGGATCAGCAAAAAGTTCTGGGTTGGGTAGTTGTCTTTGAAACTGCTTTGGAGCATAAGGCTTCGCAGGAAACCCAGCAGCATTCTGAGTCAAATTCAGGAAATCGTCACCACCCGGCAAACTGCACCTATTTGGTATAATTATTTGATTATTGTTTATTTCGAACTTACACAGCATTTCTGCTCACAATCAACTCCACTTGCGTGTCATATCGACTGGCTGCTATACTATCGTAAACTTGCTCATAGGTCGCATTTTGCAATGACTGCCCGTTCCATTCAACAACTTCATCTCCGGGTCGTAATCTTCCAATTGTATCAGCAACGCTTCCGGGCTTAACTTGAGTGATGAATGCTCCTAGTTTTCCTGTGTCTGTGCGTCGGCCGCCAACAATTTTAAGACCAAGGTCTCCGTTCGAAGCGCTGTTTTCTGTCCGATGAAGAATCATATGACCTATCAGACGTTTTTGGTCTGCAGATGGCTGCCAGGTGACAGGATGCTGAAAAACAAGAACTTCAGAAGGAACCCAGAACGCGTATAATTTTACTGAAAGAAATGTTCGAATTCTCGACGCTAGTAAATCACCGCCTGGAGCAATACTTGGACCACCGAACTGGTCGTGATGATTTCTTGACGATGGAGAAACTGAGAGTGACTTTTCCCTACGTCTTGGTTGAATTCCTATAAAGAATCATAACGGAATATTTCTATTCATTGCTCTCTCAATTGCAAACCTTTCATGTTGTTGATCGAGTTTTGGTGTTGCTCCATATTCTGCCGATCGCCATAAATGTATCGAAGTAAGTCTAAACGAATGCGAGAATAAAACACTCTGCGCATGCCCGACGCACACAAACCCTTTTCAGAATTGCACTCCTCGGAAAGACGTTGAACACTGGATGAACTTGAATCTTCGTGGTATGTTTTTCCGCCAGCCGCTACCACAGCGGATGTTGACGTTTTCAGCGCAGAGTTGGCAAGGATATCTTCTTCAGATGATGACATCGACCGGAGTTGCCTAAATACTATGTTTTATGTGCAATAAAAAATGTAAAAAGAAACACATTTTATCAATGTGTTTGGAAAAAAAACAATTTTAAGAAAAACAATAAGAAATATCCTAAAGTGAATTTTCTTTTGTCATAAGAGCGTAATAAAATCTACGTGAGAAATTGGAAAAGGTTTTTTTTCAGAACTGAACATTTTTAAGAAGTTCAATACACTCGACACATTTCCATATTTTAATTGCATTCCAAAAATTTTTCGAAAAAGCAAACTTATATGTTCTAAGAAAACAGAAGATGCTGCCAGAACGTCGAGCAGAGTTCTCATTTGAATGTGAGCAGAATGGGAAAACGGCGGCAAAAAGTCAAAAAATGCTAAGTGGTGCAGTAATGGACGTTTTTCTTTTGGTTTTGTGGAGATGAATGGGCGGCTACAGCAGAGCTGCCCACGCGTACAAAAAAACTTAATCAAATTAGGCACGGAAAACGACGACTAATGAATTTCGAAGGATTCCGGAATAGTTGGTTTGTTGACAAACCTGTGAAGTCTATTTCGAACCCGACTCATATGATCATCGGCTGGAGGACACGGTCGAACCTGAGGGATCTGTTGCAATGAGTTATGATTGTTTCGTTCTAAACAAGATGCCGTCATTATAGTGGGAAAAGCTTGAATTGAAATTCTTACGCTTTTTTGATTCAAAATTGGCGGACGTTGAGTAATCGTCTTCGGTAACCCGCATTGCTGTAGAATTTCGTGTCGATTGATCATTCATCTGTGGAGCATCTATTGGCTTTTGATCGATTTCATTTGAATTTTCCGTATAAAATGTAGGTCTGCAAGATGAATAGAGGACTACGGTAGCCAACGTCATTAATCTAGCTCACCTTTGATTAACATCATTTTCCATCACATTTTGACTATGCATCTGCTGTGTGTTGTTCCTCTGAAATTGACAAATGTAAGCGAATGTGTACAGCAGGAATTTGTAGATTAACTGCAGTATGGTGAACGAGAGATGGAAAACAATTTGAGTAATGTTCTTGGTGGGTGTGTTTGACAAAAACGGAAATTACACGACAAAATAAAATTTACATATTAACTTGAGCTTGCCACATGTGGGCACCAGGCGAAATGAAACAACTTTTTTCGACAAGTTTCACTTGTTTTTCCCCGAATGGAAGTTTTGGCAAAAAAAATCATGTGATGGGAAAGGAAAATTAAACACTCTTTACAGTTTTTTTTATTATAGGAATGTTATCATACATATCAAAAATTTATTAAATATGATTTTAGCTATAAAATAATACTTTTTCGGTTACGTAATACTTACTTCTATCGATTGTTGTCGGAACATATTATTTCCACGTCGATTATCATCTGTTCGACAATCGTCGGTTCTACCCATTTCTGAAATTTCCACGTAACTACTTTTTGATGTAAATTTCCTCAAAAATCTTACTTGTTTGTGTCATATTCGAGTTCATATTTGACCCATGATTCTGATTGTGATTTTGCTGTTGATAATTATTGTGATTCTGATTCATTGGCTGATCTTGGTTGTCATGCGGGTATCGGTTGTTCATATTCGTATTCCTCGAAGGTTTCTGTTGAGATTGCTCGTTTTGTCGATTTTGCATTGGCGCACGATTTTGTGGTTGTTGGTTTTGATGTGAGGGTGCCTTTAAAATGTATTCGTTGCTGAATGTGATTTGAATGAATCGCAACACGTAAATCATATCAATTTCTTCACTAATTAGGGTCACTTCCATTAATTTATATTCGTCTCGTGCAGATGTCATGAATGTGAGCATTCCACAAAAAAACAAAGTTTCGAAATGCAGCGGAAATTTTTTTTCAATTGTCGTTAGAAGCAAATTTGACGCTCCATGGAAGAATAATGTGACAGATGGGAAATATTCTTATATGTTTTATAGACTAAATGCTCGTAATGGAAATACCAAATTTCTTGCCAAAAAAAAAGCAAATGCTAAAACAAGGTTGAAATCTAAAAACGAATTTTAATTTGAAGCCTTTGTGATTGAAATACCAAAAATTCATTTACTTCCTAACTATGTTCCTACTTGAAAAAATGTCGAAGTACTTAGCATAACCAATTTTTTTCCATTCGCATTCCAAAATTTCCAGCGATTTAATTAATATGCTTTAAACATACATACACAGAGCATATTATCAAAATTGACGCAACCATGTCTAGGCTTTGAAAGCCAAAGATCGGATTGTCATCATGATTGGTCCTATATATATTTTTTAATTATTTTTGTTTTGCGTTTCCTCATTTCTAATTCAGTTCATTCTGCACCTGTTGCATTGATCCTGCAGAATTTCGAAATTGCTGTTGCTGTTGTTGTTGTTGCTGTGGCGTCACAGATTGCTGATTTGACTGCTTCCGATTGTTCTGCATTTGCAGTTGTGACTGCTGTTGATTCTGTTGAATCTGCGGCTGCGCTTGCTGCTGCTGATGCTGCGGTGCATATTGTTGAGTGTTTTGTTGACGTTGAGGGTGTGCAGTTTGATTTTGAGAATGCCTATAATTCTTAATATAATACCTCTCTGATTAAATTCAACTCAAACATTTGGTCTTGAGAAGCTGATTGTGGTTCTTGATGTGCTGACAATGATGATTGCGATTGGCTATGCGGCGATGGTGACGTCCCACTAGGACCAGAGACACTAATTTTGGGCTGCGAAACGTTGTCTTCGGGTTGAAACCATTTGCCAGTCTTTGCCAAAATTTGCTGACGCTTCTGGCATAGCGAACAAGCCCAAATCGCCTGTAATCCGATAGTTTGATGGCGTCCAAATTTAGCCTTTTCCACGAGAAAAAGTCGAGATGATCAAATTCCACACAAGTTTTTCGCATATTAGAAAAAGACACATTCACCATTTGCCAATATTCTTCATGTTTTATTTTTTTTTCTAGGGAGAATTTTCTCATGTTTACTGAATGTGTGCAATTCCCAAAAGGTTGCTGAGGATTTTTTTGGCGATGCTCTCTGGTATTGATCATTTCAGCCGGAATGCATGTTTTTTTGCGGTTTTGAGACCTTATTCTACATACACACATATTATCTTGAAAATATTTGCGTCGCGTTTCGTTTAATAACGAAACAAAAACCCTTGAAAGAAATCGAACATGAGAAATCTCAAGTACCTTATTCTTGCTCTGCGCTCGTCCTCCACACCTGGCACAACTTCGAAGCTGGCAGTAGAAGCACTTGTGGCCTACAAATTCATAAATAATAAATCTGAAATAGCACCTCTCTATTCCCCATCCGAGTCCTAATTTTGAATCAAATCGAGATAACTTAAATTAAGGAAGATGAGGAAAGAAACAAATTACCGATTCCGTCCGCAAATTTGGTTTTTTGACAAATCTGACAAATCGCATCATCTTGAGTACCAACAAGTTTTCGAGATGTTTCTTTCCTCTCGTTAATCTGTTTGTCGAGCTCGGAAAGCTCTTCCGTCGCTTTTCTGAAAAAAAAAACGACAAATTGCCTGAAATTTTCAGCAGTCCTAAATAATAAGAAATTCAGGTTCTCCCTCATATAGTTTTAATTGAAATGTTGTTTTTCCTTGTCTTTATTAGAAAAAAAATTGAGCACGAGGAACTAATTAGCCTTCTCGAATAAACGATACCGAATATCTAGATTAAATAACACGGAATTGTTCGAGTTTGATTGATTGTGAAAAAGGTTCAAAAATTTCTGGCAAATAATTCATCCAAAAATTGAATTTGAATTATATAAGAGTAAAAATCACTTACTGCGACATTTGTGTTTCCTTAGCTTCTTCATCGCGCTGTCTTTTGAATACCTTGAAATAATTGATAGTAACGAGTTGAAACTCGAAATAATTGGAAACCTGTTCGATGATCTCACGCTCCTCCGCCGATAGATGCGATAGATCCGGCATCAGCGATGGATCATCCATAGCGGTGGCTGTTCATACAATTCGCGTAAAATGATAACGATGAAAATAGAATATATGACGAAATAGCTGGAAAAAAACGAAACGTATATATGTTGGCTTGCAAACAAAAGGGCACGTTCTGAAGAATAGCGGATAATGGCGATAAATGTGAGTAATTGGTTTACATGGACAAAAATATGGAAATGAACTTGCGTATTCTCGCTTTTTCTTCTTGGAACTCGATGTTTTCCAATTTTGTTGCAATCAAATGATGATGAGAATAATGTACGTGTGAGAATTAGAAGATATAAGTGGAAAACACAAAATGGATGAAGAGAGCACAAGTAGGAAAAGGAAACATTCTCAATGGTTTCTATAGTTTTATAAGCAATCGGATGGCAATTTATTGCGGCGGTGCGGGCACCTCGTTTCTATACGAAAATGTGGAGAGCCGAAAAGAGGGGGGGGGTGGAGGAGGTTTTTCGCACACATGAACATGAACACCCCCAATTGCCATTTTTGAGATGTTGAAATGAAAAATGTGAAAGCTCATCGTTGCTTATTTTGCGCCAGTTTTCATTTTTTCGTTTCACTCTACTTCGTCAAAACGCGATTTTTTTTTGATTTTCGCTTTCTTGTTTCCTTTTTTGCTCTCTGCTTGATGGCTCTTGGCGAGCAATTGGCTTGCGCGTATCCTAGGCTTCCGATTGCCAAATGGAATACCTTCTTGAACAATATTTTTCCTCATATATATATATATATATATATATATATATATATATATATATATATATATATATATATATATATATATATATATATATATATATATATATATATATATTCATATGCGTTCATGTCTGTTCCACAGAATAAAATATAGAAAGTGGAACGAAGAATTGAAAAAAAGGATTGCGTCTTCAACTCAATATGGGAGTAAAATAAACGAGAAAGAACATCAGATATGTCTAGAATAGATGAATACTGATAACTAAATGTAGATAAGCGGTCTCTCTCAGCTATAGGTGTATATGGGAAAAGAATAAAACAAGCAAAAAAATGCTATCTCAAATTCATTGAAAAAAAATTAGTCATTCGTCTTTGTTCTATAACTAATTACATGAATTCGCCGAAGCATAAACAAAACCTTGTAAAATTGCCCATATTTATTTTTCTCGACGAAAACGAGACAAAAAAAGTTGTTTCTTTCATTTCTATTTTCAATAAAATAATGTGAATCAAATTTTGTGACGACGTACTGATTATGTCGACCAAAATTCATCTGTGCACCGAAACAAGTGAAAATTTGTGAATAAAAGTATTTTTGAAATGACTAGGTTTTAATAGTATTTCGTGTCATATATTATATTTATTTATTATTTTATTACTGACGAGCTAAAAAAAACGAAAAGCATTTTTATACCCGTCAGTTCTCATGGCGTTTCTTAATAAAATCAATGATCAAATTTAAAGTGTAAACCAAAAACATTAGAAAAAAATTCTGTTTTTGAAAAATGATCAAATTGAATGAAACTATGCGCAGGTAAAAGCATTTTGGGTGATATCAGAATTATTTGCATATTAAATATCTACCAAAAAAAGAACGCCTACGGTATGAATTTCAAATAGGAATATATGGATAATCTCTTGAGAAGTAGTGAGCGAGAGTGTGAGAGGAATAGTTTAGCAAAAAAAACGCACTTTCAAAAATCCGGAAAAAAACGGCTAAATATGAAATATTGCAAACAACTGGTGGATTATCATGGTAATCTTGTTCGAAACAAAATTTTTGTCTGGTTTGAAATCCCGAAATTCATCAAATTCAAAGCTCTACATATGGGGAAATATTATGCCTTTTGAGCCAGAAGCATATCGAAATCTAGTTTAGGCCCTTAAAAATAACATATAAATCTGAATAGACTAAATCTTCTTCTAAAATTCTATTTTCCAACTATAATATAAACAACAAACAATGCATTCTATAAAAACATCGTGGGGTTTCCAAAATGATAGATTAATGAATGGCTTCTCCCAACGGCAATTTTTTTTTTGCCGAACACTTTGCTTTCGTCCCCATGACCTCCGAATTTACTCATTTATCTTATTCGGAAGGAAAACGCCGTCGGACCAATTGGTCATTCGAACCACAGTGAAATAATGCAAATTGAGCACACAACGGATTGGTGCGGCAATTTTTAACCATGGTGCCGGGCAGAAACACAAGAGCATATTAGGTCGGTCGGACTGGATCTGCCAGCGAGAAAAACGATTGTGGTGTTGGCGCCCTCTCGGCAAAGCCCTGAAATGAATTGGAGTAAAAAAATTCTCACGAGCAAGATAAAAGAGCTTCAAGGTTTAGCGTCGTCACAGAGTTCCCCTATTCAAAAGATGTTCTCGAAAGGAGAAAAAAATGTATGCGGAATCGAATCGATGAGAGAATGTGAATATATGCATTCTGTGAAAAATTAAATTAATAATGCAGAAACTGGCAATACAGAACGGTGCAAACACCGGAAAGAGTACGCAAGCTTCTTTTAGAACGCTGAAACACAAAACAACATTTAAACTATTTTTTTGCCAGCTCTAAGGTAATAGCCTAGTATCACGAGGGTATACGCTATAATTAAAGTTATAAAAAATAATTGTTGGGTAGCAAAAGTACCATGCATTCACGTGGCGCCAACTCACCTTATAATTGAATTGAAAAAATAAAATCAAAATGCAAGATTCCGGAACAAAGAAAAGTAATTATTTTGCCTTAGTCATCAGAAACCAAAAAAGAACGTAGCCGGTCGGCAACTCAAAAAAAAAAGAAATGTTGCCGAAAAAATAGTTCATGTTTTACTCCGCCTAATAAATAAATGGGTGCGTCCAAAAGAAAGAGAGGGACAAATTTCGCGTGTATGCGTTTTGTGTGTGTGGCTCCTAGTGCGCTTGCGGGGGTATAGAATATACTAGGGAGCAAACGGAGCTACGACGTGGAGCGAAACAGAAAAACGTTGACAATTAGCAACTCAACGGGACAGCTTATCCAATATTCCCCAAAGTTGACAAACGCTTTGTTCGCATGTTGTATGCCGAACCAAATCCGAGATTATCGCCGAATTCACATTATATCGACGAACGTCAGGTATTCTATATTGGTCTGAATAGACACATACCCATACGGACTAAACAAAGAAAACACAACAAAACAAAACAAAAAAGAACGAGAAGGAAAAAAATGAAATAAAACAAATTCGTTAGACATCGACGTCGACAGCAGAATCGTCGGCGAAAATAACGTTTCTCTTCCTTTTTTCTTACGAGATCCAATCTATACAGGATAAATATGAATGTGGCAGCGATATTTAATGATAAAAATGGAATCAATGTCGACGATTTTTATTTTTGCTGTTTTTACGATTCTGCTCTCACTTCAGCCAAATTTTGAGTAAACCAATTTTCGAGTATACACCAAAGATTTTGGCTCTTGTTCGCTTGGAATTTAATACTAGAATCGAGCCAACAAAATAGTATTGAACTTTGTCCATTTGAGGGGGGTTTGGAAAAAAAGGTGAAAAAAGAACGAGGAAGAAAAAAAGTTTGCAGAGATTTTCAATTGACATCATTTTTTGTGCCAACTATTTTAAGATTAAAATAATTCCATTCTAAGAAGTAAATGAATAATTTTTTCTGAATTTATATATTTCAGCCAGCGATAATAGTCGTTTGGATTTAAGGCATTGCGCTTTAATTTAATTTTCGGATATAATAAATAAGATAAAAATTGAGAAAAAATGACAAAATACAACAACAACAACAACAACATATCATTAGTGGACTTCTAGAAACATATTTTCAAAAAATCGAAATTTGCAACTGAACGAAATATCAAACTTAGGACGAAAAAATCAATTTTTAAACACATATGTTGTGCCAAATCGTTCAAAGAAGTTCTAATTAATTGATTATGCCCGAGAGTTTTTATATGCTTATTACATTTTTCAGCGAAAATAATGATTCATTAGAACATATTTTTCCTATTATTTTCCGAATATGAAACCAAAGCAAATTTGTCAATTTGTTATGCATTAAGAATGAAAAATGAAAGGTTGTTTTCAAAATACAGTGCTCAAATTATTAAAAAAACAAGCTTTTAAACATAACTTTTCACATGACATATCGATATCTCCGAAGTGATTTAATAAAACATTGCGCATAATTGAAGAAGGCCAAATTGTTTTATAACTTCTACGCAGACTCCCCTGTGGAATAATCAGAATACTTCTCAGGAACTACTATGGGGAGGTTAAAAGTGTAGACGGAATAATTGAACCATACAAATACGATGAGACGGTTAAATCTTCGTGGCTAGAATTTTTCATTTAAAATGATAGCTACTTTTTGAATTGATTGTTTAACGTTGATATTTCAGAAAACATCGTTTGAATTGAATGCTTACGTTCTCTAAATATCATTTTCCAATTATGCATAATGAATAACAACAATTCATAAATAACATTTTTAAAATGAACAAAAAAAAAATGAAGAAGTTATGAAAGGAATGACGCATTTTGCGGTCTGCAATTATGCGTAATAGTGCATTACATGCTGTCAAAAAATTTCACAACTATCAGAAAAAAAGTTATGCAATGAAAAACTGGCATAGCTATCTTAGTTGGCTCGCACTGTACAATAAAGTGTTCGCAATTTTTCTGATTTGCAGAAATTGAAGATAACGGAAACATAATCTCGAAAAGTGAACCAAAAAAAGGAGGGGGGAGAAGAAAAGCCATAGACATGACAGAATAACTAATTGCTAGGATTATTCAGCAAAAACGTGAACTTTTTCTTCGTGTCTCGAGCACAAAAAATGCCGGCACTGAACTTGGATTAGACAAATGAACGACTAAAAATAAAAGTGGCAGAACAATTGAAAGACTTACATCAAAAAACATATGAGAAATATTATTTTCACTTCAATGCATTTCAAACGTTTAGTGTGAACGAGAATAAAAAAGTGTTCAAAGGTGGCATTTTCGCATAGAGAATGATAAAAATCTAAACCAAAATTTCAAATATTGTATGATTGTTAGATACGTTCTTTTCTTTTTTTAGCACGATTATTTTTACAAAATTTATATCGCTTCTCATGATCACGACTACAAAAAAATGAAGGGCTTTTCTTAAGCAATTCCGTCAAAGGGTAAAATTACTACAATTCGCATAGCTTAAGAAGCGTCGCGGGAACTAATCGGGATAATCTAGACAAGTCTCATCACATTACATAGCAGAAACTGTTCATTCGCCAAATTAATTTTCAACGAATAAATATGGTATAGTCGTACCCTTTTTAGCATTTTTAGTTTAAAAAAATCTCAAAGAAGGGTGCAAGGCAGGAAATTGCATAATAAATCACTCCTCTGGCATTGATTTTTTTACATATTGAAGGATATACGGATTTTGCATGAAAATTCAATAATTTCGGAGTAAGTGAAAAAATAAAACGATTTACCCATTTTAGTCACACTTGAGATCTCAAGTGGTTTTTTTTCTCTAAAAGTGTCGGACTTCAATTTAAGATTTGAAAATGGGAATATTTCGACAAACAATCGATACCAATAAGATGAATCATTTCAAAATTGCATTATTTATTCGAATATCATAAAAATACGATATGAATATTAAAATTTTAAACTCATAAAATTTACCACATATAAAAAAAGTTCTTCAAAAAAGATTAGATTATCCAATACATTTCAATATTAAACTTAAAAACACGCAAATGAGGAAATTCTTGTGAAAAGTGCAATAAAAGCCCACTTAACGGACGTATAATTAAAGTATTTTTTCGTTTCCGCGATAATTATAATGTTTTTTTTACACTTGCATGATGTGCATTTGAATAATTACGCGGAATTATGCATACGACACAAGTGCAGTTAACAATTAACGAGCTCCTTCGAATGACAAACTCATCTTGTTTTTTTAATTCCCATTCTAATCCAGCTTCTGCAATTGGTCGGGGCTTAGAATGAGATTTCGGAGTGAGTCCGAGCCATCCAATTAGTATGAGGTGCAATATTATAACAAAATAATGGAATAATAAAAAATTGAGCAATTGACTTGGTGTCGAAATAATGAATGAATGAATGAATGAATAAATGGCATGGAAATGAAAACCTGAGCGGAGTGCAATAAATTTTTTGAGACAAACGACGATTTCTTTTTTTTTCCTTCATCCTCCCTGGCCCTGGCTCTTACACGGGAGTTGTTTGTAGGGGAAAGAGGGGGGGGGGAGGTTTGCCTGGCTAACAGCCTGACGTGAGCTCTCATCGATTCCCGACATTTTTGGAAGCATGCGGTCTCACGTATTCATACGCTGTTTCGGGAGTCTGACCAGCCTCAAGGCAACCAAAGACAGGCTAGCCGTCGCCTCTCCACTCTTCACGTCGCGTTTTTGCCTTCGTCGCCTACATTTCGCATTTGCAAGAAGCACAGAAAATGCAGTAGCACGCAGGGCCGAAGGACACAACTAAAAATGGAGGGAGTTGGGTCGACGCGCACTCGCTATTTTTTTCGCTTCCTATCGTGCTCCCACAACTCTATATTCTGTGTTTTCTCATGGATCTTCCGAATTGCTATGCTAGGAGAAGGAGTGTTGATGCGAGGTTGGAGAACATAGAGATTGATGGGAAAGAAAGAAAAAAAAGCTTCTATTCTTTTTAACAATTTTGCTTTTTTTTGCGCTTCACAGCATTTTTGGAAGATGTAAAAAATTTACAGATTGCTTAGAAAGTTTCTTATTTTCCTAGTTATTTTATTTGCTTGTCAAATCTGTTTCAGATTTTTATGTCTAATCTAGTATAAAATTAAATATATAGAACACGTTGTTTTTTTATATTTTTTTTAGTACTACTCTAGCTTTTCGTGAAAGCCATCTTTCGTTTTTTTTTTCGTTCAATTGGTTTTTTTTATTAGTTTTAGAATATGCAAATATCAAAAAGAATAAAACAGACGATCACAGATGAAAATAAATCAAGAATGACAGAAGCCGATGTAAAAAAATGAAAAAAAGCATGTACAAGGAGAAGTGTGAAAAAATTTTTACAAGCAAAAATTAAGGAATTGAAAAAAAAACGTCATGTAAATCAGAGATTAAGAATAATGACATCAAGCCTTTGGACGAAATCGTTGTTACCCACACAAATTCTTTAAGAAAAAATCGCGAGGTTCTTCTTCTCAAGCATCATACATGCAATATATAGAAATCTCGAAATAAGCATCATACTTGAAAGGTCAAACATTCATTCATGCCGAATGAGAGCACCGGAGTCGGCACTACATTCAAACTAATTAATAAGAAGTACGGGCTCCACGTTTTCCGTAGTTTTTATTAAATGATGCCTAATGAAAGGGCCTACTAAAGCGGAAAATCGAAAGAAACTTCACGGGAAATTGATGGGGAGTATGGTAATTGAAATACAGAAGATGAAAAGTGCGAATAGTTGAAAAGCAACCTCAAAAATATAGGGCACTTTTGGTTACTTCAAAATTCGAAGCACACCGCATGCTGCATAATATACTAAAATGTTTAAGTATGTACATATGTATAAAAAATGTTTTATCTTTTCGTTTAATATTTTAAAAAAGTACAATTTTGGTGTCTTATGCCAAGGGAATATATACTCTGAATTGAAAGAGTATAAGAACATTGGGTAAACCCATTACTCCGACGAGACCACATGTCCAAAATGTGCACATTTCTCCCGCATAATTTACCATCTGTAACTAATCATGCGATATCCGCTTACTTGCTTGCCGAAGGAACAACGATGTAGTATTTTTTTGACGTCGATGAAATGGAATAAAACGTGGATATTTTTGCTAGGCAAGACATGTGTGCATATTTAAAAATAATCATAATATGATATATAGAATCAATATTTTCAATTAAGGAAATGAGAGGAGGACAAGCTGGTGTAATATTCCTGATACACATTTTTTACGTTCCAATAATGTATGACGTTCTGAATGTGCTGAAGAGCCCCATAAATTCTCACCGCGTTAAGAAGATGCTATACATTTTTAGATTTCCTTCTCCTTTTTTTCGATGAATTAAGAAAAATTAGGAACTTTTTTCAGGTTGGTTGATATCTACAAAAGTAGTACTTTGGCTACTTTTTAGCTAAACGATTGGATACAGCTTACAACTGCTGAGAAGTATTCAGGAAATGAAATTTTTTTAACTTTGAGTGGAAAACTTAAAAGCCTACTAATTGAGTTACACGCAAATCTAATGCCCAGTTCGAAAAGTGTCTACTTTGAAGTGCGACAACTTCGACATTTCGACACTTTTTTGTACGAAAATTAAATCTAACAAGATTCAAAAACGGAGGAAATTGCATCAGGTGTTGGCGTGTTGGTACCCATAATGCTTTCTGTGAGAAATATTTCTGTTTCGGCCAGTCAAATTCCAATTCCACATTATGATGCGCGTCACCCGTTGTCATTTCTTTTAAATGTTGCCAGACGAATTTTTGTTCAACTAGCATTAGAGTAAAAACGAAATACGATATCCACTTCAAATGATGTTGATGTCTGAAATAGAAAGTGACGCATTTCGAAAGGGTGTCGAATACTTCCAAAAAAGTTGAAAAATGTGTGAAATTAATGAAAAATCTAATCAATATATTTTGCAATTTTTTTCATTTTCAAAGTAAAACACTTTTTACGCTATGCTTCATTCTGACTGCATCCCTGTGTACTTCTTCCGGCTTGCTAGGCCGAATCGAATCCGCTCGGATGAGGAGTATTCGATTCGACCAGCACCTTCATCGCGAGAGGCTCAGTACAGAAGAAGTGAAAATGCAATGAAGAATCTAAGAAGCCCCCAAAAACGCAATAAAGGATGCAGAAAAATAACTCTGGTCAGGTTTTTTTAAGACCACAGTTTTTATTAAATCGCAGCAAGAATGAAATATTTATCACATGCGCCTTTAACCGTAATATTTTCACGATTTTATAGAAATCAATTCTTTTGTTACGGTTTCTTTTTCTAGTATGGTTCAAGACAAACATATATGACAAAATTGCGGATTCTTACTGCAATGAAAAAAACTGTGGTTCTGTATATTTAAAAAAACCAGGCCGTGGACGAGATTTTCGTAGTTTTTTTCCTGACAGGTGCATAGTGTTTTTAATTGTTACTACCAGTTATTTTAGTTTTTCCGAAATCTGCACAGTTTATGAAAAAAAAAGTCTATGTCAAGAAAATCAGAGAAAGTCGAAAAAAAGTAATGCGACTTTAATCTTGCATCATTTGAACTTTGGACTATGAGGAGGATAAATGTTTTCTTTAAGAAATGATGATATTACATGGAACTTGACATATACAAAATACTATTCAAAACATTTCAATTTCGAGATATTGTTAGAAACAAAATTGTGATAAAATGATGAAATATTAGTTTATCAGAATTTTGAATGATTTTGGTTAAGTGAACAAATTGAAATGAAAAAAAAATATTAATTAAAAAATTGATAAAGCAATTTTTGTTATAAAAAGAGGTGAAATGAGAATGCTGCTTAATATGCATTCTGTTGACTATCAAATATGCCAGAATTAAGTGATCCAGGTCGCAACGCCCACATTTTCAAATGAGGAAGTCGCGCAATGTTTCGATTGCATTGCACATCCATCTACCGGATGATAATTAGCGCCCTCAGATACCCAATTAAAATTTATTCACATTTGCATTCGAGTAATTTGCAAGAAACGAAATTTCGGAACCCAAAATTCATGAATAAATTATTTAATACAAAAAATAATGAGTACAAATAATTTAAAGTTCCTTCATGCATGGTGGGCAAGTTCCATATGGTGGCGATGGTCCTCCAGCATTTTTCGCGCAGACAAATTGTTCGGTGTTATCGCAATACTCGGATAGCCATCTTCCATCAGAAAAACGGATTTTCAGGCAATATTTATCAATTTGGTTATCTCCTGTAATATATATGTGAAAGCCTTGGTGAAATAGTTGGCAAATTACCCGGAACCCAATTAGTGTAATTAAGTGGACTGCCATCAATCCAGTGCCATTGGGCGGTGTTGTTTTCGCGATATGCTCCAGCCCAGTAGAATCCGTATGAATCTTCCAAGTTATCAGTAGCAAAGTCTAAATATTCGAATTCATTTCTGATTATATCTGAAAATACCTGTTACTGCGTTGTTTTGGATATTGTTAATTATTTTCACTAAATGATATCCATACATCTCACAAATTCTCTCTGCATTTCTAAATGTGGCAAACGCGGTGAAGAATGAATAGCATCTTTAAAAAATCATTCAAAGTTTAAAATAGATTAATGAAAAACAAAATCAAACTTACTGGTCTTGAAACAAAATATCTCTAGGAGGACAGGACTGATTATCAGCATAAACGAAAGCGGCAAGTATCAAGAAACACGGAACGGTTGAGAAGCGCATTGTATGTGAGAGTTTGGCATGTAGCAGCATATCACCTTCATATTTTATAGAAAACTTCTATGCTGATAAACATTTTTGGAATATTCAATGTAGATTAGATAAGTTAACACCAATTCGTTTATTTCAATATAAACTACCATAATTCTATATAACTCTTTTATTTGTTATAATCAAAACTTGTTAATTTTCTTGTCGTTGCGTCGATTGTTGCGATTTGGCTATGAAAAACATCATTTATTTCGTTTGTCATTCATTTGCTTTTCTTTATTTGCCACATTCTTAAAATGATAAAGGGTAACGCCCTTGGAGATTTATTTTTGATTCACTCCCTTTTTGATAAATATTTTAATCTTTCTTATCGATAAGGAGAATCATACGTTGCACCACCTTGCCGCTAAATCCTTTATTAAAATTAAATACAGCAAACCGAATGAAACATATTTAAATATCGATTGGTGCAAGGGTAAATGATATGGGACAGACCGGAGAAATTACAGATGTCCATTTCAAACTAATGAAAAGCTCGAGAGCATCACAAATTGAAGAAATGATCAACTCGTTAGAAATAGCAGCTAAATGGAGAATATAATTGAACAAATATTTGCAAAATGTTCTCGAATGTTCCAATGCAAATTTCGGGGATTGTGGTAATTTATGTTCGGGAGCAACTTGGACCGGGTATGTTTCCATCATCATAGCTGTATCTGCTACTGCTACCTGCTACAATAGTCTTGGAATCGTCGTCAAGTTCTGCGCTTGAATCGCCATCTTCTTTCTCTTCAACAATCGATCCACAAACCGAGATTTTCTTTCTATTGTAGTATTTGTCATCATCACGTCGGAAACTATAAAAGGCAATATTTATGATTCCTCCATAATTACAAATTAAATCTACCTTGAAGTGAAATGACGAGTAGCTTGTCTCCACCTACTTTCCGTTCCAGATTTGTTCTCAGGATACTTTTTGGCAGGTTGACCAGTCATGAGTTCACACGGGCCATAGTCAACTGAAACAATTATTTAATTAAACTCGTCACCATTTCTAATTTGAATATTTAGCTTTATTAAAAATTCCATTAATTCGTTTTGTAGCATGAATATCCAAGTGGCGTTTGAAAAACCACTATTCCATTTTTTTTTATTCTCCACGAATAGTTGCTCACTTGACTTTTGAAACATCCTTCCTATTATTCAACTTACTTCCTCTCTTTGCAATTTTAAGATCGCGAAGAAGTTTATCACTCGGGCGATTTCCATAATAAAGTTCTTCTTCCTTTGTTTGCGGCTTTTTTGGTCTTGGATAATCAGAACGGTGTCTTCCAGAAGATTCAGTCGCTGGTGGTTGGCTTTGTTGTTTCAGGGGTCTATAATAAAATCGAAAATTGTTTCTGCTTCTATACAAACGAATACTTCGAGATTTCCGTTTTTGTAAGAGATGGGCACGCTGATTTGCCATCTGACGGGTTGCCAAAGTCAATCTCAACGTGGTGATCATCATCATTTTTGTTGCATTTTTTCGATGGACTCCCACGACCTGATTCGAAGCTACCGGTTCTATTTCGCGAGTTGTCATTTGACGTCAGATGAATGTTCCCGGATGACGACGGCGATGCGGAGGATGAGTTTGAAACACCAGAGGCGGAATTGTTATTTGGTGACGAGGAACGTCCAACAAATGGAAGAGGTTTTTTGACAAGACGGCGGAAATCATTCAACCCTATTTGATTGAAGTTGAAACTAAAAAATAAGCTAATAGTTTGTTGTAATAATCGTAGTAATACTTGAAAAAGCTTTTGCTTCCCAAAGAAAATGCTCGTTTCCTAGGATCCTCAACAGTAAGGCTAGAGGTGTTTCCAGTAGAACTAGAAGGAAGATTTTCAGAACTTGATTCTTTTTTCTGTTCATCTTGCGCTTGCTTCTTTTCCTCTTTCTTCTCTTTCTTATCGCGCCATAGAACACTTGAAAACAATGATTTTTTTGGTTTCTCTACAGTTTCCGTCTTTCCGCCAAACGAGTTCGCTCTGAAGATATTGTAATTCGACGTAGGGTTTTGTTTTTCAATGTTTATACCGTGGTGCTGCGTTGGCCGCTGCAAGAGCCAAATTTCTTGGTGATGGTTGAAATCTCAACTGAAGGGCTTCGCGATCCCGCTGTGTCGGGAAATGCATTCTATATTTCTCGGCAACTGCCGCCCGATTACCACTACGTCGATCGCTTGAATCTGCAAAAAAACTACGACCGTGCTATCAAGTAAATGGAAAGCTCATTAGGCTGTTCAATTCAATATTAAATTTCTCGATTCTCTTATTATCGGTTTGTATCGTGAGCTTGTTCATTTCAATTTCTGCTTTCTTTTTCAGTCACCGCAAATCTAATTAATTTTTGATGAGAAAAGTCGGCAGATGAAAATTGCATTCACTCATACATCTGGTAGCCTTTCAATATGTTATGTCGTCCCGCATATTAATTTCCGTCTACGCAGCCAATTTTGCAACTACCTACTCCTTCACATTTTCTCTCTCTTATCAATATGTTTTTTTTGAATATTGATTAAACTTTTTGCAAAATGTGTCGTAACTTTTAAATTTCTTTTCTTTTTATAGACAAAACTCCCGTAATAGACCAGAAAATTGACACTTATGAATTAATATTATTTTTATTTTCTATAACCATGCCAATTATTTTAAGATTCAAACTAAACACTTCTCTCCAGCACAAATCTTTTAACAGCCTCGCCAACTTTAAACCAACCAAATAATGGGAAAATGTTACACAAAATGTGGGAAAGATAGGTTTGAGTGAGCTTTAAGTTTGCATACGTGCTTCTCTTCTAGTTATCTCGCTTTCTTTCTTTTATTTTGTGTGTTTCTTACATTGTAAAAGAAGTGGATTTGGAGTCAAATTCCAATCGCTCGGCTCCATTGGCGAGTATGTATCGTCATTGCGAATACTCGACATCTTTCTCAGTGCTCCCTCCTAAAATTAATTAAGCGTTTTGTTTTTCTTATTCAGCGTTGTTCCTACTCGCAAATAGTCGTCGGAAAAATTCATTCCTAAAGTAGTTGCCAAATACGTTTCGAATGGTGGTGAGTTTGAACGTCTCCGTCTAGACACCGGTGGTGGAGCTTCTTCTTCCTCTTCCTTCTTCTTCTTTTTTCTTGAAAACAAATTATTTTTATTCAACATGTTTTTTTTTTGCAATTTCCAACTTTGATCCTTTTTCTGGCTTCTTTTTCTTTTCCTTTTCTGCTTTTGGTGGTTCAAACATGGGAACAACGTGCTTGCGGCTTGATGATCCCGCCTCATTAACAGACGCTGTCGAATTTTTCTTATATCTCAATGGATCCTTCATTAGTGGATGATCGGTTAGTCGGAATTGATGCGATGCGCGGCGAGACCTTAAAATTGTTTTATATTATTTGTATAATCTCGTCTGTCTAGTTCACAGTGACAATATGGATTATTAATAGTGGGACATCATACAACCCAGTGTAGTGAGATCTGCTTAACGTGCATGTGATGAAATATTCATTGTGTTATCAATATCACCTATGAGAAGTAGAATCACAACTTTCATATATATATATATATATATATAATTTTTTTTTCAATTTTGACCTATCAGGTAAAACGCCGCCAACGGGAACCGCACCAACTGAATGAACTGATCCACGCGGTTGATCTAATCTGTACATGCCCAAGTAGAGTTTCTCAACAGTCAAATATCCATTTTCGATTTACCTCGAGAGATGATCTACATGAAAACTGCCCAATGAACCTCGGGGTTGTGTGCCGAATGGCGATGACGGCGCGGATTCGTCAAACTCCAAAGAGTTTGCAAATGAAAGGCAATCGCGCAATAACTTGCGACGCTCTTTTGCAGTTAGTAAAGGTGTCGAATCAAGGGAAAGCTTATTACGATGGTGAGCATGTGGTGACGGAACTGAGAGCGACTCCATATTGGGTTGCGGAGTCTCACTGAATTAAAATCAAACATGAAGCGTTATTTCATAGGATTTTCCAGTTATAAGGTTTTGTAGCTTTAATATATTATAGACTGGTTTTATAATATATAGTTCCTGTAAATTGTTATTAGTTCTATTGTTGTTGTTTTTTAAGTACTCTTTTTTTGGAAAATCACACACTCGATTCAAATTTCGGAAAAATTGTTAGTTCTAAATAGCGAGTTTCATTAATTCTTGAAAATCTGAACCGAGTGAATGCATTCAAACCATTTTCTTACCTATGTGGTCCATCTTGATGACCTTTATCGCAACAGTCTTCTCTAGGACCTTCTCTTTCCTTTCCAGCCTCTATAGCTTTTACTCTGAAATGATTTAAGGTTTTTCATAAATTTTTTAATAGGATTTCTCTTACGCTTCGGGTGGTCTTTCAAGGATAATCCGTTTGCCAGCCTCTCTTTCGATTATCGTTCTCATTGTGGCGTGAATTGCTTGAGCTGTCTCAAAAGAGTCACACAAAACTAGCAATTCAGTTCCGCCAATTGCGATCCCTTTACCCAGACGCAAGTAAAAGTATTTCTCTTGTACTCCAAAGTAAGCGATGAGTGGACGCTAGAACACTTATTATTTTTATATATTTATATTTTAATCAGTAAACCGGAAATTCAACAAACGCTTCCGCACGAAATGGTGGAAATCCAGAATCTGGGCATCCCGTTTTCACTGGTTCAATTTCTCGGTCTGCTAGAACGACTGTATGCGAATAGAAACACAACCTTTATTTGATTAACTTTTGAGTTTTTATTTGTGCGAATGACTACCTTCTGATTCCACAAAGATTCATTGATTCGCAAATATTAACATAACCATCTTCCATTCGAGTTTTCTTATATGCCTTTGCATTTTTCATATGAGCAACGACCTCGACATCATAACATGCTTCTGTAAGATGTTATGTTTATATTGCACAATGTTTTGTTTATGCACCAAAAATTTCATAGGCAGCACAAGGTCGTCCGATTCTCAATTGCCGGGATAACAAAAGACAGTTTAATATTGCGTCATACCAATTTTTAAGCTAAAATTTGTGTATTGCCACGTTTCAGCACTGATTAAATGTTACCATTAAATCATTTTCAGGACGCATGACCACGGTATCATCTGGACCCATAACACAGAGACATCTTTTCAGTTTGCTATCGTACTGCAAAAAATTAAATTACCAAAGCGTTACAGGTAAACAATTACGTGATTCATGTGAACGTTGAAAGCAGTGGCAAGATCGACGATGTGTTTTGCACATGAGCCCTTCCGAAAAGATTTTTCGCTATCATAAACCTCAAGCGCACGCTTTGACAAAACGACAAAGTAAGTTCTTTTCTTTTTCTAAAATTATTTTTTTCTATTGCATATTTGAGTCAATTAAAAATACCACTGGGGCGACACCCATAACCATTGTAACTCCAATGATTCCTCCAAATGGAAGATCTTCCATCGTGACGTCTTTGAGTCCGGTAGCTGGATCTTCGCGTATAACATTTTCTAGAACATATGGATCACGGTGATCTTCTTCTTCTTCTTTTTCAACTGAAATTATTTATGAGAAACTGTCTGGCGGATTGTTCAACAAGTTATTGAGTTCTCAAAACAAAATTTCATAACCCACAATTTTTTATTAAATTTCCATGATATTAGAATAAATTAGAATCCACAAACCATTAAAAAGCCGCAAAAACCGTCTCAGCATCCAGGAATTAGTCCAAAGCAAGTCGCGAAATATTTTGTCTCACGTGGCTGCGGATTTTGCGGTCATTGTTTTTGCGCACCGCGCTTTTCTCAAATTACACAGTATTTTCGCAACGACGTTTTTAAATAACGCGTCCATCTCCATGCGAAATTACTTTTTTTTTCTTATCAATATCCGTTAATTCTATATAATCCTCTTTTCCTAAAATCAATCACTCAATGAACACTATTCGGTAAGGCAGATTTTAGCCATTTATTTCTTTTCCAGTATTCCATATTTGATGTGATTTTTCATTCGATATAGCGAATCTTATTGCCACAGTTAAAATAAAGTATACTGCAGGTAGTATGGAATTTTTGCAACTTCTTTCTTATTTATATCATTTGAAAAATGTTCGCGATTACTGTGAGCAGTTCCTATTGAATCACTTCTTGTTCCATTCGGAAGTGAATCTAATAATAATATATTTAAACTTTTGTTTCTATTCTAACTTTGAATTTCCATTGAATGTTATGAGAGCAACAAAAAACAATAAATAATCGTATCGGCACTGCCAGAAACAAAAATTCATTTCATTTATCAGTAAGAAATTTACATTTATAAACAAGTTTCGATATATTAATCCGATATTTTCTTAATTTCAGACATACCTTTCGGTTTGGTTGGCTTTTCACCAACATCCCCTACTTTCTCATCTGTGGTGTTTTCATTTGTGGTTGTTTCATTTGTAGTCGATTCATTTGTCGTGGCCTCATTTGTAGTGGCCTTCTCTGTGCTGGTCTCATTTGTGCTGGTCTCATTGGATGGCTCGGACGCCTCAGCGGGCGCTGGCTCCGATGATCCCGAACTCGACACTGTCGTTTCGGGTGCTGCAGATTTTGCAGCTGTAGACGACGCACTGTAAATTAGAAACATTCATAAAAGTAATGAGTTGAAATGTGTAGCATGAAAGGTAATTAAATGAATTGAAAAAGTCCAAGAATAGCGCTAGAGAATAGGGTTCTCAGAAAAATACAAGAGAATGACTTGCTTTTCTTCATAAATATAATGAAAGTTAATCAAGGAGAAAAACTCATATACGAGATGACATTGGAGTATAATGCTCACTTCTTCATTCTCTGAAATAATGTGACAAATAATAAATAGTGGGATTAGATGATGAGAAATCAAATGAAGTATTTCTCAAATAGAATCTTGCTACAACATAACGAAGCCAATTGCGATGTTTTAAGAAAATATTTGAAAAGATTCGTCACATTAAATAAAAGATTTTGAATTCTGATTTGTTTTGCTTCTAGATACAACTGTAAAAAATTAACTAAAGTTGCTCCGAAAAAAACAATAATCAGATTTGATAGGAACCACGTAAATATAATTATATGAAGGGAAGTTGAAAAAAAAATAAATATGTGACCCATTTTCATTTATTGCCGTGAAGTTTTTTGTGCGTTCTTGCTGTTTTGTATGTATCTCTCAATTTTTCCGCAAAAACATCGAGAAAAATTCTCTCGGAAGCCCTTTTTTTTAAGCAGCAAATTAGTGTGGAACGTCGAAAATTAAATGAATAAAACGAATAAGCAATACAGCGCGCGAGTATATGAATAGATAGAGTAAACAAAAAAAGGTATTGAAATGGTTTCTGATCATATTTTATGAAGAGGGCAAATGGGAATGAGAAAAGATTGAGAAAGAGAAAGAGGAACAACGTCATGTTTGATGTAACTTGCGTAAACAAAACTCCAGAACAACACCCCAGAAACATAAAGGATGAAGATCCGACAAAAAAATGTGCAGTTCGTATTCGTAAACATCCACATATGCGCAATTTAAGAGGAAGGGCCCCCCACAAAGCGGCGAAAAAAACGCACAGAGAAAGAATTGTAGGAAACAGTGTCGCATGGGGGGGGAGAACAAAACACTGAAAAAAATATAGTGTGGAGGTGGGAAAATAGCGGCGCGAAACAAGAGTTTGGTGACAAACAGAATACGTAAGTTCTCTGCGTCTAGGCGATTCCACGTTCGAAAACGCGGTCAATAAGCGGTATGATGAGAGAAAATTTTTGGCGAGAGGCCAGTGTGTAGAAATGCCCTCATGTTTTCATTTTATTCCGGATTTGTGTATGACTTATTGGCTTCATTTATCATTGCACGATTCTTACTTAGTTATATTCTTTTTTTCAAGAAATAATGTGAAATACTGAATTCTCCAAATGTTAATACTAAGCTTAATTTGAGATTATCTCTTCGTGTTTTGCCAATGTTGAAAATTTATCCAGATAATATTCGCGTTTTTCAAGATATTGTAAAATCAATTTTTTTCTTTAATGACTCAACAACGGATTACAAGTTTAACGCAATGATTCTGTTGAATCGAATATAGAGTTATTAATGTAAGACTATCAAACGATGTATAATTGATTGATAAACATACCGGACTTTAGGCTTGATTATAAGTCTGCCTGTTGGTAACAGTATGTTGCAATAATTATATCAGTAGTACAAAAACGCGGTGAAAAGGTAATTCGTTTTAAATTTTATTTCAATATTTCAATAAATTTCTAATTTGATATGATAAACGAAAGAAACCAATAATAATTGGCGTAGTTCTAAGACTTTTAAACAAAAAGTGAGTGTGGATCATACAGTGACCTTGCGCAAGTCCGCAAACACAGTCATCGTGCTGCGGTACTGTTTTAAAACATTCCAAATAAAGGCACCTTGGCGTGGGTTTCAATGCGATTAAATGAAACTCACTAACATTTTCTTCATATTTTTTGGCTTAAATAGAGGAAGCGGAAATTTCGGACAAACTTAGAAAATTGAATAACAAATTTATGTTTGTGGATTTGTTTGGAATACGTGACACCATTTTCTTATATTATGCATGCATCGAAAACATGCTTACATTTTTCTAGAATGCATAATTTATGGTAATTTTCGAAGAAAATTTTTTTCGGTTTGTTTTATGGTTTATGATTCTTGGACACGTGGGAATCAAGTATCACCTAAAATGCTTAACTTAAAACTCCAAAGAGTTTAGCATGCATCGATGTTAGAATATTATAAATATTTTTAGAAAAATTTAATAACCCTTAGCGAGGGACTTAATTAAGAGGACTCGTGACAGTGCCAAACAACATGGCTCATAAAACATTTGCTTTAAAATTTTACCAACAAAAGTTGTTTGCTGCATAAATTGGACGACGAAGTGTATTGAATTTAGAAAAAAATGCAAAAATGTTTCGCTGAACAAACAACATATCTTTTTTACGTCACTAGGAATTTCAAAAAATTCGATGGAAGCTTATAAAAGAAGTTTTGAATTAGATTTGTTGCATAATTCTAATCTTAGTTAGAAATTGTATTGAAATATGAAGAATTACTGTTTGTCATATTATTCGTCGGCGTTGTCGGAAAATAAACAAAATAGCAAAAAATATGATAAAGATCTTAAGAAAAAGTAAATTTACGGGGCAAAATCAAAGATACCTTAAAGACACACAAACGATTTTCTCATTCGCTTGAATCGAATAATATGTTTTTTTCTGCGAGAAAATTGAGCAAAAGCAATGACTAATACAGGAACTTGGAAAGACGCACCCATTTTTCTCATTTTAATGGCTTTCTGCGAAAATTTTTTTTGCCCGCAAGGAAAAACTTTACTGCTCGCTTTTGTTTTGTTTACCCCACTTCCAATTTTCAACTCAAAATAGTGTAAGTTTGCTGCGCTCAAGGTAATTGGATTTAAATTCGGCGGTGGGCTGCAAAGGTCATGAAATTGTTAATCTCTTCTTTCTTCTCTGCGAACAACAATAACAGAACCTGACTAAACTTGAAATTTCGATCATTATCGGCTAGACTAGGTAAATTAGGTAAATTAGGTAAATTGTCACGTATTACTTTTTTGCAACACGCTTTCCAAAACAATTTGACTAATGGTGAAATTGATCGAAAAATAAACGTTGTTTTGGTTTTGAAAATGAAAAAAAAAAAGAATTGAAGTGACATTTAAGAGAACTGCTGCGCCATGCTGAAAAAGTGCAGCACATTGAAAAATGTGAAAAACAAGCATGTCATCCTTTAAATATTTTATTTCTGAATATCCGGAACTGGTGAACGTTATCATTTCAATGCGGCTCCATGGAATTATATTTTTAAGTTGGAAATGTCTTCTTTTTTCTTTTTCTTCTTATCACAATACAACAATTGCACTGTCAACATCATTTAGAGATGGTATTATCGGTTTCTAGGGTTCTTAACGACCTGTTTGCCACAAAAATTGGTGCGAGCAGAGTATTTTTTTGTTAAAACTATGTTTACGAGTTTTTATGAAAACAGAAAGGGCACAACTAAAATATTTACGCATGTGAAAATCTAGCATGCACAAATTGGATTAAATTTTTCCCTCAATGGAATCCTTATACTGTACTTGTTGATATAAACAGAAATAATTGAATAGAAGTAAGCCCGGGATTATTCCAATGCTTTATGCGCATGAGTAAATAAATTCAAACGGGGATATTTCAAACAGTTTTAAACCATCAATCATCTTTAATATAAACATAAAATAAATAAAAAATACGAGTTTGATCGAAACTGAACTTGACGGCCACATGATCTGCACGTGGCGCAAAAGCCAATAGGCGTCAACAAGTGATCCGTTTTCTCTCAATTTTCATCAAAAAATGAAACATCAAAGCAAGTTCTGTTTGAACTGTTGGTTACATCGCTTGATTGACAGCTTCCAAAGTTATTATTCGATATGAGTCTAATTAAATTTCGCCCACACATGCATACAAACATTCTTAAATATTTTTCCGAATAATTTAATTTCGCGGTAAAATAAGAGAGGGAGTTAAATCAACCAAAGATTTTCATTTTCTGAAAGAAGAAAACAACTCGGCGACTATGTAGTATGCGCTTAAAATTTTTATGAGTTTACATAGGTGAAATATGCGGGAAAATTAATAAACCCTCATGAAAGAACTCGTGGAATCATACGAATCATATTTTTTTTCAGAATCGGAGACATGTGGGAACAAATGGATCACGTGCGGATTCTGTATGATAGTTTGAGAAATACGGATAGCGGAGGGGATCTTGAATATATGATTGCCTTCCAAACACTGATTAATACTTATTATTATGTTTGATAAAATCAACGCGAAAACAAACAAACATTATGAAATTTGAAAACATTTTCTTTGAAAGCCAAAAATGCAATATTTTTCGAGTTTATGTATTCATTTGCTTGGTAATGCGTCCCGAAATCAATTTCATATATTTTTTTTAAGGAGAAAGCTGATTTCCGTTCAGCTTTGTTAGTTCAAGTGCGCAAACAACGCGCCAGCAAAAAAAACTGCGTTTGTTATTGTGACGCTTTTACGCGATGCCAAAATGAACTCGGAACGAATGTGAAGAGGGGGACAAAATGCACTTCCGAGATTATCACTTACCCATCGTTGGATGGCGTCTCTGGCGCATTCGGAGTGTGTTTGTTGTTGTCGCCTTCTGCATTATCGACGCTTGCATTAGTAGCATCTGCATTTGGAGCATCTGTCTTTGGAGCATCTGCATTCGCAGTATTTGGACTGCTAGTCGGATGATTCTCGACGTTTGACATCTCCTAAAATAGACCAATTTGTTCACGAGAGTTCGGTGAATTTTGTAATGAAATATTGCAAATAATTTCCGGCATCCCACTTTATTCCGCGATGCCTTCATTTTGTGTTTTCGTAGACTTCATAATCCGGCATGATTGACATTTTCAATTTCCTATTATGCGATGTATGTGCATACATGAGAGAGCATATGGGAAAGACAACCAGTTCGCAAAAAAAAGTGTCGCGCCGGGGAAGTATTTACAATGGGTCGACCGGATAAGATTGGCGGATTCACACTTGTTAAGAAACATTCACATGTTATTCTTATAAGGATTCCATGACTCACTGAACATTGTATGCTGGCTTAGCGCTATTAATTCTATGTGCGTTTGCAGTTTACAATGAAGAACATGAGCTAATGCGAAATTTGATGCCAGCCTCACATTCCTTTTCAAGAAAATAAGAAGATCGCATTTACATTAACAAAAATGTGTACTTATAATTGCCTAAAAGCCATTTTTCAATTAAAATCGTTATTTAAAGAAGAACAACAATAAACTAAACAACTTAATCGGTTTTCGAATATCTCACCACGCAGAAGTGAAGGTATTCTTGAGTAGATTCTAACGAATGAGATCTATCTAGGTTATGTATGGTTTGAATAAGATTCAACCTATGATAAGCCATGTCTTAAGTGTTACTAATGGTCAAAAATAATTTTTAAAACATAGAATCAAAAAATCTTATATTTGAATAAAGATTGAATTATATTTTTGGTTTTAAACTGAACGAATTTAAAATTTTGTCAAAATTGTTTTTTTTTAATAATAAAATAAATATACTAGATAAAACAATATACTAGATGAAACAAATTTCAACTCAACAATAGTTTTGCCGTTCAAATAACCAACAATACGATTCATATGAAAAACGCCCGTAATTTTTATTACATATATAACAGTTGGCAATAAAACGTAATAAAAAATAAGAAATCGAATACAGTTACGTGTGTTTTAGTAGAACAATTTAAATACAACAGAAGGGTTGCATAATAAATTGTTTTCACCTATACAATAGGCTTGTTTCATTATTTTCGCACACATCAATATTCAGAATACTATAGTTTTCCTACGTAAGAGGCCAATAAAATATACAATTGGCAAGTGAATGTAAAACGTATAGCTTCGGTTTGTAGGCAGGCGACTCTTTTTCCACGTGGCAACGCCATGGAAATCTATTGCCAAATCCGAAAAGCTTTTATCTAGATTCACAGTAGGCGTATCTACGTGGACGCTACCCACATTGAAAACGATCAATCGAACTGCGATAATAAAAATTCAAATTGTATTGAATTGGAAAATAATTTCTGATTCATTGTTTTTGTTTTTGTATTTTCGCAATTTGAAAAGAAAGACAATAAGAGAATCGATTTTTAAAACCAATAATTTTTGAATACCATACCTCGCACACTTCATAGAAGAATCAAAAATGTAGTTCGGACAAATACAGTTCGAAATAATAAAGATGAAGGTATGAGAATAGTACAATAGCGCGGAACACAGCTATGCGTCGGTTATCGTTCAGTTTTTGATACCGAACCAATGTCGAGTGAACTTGAAATACAAAACGATCTTCGACGATAGCTGCGTTTATACCCCGTCGAAAAGGAGGCGTTACCCGTTTCTGAAGCAAATCGAAAAATGATCACCCTTACAGTTTTCTTTTCTTGAATCCCGCCTTCTGTGCATTTGTCGGCGGCCTCCTGTTCATGCATCGTCTGTAAACCAATTAGATTTATTAAATATTAGAACGAAAGGGTCAAAGTTTTCTTTGATACAATTTTTTCGGAAACGAGAAAAAAAAAAGATTGAATGCCCCGAAATCGCAACACGTGAAAGTGTGCGTTTCTCGAGAATTATCTCATGTCGTTGGTACAATTGTTATATATTATGTTTTTTCATCATCAAAAGGATGAAGAAATCCGCTCATGTGCAAATATCTGCACAAATAAGAGGAATAAATGAATTGGTGGAAACATGGTGAAACATGAAAAATAAAAATAAAAATAAATTGGTGCAATGCCGTTTGGTTTATACAAAAATATCATTCGAAAAAAAGAGATTGTTTTCAATGAAAATTTCCGTTTTTTTTGGTCGAGAATAACACAATTCACGAGTTATCCCAGGATTAATTCATTTATCAATATGGCTTCAGATTATAATGTTTTTAAAAACATTCAAGAAACCAACGTCATGATTGAAAAAATTGCGTATAAACATACTAATAAGGCCAATTTGAAAAGTGCATATTATTTTGCATTTTTAGCATGTTTTAACATTTTTTCGTAATATGAACAATAACAGCTAATTTCAAATTACGAAAAATATTTTAGATTTGCGCGTTCAAAATATTCAAATCATTTGTAATGATCGTTTCTATTATAAAAACATGCACATAAATATTTCACATCAGAAATTAGATTTTTATTCTGTGACTTCCACGAACTTTATTTTAAAATAGTGAGATTTTTCAAAGAATCGGGGGGTCGATTCCCTATCTCGTCAAAATCATTACACTTCGATTCAAACCATTTTTTCTAGCTCAACTGGTTTTTTGTAAAAAATAACCTCCGAAAGAACTAATACATTATTGGTATCCCCCAAGGTGGCTAAATGCAATGAACCTCGCCATGATGCGCCATAAAGTATGAGAGAGACAAGGACAAACGCATGAAGCCACTAAAAAACGCGTTTTGAGACCCTCCAGGGTCATTGGCGAACATTTAAATATACGCGGTGGGCGATGTATTCCCTTTGCGAACGATTCGAAAGCAACCGTAGTCAAATGCAAGGACGAACGTTTTCGCTGAAGGTACAAAATTTGTATTAATGGAAACTAATCGGAGGGGCCGACTGGTTACTAATCTGAAAATCGTCTGCTACCTCCTTCACGTTCGTGGGGAATTCTACATTTTCTTATTTCATTAGGGGTTATTCGTTAAATTGAACATATGAATTAAATATTCACTTCCTAATCGTTTCATGATATTAGTAATCATGACGAAATTTGCCAAGAATTTGTGCAAGATACAGTTAGCCAACATCTGCAGAAATCGTGCAAAATTTGTAGCTCAATTTTAAAATATTTCAAATCAAACAATCGGCTTTCTCAAATGTTACTTTTCCATGTTTATTTGTCATGTACAGTAATGCACAAATAAATGAGTAATAGACACAAAAACTGACAAGCACTTTTTACAATGGGCACAAAACACAGGTGATTGCAATCAAATATTGTTTGAAAAATGGGTCTGATTTTTCTTTGAATCATTCGAAAAACACCAAGAAGCAACCTCATTAGTTTGCTTTCTACCTAGAAATGCAATTTATATGTTTAATTGGCCTGGGTACTGTATACTCCGTCATACTTGATCAAAAATCAGGAAAGATAGAAGAGGTAAACGAGAAATACAAAGCTACTGATAAACTATAATCAAGAGATGCCAATCAAACGGCGACAAAAATAGTTGTATGTTGTAAGTAGCGAGACCTTCTGCAAGCACCGATGACATATCGCCATATTGTCCTTATACGGCGGCGTCTTATAAAGGCGCTGTGTTGTTCACATAGATGTGCTTTCTGCGCAGTTACTGTCGAAAACGGTTTAGCGGCATTCGCGGCATTCAAAAGAATGAGTATGCGCAAAATTTTGTAATGGGAACACCAATAAAATGCATTCGTCTGCTCAATTGGTTTTCGACTTTTACGAGATGCAATCTTGCTGGACATCGTGTTGTTCTTATCCATTCTGTGTGCATTGCTACAATGATTTGCACCATGTAAAAAATCATGATTTTTTTCCATTTTGAAACTATAAAATTCTTTCAAAAAATTTTGGATAATAGTTTGGATGTTTCTAGAAGATCTTTGAAAAAAAAATAGAAAAATAACAGTTCCTTTTATAGCAAAATAAAACGATAACTGTCGAATTCGATTTATCACGTGTTTTTTTTTGCACGAGTTTATGAAACAATCTGTTGTTTGTAGCGCTTATAAGGACACATTACTATGATGGTAAGCATTGTGTTCTAGAGGTAGACAAGGTCATGATGATGTTCATTTCTTTTATGAAAACCTGGTTTCGTGTATAAGAAAAATATGATGGAATTTTTCTTGCAATGAGGTGATTGGAATATCTGAATTTTCAAAACACTGAGATTTTTGATAAATATTCTTGTGCTTGCAGGAAATGTCATTAGATTTTAAAATTGAATTTCAGGTTGTTCAAATATAAGGATGATCGCAATCGCCTGGAAATTTAAAGCTGAATTGCACGTTTTAAAATTTCAGGTATTTATATATTTCAGTTTTTATTATTTAAAAAGAGAACGTTCTTTTTTTTAGCTTTATATCAAATTTTGTAATCTCTAGGCGTTTTATTAATTGATCTTTTGATTTTATAATGGTTTATAACTATATGTCAATATTTGAATCCATTCGGACCTTATCCATGTGTCATTTTTTGACAGATACCGTAACATCATCTATAGTACATAAACTCGAGTTCAAATTGTAGCCCTCGTTAGTGTAAGCTTAGCAAACAACAAATCACATTTCGAAATGTATTTAATGGTAGTTAGTTTTGCAAATGTAGTTTGTTTGAAACATTCTTTCATAAAAGGGTGTTTAATCTGTTTTCTCATTTTTGGAGATTAAAAAAAATATTTTTTTTTAATTGAAGCTGTTACGTACTAAAAATGCGTTCGTCGTTAATAGTGGCATATTTTTTCAGCTTTATTGTTGGCGGTAAAACAATTCCTATTGACAGACAATTTTATTGAAATTTTGCAGTTATTTTTGGGGAAAGCTCTGATGAAGATTGGGGATATGGAGAAAATGACGGACCTGAAACATGGCGGGGACAATGTCAAAGTAATCGACGACAGGTGAGACCGTCATCCATATATATATATATATATATATCACAATTCTTTTGTAATATTACTTTCAGTCACCAGTTGATATAACTTTGCGAAATATCGACTTGATTCCACTTCCAGAATTGAATTTCATAAATTACGATTATCCAGGAAATCTTGAAATACTGAATACAGGAAAGACTTGTATGTCTTAAAAATAACAATATCAAAAGAAGTAATTCCTGTTCAGTAATTGTGACGGGATTCGAAAAATGGAAGCAAAGGCAACCAATGCTGGAAGGTGGAGCGCTTTTGCATCGCTATAAGCTCTCCCAGTTTCATTTGCATTGGGGGCAAAACGATTATGTTGGATCCGAGCATGCCATTGAGTCCAGATATTTTCCAGGAGAGGTATTGTGGCAGATAAACATTAAAGACATTTGAATTATATTTGTAGCTACACTTGGTTCATATTCGTGAAGATTTAACACTTGAAGAAGCCTTGTCAATTCCAAACAGTATTGCAGCGGTTTCTGTATTGACACTCACTACCAATTATGATAATCAGGGCAAACATTTTGAACCAATTGCAGACAAACTTCCCTTACTTCAATTTAGCGGTAGGTGTAGAAATTTAATCATAATACTGATTTAGAACTATTTAGGGAACTCAACGAGATTAAAAAAATTCAAGACAAATTCAATTCTGCCTTTCACCACGGATTCATTTTATAGCTACGAGGGAAGCCTAACAACTCCAAATTGCGAGGAAGTTGTAATTTGGACGATTGTTTCCGAACCAATTTATATCACTGTGTCACAAGTAATTTGATAAATACTTGAATATGCGATGATTTATTTTCAGATGAATGAATTACGGAAACTTCGCAATTCGGATGGTGAAATTGCCGAGAAAAACTTCCGGTCATTGCAACCTCTAAATGGTCGAAGAATTTTATATAAACCAAGTCGATGGGACAGAACTTACATGTAATATTCTTAAACTTTTGCTTTAACTTCACTCTTTATGTTTTTGCAGAGATAATAATGGAATATTGAAAATATAATTCATGATAGCAGCATGACACGCATATCGGAATAACAGTCATAAACCGACAGCTTTAAACTCTAAAACTTGTGTTGATTTTTTTTCTAATGAATCATTAAAAACAATTGTCTTTGTTTCGAGACTTTGTGGCCAAAGATCAGAGGATTGAGATTTCTACTGCTACGGTATACGTTCAAAATTCTTGTAAACTAGTTCATAGGCAAACAACCGTTCTGAGATTGGCGGGTACATCATGATTTGTGCCGAACGTCGTTTTAAAACTAAATGATGATTTTACTTGTTTAGTTATTCACTTCTCGTTTTTTGAGAGTGTAGCGCAGTTTTGATAAAGAGAATATGTTTTAATAGAAACAATTGAAATTAAGTTGAAATAATCTTTGTAAACAAATTGACCGACTGTATATGAGTTTCTTTTTTAATGAAATACAATTTCATTTAATAAATAATATACGTATTTTTATCAGTTTTTGGAAGTAAAATTACTTAATAGAGATAATTTGTTCTTTATGAATTTGCTTCAGATTCTAAGGAACACTATCGGTGTTGTATTATTCACAGATTCTGTGTGAAAATTGAAAATCGTGTGAAAATCTATCATAGTCACAATATGAAAGTTTATTCCGGTCATTTACTAATAAATCAAAAAACAATTAAATTGGGAAAAATTGAAAATTAATCCGGAAAAGTTAACAATGCCTATGAAATGAAACTGAATTTTGAGATTCATATCGAATCAATAAAATAAACTAAAAAAATTAAAATAACAAAACCTTTTGAAGTTTGGAGATATTGAGTCATGTAGGATATAAATGCGATTATATTAATTGTAAAAGCAAAGGTGATTTAGATAGAAAATTAAACCAAAATACGCCAGCCTTTTTCAGGGTTTCAGACATTGGTGCAAATAGCTGATAGTACAGGAAATTTTTTAGATTCAAATCCTAAATAACCTTTCTTACAACCAAAAGTATTCTTGTATAAATAGGACACGATTTCGGTATCAAAATATCGGCCGTTTACATATGTTTATATATGTTTGTGAATAAAATTAATTAATGAAACATTTAATTTTGCTGACAAGGGAGGTCATTTTGCTGTCCGTCTTAAAATTTTTTTATTTTTTGCATACAGATTCTTTAGAAAATTTCCAATCGAATGAACTAGGTCTCTACCTGCGCAAACTTCTAGTTATCGAGATATGGACCTTCAAAGTTTTAGCCCCTCCCCACGTGAATTTTGCACACAAATGTGTGGAAACTCGAAATGAAATAACGTGATGTCTTATCTCGCGCTTTTATCCTGATTCAGCAAGCAGTTGTGGTTCAGTGGTGTGTAGGTTATGTTGTCATGAATGGAGGTGCGGATTCGGTCCCGCTATCTGTAAACTTTTTTGCGTATTTTTTTATTGGTGATACAGTAATTATGACAGTGCAATTTTGCGTTTTTCTATTCAAATTTGCCATTTTCATCATATTGAAATGGTATGTATAAGAAAAAAATAGTTTCAAAAAAATTTTTAAAAATTGAAAAATTTTTTATAAGTTATATGGTTGTTGATCATGAAATGCTTGGAGCAGTGGATGTCACAATAGAAGGCTTCAATAAAAGATTTTTACTAGCTGTCTAACTGTACTGGAGCCATTTTGAATCTTTTTTTCTAGGTGACATATTTGACCGTATTCTGTCATAACAAAGGATTTGATGAGAAGGTTTCCCCAAGAACAGTTCTCGAAACAACATGTTGAAGACCGAAACAATTCCTGCCGGTTGCACCGGTTTCGCACAACTTTGGACGGCGAAGTTTTTGCGAGCAGGAAATGCAGTCTTCTATTGTGACATCCACTGCTCCAAGCATTTCATGATCAACAACCATACATCCACTGCTCCAAGCATTTCATGATCAACAACTATATATTACACCAGCTTGTCCTCCTCTCATTTCCTTAATTGAAAATATTGATTCTATATATCATATTATGATTATTTTTAAATATGCACACATGTCTTGCCTAGCAAAAATATCCACGTTTTATTCCATTTCATCGACGTCAAAAAAATACTACATCGTTGTTCCTTCGGCAAGCAAGTAAGCGGATATCGCATGATTAGTTACAGATGGTAAATTATGCGGGAGAAATGTGCTCATTTTGGACATGTGGTCTCGTCGGAGTAATGGGTTTACCCAATGTTCTTATACTCTTTCAATTCAGAGTATATATTCCCTTGGCATAAGACACCAAAATTGTACTTTTTTAAAATATTAAACGAAAAGATAAAACATTTTTTATACATATGTACATACTTAAACATTTTAGTATATTATGCAGCATGCGGTGTGCTCCGAATTTTGAAGTAACCAAAAGTGCCCTATATTTTTGAGGTTGCTTTTCAACTATTCGCACTTTTCATCTTCTGTATTTCAATTACCATACTCCCCATCAATTTCGCGTGAAGTTTCTTTCGATTTTCCGCTTTAGTAGGCCCTTTCATTAGGCATCTTTTAATAAAAACTACGGAAAACGTGGAGCCCGTACTTCTTATTAATTAGTTTGAATGTAGTGCCGACTCCGGTGCTCTCATTCGGCATGAATGAATGTTTGACCTTTCAAGTATGATGCTTATTTCGAGATTTCTATATATTGCATGTATGATGCTTGAGAAGAAGAACCTCGCGATTTTTTCTTAAAGAATTTGTGTGGGTAACAACGATTTCGTCCAAAGGCTTGATGTCATTATTCTTAATCTCTGATTTACATGACGTTTTTTTTTCAATTCCTTAATTTTTGCTTGTAAAAATTTTTTCACACTTCTCCTTGTACATGCTTTTTTTCATTTTTTTACATCGGCTTCTGTCATTCTTGATTTATTTTCATCTGTGATCGTCTGTTTTATTCTTTTTGATATTTGCATATTCTAAAACTAATAAAAAAAAACCAATTGAACGAAAAAAAAACGAAAGATGGCTTTCACGAAAAGCTAGAGTAGTACTAAAAAAAATATAAAAAAACAACGTGTTCTATATATTTAATTTTATACTAGATTAGACATAAAAATCTGAAACAGATTTGACAAGCAAATAAAATAACTAGGAAAATAAGAAACTTTCTAAGCAATCTGTAAATTTTTTACATCTTCCAAAAATGCTGTGAAGCGCAAAAAAAAGCAAAATTGTTAAAAAGAATAGAAGCTTTTTTTTCTTTCTTTCCCATCAATCTCTATGTTCTCCAACCTCGCATCAACACTCCTTCTCCTAGCATAGCAATTCGGAAGATCCATGAGAAAACACAGAATATAGAGTTGTGGGAGCACGATAGGAAGCGAAAAAAATAGCGAGTGCGCGTCGACCCAACTCCCTCCATTTTTAGTTGTGTCCTTCGGCCCCGCGTGCTACTGCATTTTCTGTGCTTCTTGCAAATGCGAAATGTAGGCGACGAAGGCAAAAACGCGACGTGAAGAGTGGAGAGGCGACGGCTAGCCTGTCTTTGGTTGCCTTGAGGCTGGTCAGACTCCCGAAACAGCGTATGAATACGTGAGACCGCATGCTTCCAAAAATGTCGGGAATCGATGAGAGCTCACGTCAGGCTGTTAGCCAGGCAAACCTCCCCCCCCCCCCTCTTTCCCCTACAAACAACTCCCGTGTAAGAGCCAGGGCCAGGGAGGATGAAGGAAAAAAAAAGAAATCGTCGTTTGTCTCAAAAAATTTATTGCACTCCGCTCAGGTTTTCATTTCCATGCCATTTATTCATTCATTCATTCATTCATTATTTCGACACCAAGTCAATTGCTCAATTTTTTATTATTCCATTATTTTGTTATAATATTGCACCTCATACTAATTGGATGGCTCGGACTCACTCCGAAATCTCATTCTAAGCCCCGACCAATTGCAGAAGCTGGATTAGAATGGGAATTAAAAAAACAAGATGAGTTTGTCATTCGAAGGAGCTCGTTAATTGTTAACTGCACTTGTGTCGTATGCATAATTCCGCGTAATTATTCAAATGCACATCATGCAAGTGTAAAAAAAACATTATAATTATCGCGGAAACGAAAAAATACTTTAATTATACGTCCGTTAAGTGGGCTTTTATTGCACTTTTCACAAGAATTTCCTCATTTGCGTGTTTTTAAGTTTAATATTGAAAAGTATTGGATAATCTAATCTTTTTTGAAGAACTTTTTTTATATGTGGTAAATTTTATGAGTTTAAAATTTTAATATTCATATCGTATTTTTGTGATATTCGAATAAATAATGCAATTTTGAAATGATTCATCTTATTGGTTTCGATTGTTTGTCGAAATATTCCCATTTTCAAATCTTAAATTGAAGTCCGACACTTTTAGAGAAAAAAAACCACATGAGATCTCAAGTGTGACTAAAATGGGTAAATCGTTTTATTTTTTCACTTACTCCGAAATTATTGAATTTTCATGCAAAATCCGTATATCCTTCAATATGTAAAAAAATCAATGCCAGAGGAGTGATTTATTATGCAATTTCCTGCCTTGCACCCTTCTTTGAGATTTTTTTAAACTAAAAATGCAAAAAAGGGTACGACTATACCATATTTATTCGTTGAAAATTAATTTGGCGAATGAACAGTTTCTGCTATGTAATGTGATGAGACTTGTCTAGATTATCCCGATTAGTTCCCGCGACGCTTCTTAAGCTATGCGAATTGTAGTAATTTTACCCTTTGACGGAATTGCTTAAGAAAAGCCCTTCATTTTTTTGTAGTCGTGATCATGAGAAGCGATATAAATTTTGTAAAAATAATCGTGCTAAAAAAAGAAAAGAACGTATCTAACAATCATACAATATTTGAAATTTTGGTTTAGATTTTTATCATTCTCTATGCGAAAATGCCACCTTTGAACACTTTTTTATTCTCGTTCACACTAAACGTTTGAAATGCATTGAAGTGAAAATAATATTTCTCATATGTTTTTTGATGTAAGTCTTTCAATTGTTCTGCCACTTTTATTTTTAGTCGTTCATTTGTCTAATCCAAGTTCAGTGCCGGCATTTTTTGTGCTCGAGACACGAAGAAAAAGTTCACGTTTTTGCTGAATAATCCTAGCAATTAGTTATTCTGTCATGTCTATGGCTTTTCTTCTCCCCCCCCCTCCTTTTTTTGGTTCACTTTTCGAGATTATGTTTCCGTTATCTTCAATTTCTGCAAATCAGAAAAATTGCGAACACTTTATTGTACAGTGCGAGCCAACTAAGATAGCTATGCCAGTTTTTCATTGCATAACTTTTCTTCTGATAGTTGTGAAATTTTTTGACAGCATGTAATGCACTATTACGCATAATTGCAGACCGCAAAATGCGTCATTCCTTTCATAACTTCTTCATTTTTTTTTGTTCATTTTAAAAATGTTATTTATGAATTGTTGTCACAAATGTGCGGAAACTCGAAATGAAATAACGTGATGTCTTATCTCGCGCTTTTATCCTGATTCAGCAAGCAGTTGTGGTTCAGTGGTGTGTAGGTTATGTTGTCATGAATGGAGGTGCGGATTCGGTCCCGCTATCTGTAAACTTTTTTGCGTATTTTTTTATTGGTGATACAGTAATTATGACAGTGCAATTTTGCGTTTTTCTATTCAAATTTGCCATTTTCATCATATTGAAATGGTATGTATAAGAAAAAAATAGTTTCAAAAAAATTTTTAAAAATTGAAAAATTTTTTATAAGTTATATGGTTGTTGATCATGAAATGCTTGGAGCAGTGGATGTCACAATAGAAGGCTTCAATAAAAGATTTTTACTAGCTGTCTAACTGTACTGGAGCCATTTTGAATCTTTTTTTCTAGGTGACATATTTGACCGTATTCTGTCATAACAAAGGATTTGATGAGAAGGTTTCCCCAAGAACAGTTCTCGAAACAACATGTTGAAGACCGAAACAATTCCTGCCGGTTGCACCGGTTTCGCACAACTTTGGACGGCGAAGTTTTTGCGAGCAGGAAATGCAGTCTTCTATTGTGACATCCACTGCTCCAAGCATTTCATGATCAACAACCATATAACTTATAAAAAATTTTTCAATTTTTAAAAATTTTTTTGAAACTATTTTTTTCTTATACATACCATTTCAATATGATGAAAATGGCAAATTTGAATAGAAAAACGCAAAATTGCACTGTCATAATTACTGTATCACCAATAAAAAAATACGCAAAAAAGTTTACAGATAGCGGGACCGAATCCGCACCTCCATTCATGACAACATAACCTACACACCACTGAACCACAACTGCTTGCTGAATCAGGATAAAAGCGCGAGATAAGACATCACGTTATTTCATTTCGAGTTTCCACACATTTGTGTGCAAAATTCACGTGGGGAGGGGCTAAAACTTTGAAGGTCCATATCTCGATAACTAGAAGTTTGCGCAGGTAGAGACCTAGTTCATTCGATTGGAAATTTTCTAAAGAATCTGTATGCAAAAAATAAAAAAATTTTAAGACGGACAGCAAAATGACCTCCCTTGTGAAGTGTTTTAAAATTATTGAATAAAAAACATTATCTAGAGAAGTTAATGAAAATATTAACTATTTCTTGTTTTAGAACACAAAATCGAAGTTTGATCCATGTATCAAATATCTGCAAGTACTCAAGTACTAGATTTCTCATTCCCAATATGAGTCAACGGCGTCGAGCACATAAACACATTAGGAAAAACACAAAAAATACAAATTATGTTATGGCACTGCTGATTAAAACAAAATTTTTTTACTAATTTTGCAGCTATTGATAGCTTTGATCAAAAAATATGATCTTGTTTTTTTGTGTTCGCCATTATTTTTCCAACAAAAATGAAAAATAAACTCCCGTTTAGCATAAACCACAAAATCTAAGCTTTTCGTCATTTTCATGATTTCTGAAAACTTTTCCACAGTAGCTATATCTAAACACAGCTATACGGTAAATAAAACTTTCTGCTTATATATTAAATTGAACTCGTTGTATTTATATAACGTATGTTGTATTTATATAACCTATGATTCAATCATTATGTAGTAAACTTTCCTATAAATTAGGCTCTAATTACAGTTTTCTTTTAAAAAGCTCTTTAACATTTTGCGTTCTATTAATGTGCAGATGCAAGTTCTTCATGCCATATTATTGATATCTTTATAGCTTTTTGAATTTTACTGGAAGAACTCAGAAGCATTCATGATTTTTTGGTTCTTGGCAATCGTGATAGGTACTTTTTTTAAGGTTTATGTGTGTAAGAAGAGACCGTTCATTTCAGAGATTTATTGCAGCAGCGGTGAAGGATGGGGATATAGTGAGCATGACGGACCACACACATGGCCCGGTGCATGCCAGAACCATCAGAGACAGGTGGGCGTTTTGATGGGCTTGGACTCAGCGTGGTTATCACATCTGAAAAAAGTGGCCTATTCCAGGAATCGCCTGTTACACTAATGATAATACAAACATGTTTTCAGTCTCCGATCAACATCCAAGCCGACGATATTGATTACGAAGTCATCCTTGCATTGAATTTTGATAATTATGAAAAATCGGGAAAAGTTGAAATAAGTAATACGGGACGAACCTGTAAGCAGTCTATATTATTTTGATTCAAGGTCTATAAATCGAAATTACAGTGCTTGTATCGGGATTCGAAAAATGGAAAAAAAAGCAACCAGCCATAAAAGGCGGAGGACTTAAGCATCGTTATGTGTTGTCGCAGTTTCATTTACATTGGGGTCAAACAGATGATGTTGGATCGGAACACGCTTTGGGATCGTTGCATTATCCGGGAGAAGTTTTATTATTTGAAATTTTTATTATTCATCATGTAGGTTTTAGCTTCATTTGGTACATATTCGTGAAGACTTGACACTCGAACAAGCATTAAAAAAACCTGATGGAATTGCTGTGGTGGCGGTATTTTTAGCAAATGCTGGTGATGTTCGTAACCTCAATTTTGATGTTATTGCAAGACATTTTCCATCATTGGCATACAGAGGTTAACAATTTCCAATTAAGGTTACTTTAAAATATTGAATGTATAGGCAATAAAACAATAATATCTGGTTTCCATCCGGTAATAACATTGCCAAGCGACACCATATCATTCTACAGATACGAAGGCAGCTTAACAACTCCTGAATGTGAAGAGGTAGTCATTTGGACAATAATGGCCGATCCGTTACTAGTTTCCAACGAGCAGGTTCGTATTCAAATTCTAAGCATTTCGGGACAAATTTTGAAATTGCAGTTGTATCATTTGCGTCAAATAAGAAACTCAGAAAATTTAATATCAGAAAAGAACTATCGACCATTACAACCAATGAATGGCCGCCGAATTGCATATCGAGCAAGAAAACTTGATCGATCTCATTTCTGCACACCGCCATCGCATTCATATTCAATCAATATTTTATTGGCGTTTATTCTACCAGTCCTGATGAGAATATAAGAAACATACACCATTCCAAACCAGTAATTCTAACGAGTGAGCTCTTTTTCCAGTGCAGTATAAGATGTTCTTGTATGATTCACTAATAATTCTCTATTGACTGTATAAATCACTAACCGAAAAAAATAGCATTTCTCATCAAATTCCCGTGTATACTATCGTTTATAAGTGCACTGCTTTTTTAATTTCAAAAATAATAAATGTTTATCGACAGTTTATATTTTTCAATTTTAATAACTCGAAAAGAAATGTTGAGAAAAAGAGGTTCATCGAAATGTAATACTATCTTCACCAACACGCAAAAACCTGCTCTCATCTGATTTTCGAAACCCTAACCAATTGATCGATGATGTATGTAAGGTTAATAGAAATCCAGAAATTTAAACGCATTGCATATGGCTGTATAATTTTCCCAGACATTAGCTTGCTATTACTAGCCATTAATGTTCTACCGATGAGCAAGACATTAAAGTGATCCACATCCTAATCGCATCTCCGATTCGCCACTCATGTTGTGATTCATCACGTAAATACCGCAAATGCTTGCGAAATCATTGCTTGCAATTTTTGTGCATCACAAAAATAATGTTTAATTTTGAAAAAGATAAACTTAAAAGATCATTTCTTTGCACTCGCCCGTCGAATATTAGTGTTGACATACAGTTCATTGTTCAATGGTTCCCATGAACTACACTGTAACTCATTTGTGTTTTAAGAATGGGTTCAAGCAGGGGTCACGTCATGCAGCTCTAGATATAAATAGAACGTAACGTGCTTTTTACTTCGTGGTTATCAGTTTTGCGTAACCGTTATTTCGATTTCAAAAATATTCTCGTGGAACCCAATAATTTCAAAAATCATTCGCGAGCTTATTCAGAATTCAAATATTTCGACGACATCTAAAAGTTGAAATACCAAGGTAGTTTTGAGATTCGAAAAGTTGTTCAATTATTCTACCTGATTTCATGCCCAGCCTCCACATACTTTAAACCACTAACGCTGTAAAAAAATAAATTTCAAATTTTCAATAACTCTACCAACAGCTGGGAGAATCTCTAACTCAACGATTGTGTAATCCTCAAAACGCCCACCATTCTTGTGAAAATTCTCGAAGATGTCCTGGGGCTGATCATAATAAAATGAGTGGAAACGCCGTAAACCGTATGAAAACTTCTTCAACATCAGCTTTCTTAGAATATCTTGAACAATCTCTCGGATTTCGCTTCAAAAATGATAATCAAGTTTACATAAATTGAGGATGCTTCATGAAAACTTCTTAAAAGAACGAAACAATTTTGTTAATCCATACATCCATTTTTTCATTTTCTGCTGGTGCTTTGCACACAAATATTTTAATAATAAAATCGAGCAAGACAGTCTGAAATTAAATTCAATGTGATAATAATTTTGATTTATTTTTAAATTTTGCAAACTGATATGCTTTTGGAATGTCCAAACTTCAAGAACATGTAAACGAAACATGGCTGAGTAAATAATAACTCACAAAAATGAAATTCCCTGTATTTAAAGCTGCCTGTTATGTGTCATTCGAAGTCGTACTTCTCGAATTGCGTCTCATTATGAATGTCCTCTCTAATAAGAAATTTCCGGAATCTATCAAGTATTTCGCCGGCCGATCTCAAATAGCAAAACTCTAATGAGCTTCTCGACAAAGATCAGGACCCATTCCATCACGAAGCGCCTACTTTTTTTCGCATTTTTCATTTCTTCTTATTCATCATATTGACGGGAGAACTAGTGATCTTCGATTGTGCGACGAAAAGCTGAGCAAAATCTGGCAGTACCACTTGCTCGCCGGCGATGAATTTATTTCTCTTGAGGACAAGGCTTTTTTAAACTGTCGTCGCATGTACCTGACTAAAACATCAAAAATTCGAGAAACCTCCACATAGTGCTGAGTTGTGAATAATTAATCGAATGTCAAAATACATAGGTGGTGAATCCCACGGAATTTTCCAACATTAGTATTTTTTGGTTTCCCTTCCATTTCATATGTTTGCGCCTTATTCTTTTGATAAAAAAAATTTTGTTGATATTCTCTGTGCTTCTCTTAGAGTTCGAATGCCTCCGTCTTCAAGAGAAATGATTTCAGTTTTGTGTAAAGAGCTCACCCCGCCCCTTATTTCTAGGTGTCACCGCAGCGCCTCATAATTCATTAAACGTTCCGCCGTTTGTTCTTCTCCAATGTTTTCATCTTCTTATCAGCAAGATTTCTGCAATTTTTTCGATAAAGCATAACGTTTTATCGCATCGTAATTCATTCCAAATTGGCATGCATACTTTATGACAAATAAGGCAAATAAATATTCATCTCAATTTACCTAATTATTTAAGTATCAAAATTTCTTTCGTACAAGATAAGTGTTCTTCTAATAGCGAGGGAGTGAAGTGAATCAAGTTTTTCGTCATTGTTGCTTCAAATTTGATATTCAAGAAAGACTCAAAATCAAATTCCTCCCGTTTTCGAGCACCTCTTTCATACGCATCTGCTCATCTGAATTCAATAAACTCTTTCCCTCAATTGTCATCTTTTATAATAATCTTGTCAAATGGATGTTTCGTTCGGCAATGCGCCTAATATTTTTGAGGTGATCTACGTTTGGGCAATGCAATTGTTATCAATTTTGTGGTTCTTTGGTAGATTCGCAGGTAAGCGGAGACACTCAGTTGACAAAAAAAAAGTGATGTCCGCTCATTTCAGCAATGCAGAGCGCCAGCGGTGAAGGTTGGGGATACGGGAAACAAGACGGACCGCATTCCTGGCCGGGAACGTGCCAAAATCATCTGAGACAGGTGAGGAGCATGCGTATTTTTTTTTGTAAAATACTCGAGTGCACGATTGAAAATAATATTCTCGCCTGGTAAAAAGAATGTAGTCCAACTCTTAGTAATGGTTTTCACTTGAAAACAACAACAATAAAATCATCAATATGTTACCAATGAGACCAAAGAGCTTCTCTCAATTACTTGAGAGGATATCCTGTATTGAAATTAACAGCCAATATTGTTATTATTTTGAATTTAAATTCCTTGAAACGACTACTATAAAAATCTCACCCTTCATTTTTAAGCTCATTTACATCTTCCTTAACAATTATTAATAACATTCTATAAAAAATATGAAACAACGAAAATTACGATTAAAATAAAACGTTTTTGTTTAATATGAAAATTCAATTATTATTAGAAGATTCAGTGATTATTTGAGTTATTCGAGTCCTTTTCGTATACGTATTTTCATTCGATGCTAATTTAAGAGGCTTCCGATTCGAATCAAAAACTAATTTACTGTAAATGATGATGAAATAAGTCGATTAAAAATATGAAAGGATTATATGATAAAAACCTATTTGATCAAAGAATCAACTATTTTATTGTAAAAATTTCAGTCACCAATCAATATTCGAGCGAACGATATCGATTATACTCCGCTACACCGGCTGCATTTTATCAACTACGATTACGATTCGACTGTTGAAGTTCAAAACACTGGAAAAACTCGTAAATTTGGAATAACATGCATTTTTATAAAGTCATTTATTTCAGTAATTGTGAAAGGATTTGACAAATGGATGCTTAAACAGCCAATGATTCAAGGTGGAGGTCTTAAGCATCGTTACAAGTTGGCCCAATTCCATTTGCATTGGGGGCAGAACGACGATGTTGGATCTGAGCATTCTTTAGGATCGTTGCATTATCCTGGAGAAGTAAATTATTTAATTGTTCGATAATATACATACAAATACATATTTAATTTAGATTCATTTGGTTCATATTCGAGAAGGGTTGAGTGTCCAAGAAGCTTTGACAAGACCTGACGGAATTGCTGTGGTTGGAGTTTTTTTGGCTAAAACTAGCGATCCAATTGCCAACAAATTTTCGCCAATTTCCGATACGTTTCCATTTGTGAAGTACAGCGGTAATGAAAATAACAATTTAAACGTTCTCAATCTAATTTGCAGGAAACAAAACCGAGATTCGAGAATTCCGCCCTAGCCGCGTTCTCCCATACGACACTGAAGCGTTCTACAGATATGAAGGAAGTTTGACTACCCCGGATTGTAGTGAAGCCGTTATCTGGACCATTTTGGCTGAACCATTGCCGATTTCGAACCAGCAGGTAATCTATTTAGTTGATCATCATGTTCAGACTAATTAGAATTTCTTATCAGCTTCACCAATTGCGCCAACTCCATGATTCGAACAATCTCATTTCGGAAAAGAACTACCGACCATTGCAACCATTGAACGGCCGCCGAATCTCGTACCGACCAGCTAAATTGGATCGCTCTCTCGTGTGCTCATTCTCTATATCGACCAATGTTATTTTAGCCATCTTTACAGCAATGATAATGACGTTGTGAAAGATTGAACGACGTGACAGTATTGTTTACGTGCAAAGGTGGTGACACGGTCATGAAATAGCTTTAATGATAAATATTATATATAAATATACATAGTTTTATTGGCTTTTCTCAAGCCTCGGCTTGATTTGTCATGTGCATAGATATTTCTTGTAAATTCACCATGTGTATATCAATCAGTAGCTGAATTGTTTAGGGAATAAATGCTTAATAAAACGAAAAATATTTTAAAAAAATTAAATAAGACAACAAACTTTGGAAATTCTACAATCCTGAAGATATATAAAGTGAAGCACATATGGTGAAGATAGCTGAAATAACTGTTCGTACCAATAACATTATTGAACTGCCTCAGCGACCAACTGAAGAATAAAATAAATGCGAAATTTCGACTATATCCATTATGCCCTTAATTTTCCATAATTTAGTTAGAGTTTTTAATATTTATATGTAAGATAATAGCTTAAACTAATTTTTCTGTTTTTCATAACATACGTGAATTTCTCATCTGACCTACTTTTTATGACAAAATGACAATATTATTATCAATCAAAATCTCTGATTATGGCAGCTTTTAGAGCAATTAAGTTCACACTTAAATCGAAATATAACATTGGATTGCTATATTTGAATTTTGTGAGTCATTCAAGATTTTTAAAAAGAATTATTAGTTTAGATGAAATTACAAAATTATGAATGAAATCACAATTAAACCCACTCACCCTTTTTTTTCGTTATTAGTAAATGTTTCACACAATTTCATTTGATTGAAATCGTTCGCAATGTCAGCAAAAGCCGCAATGATTTTGACATTTTCCCGTATTCTGGTCAAATTCTTTTTTTATAATAGTTTTGCTTTTTTTTTAGCCCAGCGCAAGTTCCCCGAGACTTATTAATCTTGACAATTTCCACCTGCCCGCGAGTTTCAGTTTAGCCGCCCTTTTACGCATTTTTGTAGTTATACGACTATTCTACATATTAATGTGTATATATTTTTAGGTGCATTCGATGATTTTAAAGAGCGAAAAAAGGATGTTTAATGCAAGGAAGACTTTAGAAGTTTCATATTTGTTTCATTTCATTGCAATTTATAGTTTTCGCATTGATTTTTCGATTTTAAAAACCGACGCAAAACATTTCTTTTGTCTGTCAGTAGTGAACGATCTAATACAATAACATTGCGTGCTGAAAATCGGTTTCTAGATTTTCATACTAGCTTATTTATAAAATTTTATTATATTAGGAAATGACGTTTATAATAAACAATTAGAAATATCCGAAACACCAATATTCGGATATTACGCTTTCTATTCAAGTTTATTTTTGAATTAAACAATTAGTTCAAATGATTTCATTTCTCGTTTCTATATTCTCGAAGGCATTTACAAGATAGTTTTGATCCTGCCGCAAATTGAGCATATTTTCTTATTCGTCTTTAATATCTACTGTAGTTTTCAATTTATTTCATACTGTATCTAACCAAAAATGATTAAAACACAATGGTGCCAATTTTTTTGATTTGAAGCCACGCTGAAATCCACCGTCAAACCTTACGATTCAGAAAAGAGACATTTGTTAATTATTTTTTCATCTGTGTCATAATCAATGACTAATAATCGCATAATTGGAAGGAGATCTATGCTTATCATCACTTGATTCATCAGCATCTCTGCTCTTTATTGGCGTTTCTTCCTTATTTATTAGATTTACAAGTGTTTTTTCATAGACATTTATTTAATTTTGATGCAATTCGAAGCCTTTTAATCATTATTGACATATTGCCCAGCTTTTGAGACCAAAACTTTCCGCAATAGCGCGATGCCAACAATAATTTCTTCTTCAAAGAAAAATATAAATTGTACGGTTCTAAGCAATATTTGATAATGAGTTTGATTCTTAGTTGTTTGCTGATCATTTTCATATAACAATATTGCGACAATCACGAATTGTACTTGAGCTTAATGGTTAGTATTGCAATTCAAATTACGGTAATTGGCCGCTAATGCGCGGAACTTGATCACGCAAACTCTACATTTTATAAGAAGAGTTCAGCCGTCTCATTCACATTCGTGTGTTGAAATTCTCCAGAAATTTCGATTCAATTTATTCACGTGGGGACCCTCCATTTTGGTATGCTGTTGCTCGAAATTATAAATCTAGTTTTGACTAAACTCTTGAGATGAATACGTCGTAAAGAAATTCCTACTGTATGCCGTTTTTACGATTTGCTCTAAAAATTTTTACAACCCACTTTTTGCTCGAAGTCATTACGTGTGCCTAATTCCTAAAGCATGCTCCGCCCCCTCTCCTCCTTTTCCGCACGCATGCACAAAACACATGCAATACCGCCATCTGAAAATGGAACCAATCATTTGTTTCACGTAACATAATCTCTAATATCTTGTTTCTTCTTAAAAGGTCCCGTGAGAATTAGAATAAATAGGGCGTTGTTCATAGTAATTCAGCACATTCCTTCAATCATTTCCTTCCTTACGTCATTTTCTGTGCCCCGATGGCTTTTCCTCGAAGGTTGGAAGGTAATGGAACACTCGAGAGCACCTCCTATGCTAGAAAATAAGCGTCGTGTGCCCTCAATTAGAATGGCAGAGAGACATTATTGCGGGATATTTTAATTAAACTCAATTCTACTGTTTCTTGCGATGTAAATAGTAATTCATGCATTTTTTTTCTGCTTCTTCACACTTGACCAGCTCTTCCGAATTTCAAGGAAGATCATTCATATTTCCATTGAAGCACCATTTTTCTCTGTTTTTCATGTTCGTGTGGGCATGCCGAAATCTGTTGTTTTTCAGAAAATATTATACGAAATTTCATTTTCTCAAAAACAATAAATATCGTGTGCCGTAATCCAGTTATTGGAATTCTTTCTTCACCAAAGGTCACACAAGGCTTTCTCGATAATTTCCGCTTTCCTCACCATGTTTCTTAATGTTGCCCGCATTCTAATTGGCATTCCATTGACGATTAATCATCTTGTGGGTTCACAGGTTCCGCAAGTCAACGCCAAACTCGCATAAAATGCAAACGGGGTACACTATTGTCGTGCTTTTTGCACTTCTCGCCGTCGCCGCCTCAATGTTCGTCCCAAACGAGGTTTTCCGCCATTAATTACCAGTTAATTATGATTGCTATTTTAGTTCGCTGGTGATGAAGAATTCGGCCCATCGATCATCAAGAGGAATTACTATGACCCCAAGTAAGCAAAGTTCAGCCGCATTTCAAACTCATCATCATTGCTATTTTAGACCTCTTAAGCGTCAATTCAACGCCGACGATTTGACCCTCAGATTTGGAAAACGCTCCGATATGGCATTCCGGCCCGACCAGCTATCGCTCCGTTTCGGAAGACGTTAATATGTATTCCAACTCACTATTGAGAATTTTGTGAATAAACTGTTATCCAGAAAAAATGAAGAAATCGTTCGAATATATATAAATATATAAATATATATTTATTTATTTATTTATTTAATGTAACCATATTTATTTATATGACATTTTGCATTAATGTGGAATATAAATGCTATCATTTGTAGCGGATACTTTGCGAAGGAAATCATTTCGTAACGCGGTGTGAATTGTCTTTGAATGGTGTATTTGAACTTTCTTCTTTGGTTTTTTAGAATCGCACGTGTGCATCTCAGATTCTGGAACATAGCGAACCAGTTTGATCCAGTCGAAGCAGCGAGGCTTCATATAATAGGAGAGCGGGTTTTGAAATCTACCTCGGCCATTAAATCCTGGAAAAATAGTAGTGCTCAATTACTTCGAACTTGTATTGTCAAAAAACAATAGGTTTTTGAAAAAAAAATACAATCATAATTACTCCCCCCCCCCTCTATTGAAATCGCGCAGCTCTGGATTATCCACTATTTTCGCCATCGAGGAGTGAGCCCAATAAATTATGTATTGTTTTTTATAATGATTTGTTGAAAATGCAATTTTTCGGTTGACGTTACAAATTGCGGTTCAAATTTTGAACTTGAAAACTGTTCAATGTAAGAGCTCACGATTCCTAAAATACATTACGCATTCTAAAAATGGGTATTCCAAGTGCAATGCTTTTCTTTTAATCCTTGAGAAAAGACAATACCACGAAATGTAATTTATCGGAACTTCGTTATTTTTCGAATTAGAACTAGAAGGAAGTCGCATCGAAATTCAATTTGATGTGCACACTTTTTTCGAGAATTTAATTCCACTAAAGGGACTAGTCTCGATAACTTACCAAGATACAGGGTTGACTTCCAATTTGATCGGATTCGCGAATAGCCGTTATCCCGAATCTCCTCGTGAAATGTGCACTTCTCGTCGTGCCCATTGAACTGTAAATTGATTATTTATGTTTGTTGGTGTCTAAAACGCATTCTGCGGCTTCCTAATCCCATTTCGACAACGCATATTCACGTCTTTATCAATAATTGATCTGCATCGGAATTTTTGGAGCGACTTACTCGCAATGTAATCCGCGCGCGTTTGTTGAAACAAATGAATTTCCTTGATTGCGCATGTTGCAGCTTGAAAGAACCATCCCACTCACCAATGACGTTCCAATCAGCTGAAAAAAATTGTTGAAATATAAAGTTTGATTTTTTAGATTTAAGCATTTCTATTAATAATTTCAGCTGTTTAAGAAAAAGTAAAGTGCACCTATCAGTATAAATTTGTTGGTAAATGACGGGATTTGAAGGAACCAAATGATGCGAGAAATAAATAAAGATTGAAAAGGATTTGGAAAAAAATTGGAATGGTTGGATTCAAAATTTGGGATTTTGTTGTGTGTGCAAGATCGAATTTTTAATCGAAATATTACGAAAAATAAATTTTTTTTGTTGTTCTGAAGCCCTAAAATGGCATTCGCTTCAATTTCACTAGGCCATACGAGATTTCAACAACATTTTGTTTGAAGATAAAACGAAATTGAATTCCAAAGTAGTTAATCAATTTTTGTCCACACTTGATTTCAGAATAAATTCGTAGTGTAACAAATTTTATACGAGAAGACCTAGCGATAAGGTGCGTATTTGTATTGCAATTTGAAATTTATGACTGTTTTTGTCGGCGTGTTTGTAAACTCACTAAGACAATGTCTATCGGGGTAGCCTCGAGTGTTAATAGTCCCCAAAAACGATTGAAGCATCCCTTGACTACACTCGTTGAATAATTGCCAATGCGTCTCGCCAAGTCTTGTAATGCGGGAGTGAAATCGTGGACTGTAACGAAAGCAAATGATTAATGAAAAATGAAACAAAGAGGAATTTGCTTTTAAAAGTTTGGTTACCTTGCCGAATGTATGAAACACCAAATAATTGTACATAGAATTTTGTTGAGCATAGCTCACATGATCATCCTCTGCATATGGGAAGAAATAAATTAGGGCATTGCCGGTTAGGTACTCACCTGTTAATTCCTGTTTTGATTCAAAAATCGTTGCACATAAAGAGACCGGAAGAACCCTTGGAGCGTTTGATGAATCGACGCAAATCAGTCAAAGCGGCACTCGAAAATTGAGAAAGAAAACCGTTCAGCGCGAGTTGTAACCTTGAAATTCGTAAAAACAATAGATGGATGCAGGAACAACGGAAACAATATGTTTGCACAATGGAAATTTTGAGGTATCATCGATGACAAAAACATTTCCCAATGTTTCGGACGCTGAAAAGGTGAGGAATACGAAATTGAAGACAGATGACGATTCAAATTTAATCAACTTTTTGTTCTTTCTCAAAAGACATTGAATGATCATGTTTTGAGGATCGTAATTACAACTTTTGCGCATTTGTATCCAGATGCGATATATTATACCAATACTTACTGGACATGAAACTTATTATGAAGAATACAATGCGGATAGATGTAATAATTCGGGATGTGGTTTTCTTTCTTTCATTCAATTCGACATCGAATAAAATATAAGTCTCAAAATTGGCAAGGGTTTCATTGAATATACGTATAAGAAACGGTATTAGTCAAAACCAAAAAATATGAATGTTTGTATATTCTCAAGGTGTGGTCTATTATAGAAAATCAATTGAAGAAATGGTGAGGCATAACTGACCTCATGTAAAGTGATGAGGCGTTTCGAAATGTGATTTTGCTATTTGAAACGTTTGCTTGACACGGCCACACATGGAAAAAAACTAACAAGGATTTGACGAATTGTTGATTAGTCTAGAAATTATGAGATGGTTGAGGTCAAGGGAGGATAACCACAATAAAAAAAACGACGACCTGCCAATTGGTTCGCTATCCCCGTCGAATATAATAATTTTGTTTCTAATGATCGTTTTTTGGTTTGTGTTGGTAGTTTCTCCAATCAAATGGTGGTGTTCGGAAGGACAAATGCAAAATCAAATGAGGAAGGAAATGACACCAGCAGCAATGTATTCGGGATTATTGAAAAATTGAAATTTGAAAATGAACGGTACAATGAGAAACGATAAATAGGCGTGAATTTGAATATAAGGCGAGAGAATGCTTGTAATGATTGGGGCGTGTCGTGGTTGGACGTCTCACAGTCTGACCATATACAAACAAATGAAGATACGAAATACAAATGTTGAAAATGAGAGACATATTAGGAATACATTCTTAGAATTTTAAAAACTAAGTTTTGCGTAATAAATCGGGAAAATCAATTGTATTGAAAATTCTGCCAAGTAGGGTAAGAATTGTTAAAACTTTTGTACTCAAGTATAATCAAATTGGTTTATAACCTTCATTGCAAAAATGAAAATATTTTTATTGGCTCATTTCCCACGCCCTTCTACTAACATATCAATCAAGAAATCGCACTACTGAATACGGTACACCAATAGATTGAATGTCAGATATCTCTTTTTTGCCAATTTATCATTTGGCGCATGCGACGCCTTTTAGTAGATCCCTTTTTCCTCGCTTCTTTTTGTTTGCCAAATGAATTATTTTTCTTTGTTCGTCCGTTTTCGAAACAACTTCTGATCTTGGAGATTTTAAGAAACGCCGCTCTGGGATGGAAATAAGAAAAATTAGACATAGCCTTTTGCGTTTTATAGAACTTCAAAAGCCTTAACGAAAAATATCGATCGGTAATATTTGCAAAGCGTAGAATAACCACAAATTATTAATTACGCGAGTTGTCAGTAAAAAAACTGTTTGTGTAGAATTTAACATATGTATTGAATCCCAATAATTTTCAAATGGAATTGATAACTTACCTCTATTTTTTTACAGCTACTGCAACATAAAAATGATTTTTTCGAACGGAATATTACTTATTAACAGAATATTGTGTAATGTGCCGATGGTTATCTAAAAATATTACCAATTTAAACTTTTTTTGTAAAAAAAATCTGGAAGAATTATTCTCTCATCCATTCATATTGTCCAAATTCAATTAAGGACCAATTTTTGAAAAGTTGGAGTTAGAAAATCTTTTTTCTAGTGATTATAGTAAATTCGAATATATCGCAATAATGTATTAATCATAATTTAAAAAAAAAACGTGTGTTCACTATGGGTAATTGGTGGTTTTTCGAATATACATCGCTGGATCGATTCTTGCATAAGCGTAGCTTAACAGCTTCAAGTTTCGACTCATCGAATGATTTTGTATACAAAAGATTTATTGTTTGGTGCATATTAGTAAGATGCAAACCTCATAGTACTAAATCGCAAATCAAACAGTTTGCAGAAAATTAAAAGAATTAAATTTTCACCGATAGTTATAGTACTGATTATGCGTATTGCGTTGAAAGCTGGCAAGAAATCGTACATACCATCCAAACAATGCTCCATGCAGGTAATAAGAGGATTACTAGAGGTTAAAGGTAGGATTATTACATCAACTTGAGAGAATCAGACATTAAGATGAATTTTAAAGAATATATCGTCATCCATTGCTCAGTTATTGCCAGATTTTCAAAATATGCTGATATTTGCTAAAATTGGTCATTGCTCGAATCTGTTCATGGGGTTTTTAAGAGTCATTAATGCGAAATTGAAAGAAGTGTCAAGGAAATTAGAAAAAGGTCAAAAATAAAAATCAAAAATTAGATATTTGGTCATTATCGCCAAATTAAATATATATTTTAAGCGCGATTTATTTTAAGTTCGATTTCGTTTCGGTACACTATGTGAAAAGCATTTCTCATGTCAGCTAAGCGTTTTTTTAGATTTTCAAAAGTTTAATGGATGTTGAAACATTATGTGATTACTGCAATATATCTTTTATGATTTACTAAATCGTGGTCTATTTTCTTATATTGTTAAAATTTAAGCACTGGCACCATTTAAATCATTTTATTCCTTTCATGAAATTTTTTATGTTTTTCACCTTGTCATAATATTTTTTTCATTTTTGCAGTAAAAAATTCACTAACAGTTATCACCGGATTTGCAAACACTGTGATAAATTTCAATTTTGAATTGTAAAATTTGAAAAAATTTAATCTCACCCGTTCATTTACCAAAAAATGCTGAATTACTACTGAAACAACGTATTATTGAGACAAAATTCCTATTCTTTCATTATCTTTATGTTTCCATAATAGATTGAAAATCCAGCACAAAAATATTTAGTATACTTTTTTGTATTGAAGTTATTCTATAACGAAGTTTATAAGTTTCTGATCACCGCTTAATCGAATATGTCCGAAAACAATGTTGTCATCACAACGATTTATTAGTATTCTTTCCAATAATTTTAAGTAATATTAATTTGGTCTAAAAAAATAAGTCAGCAACTTTATTACCCGAGGAATAAGGGAAGGAAGCAAAGCCTTCTTCATAAGAAGTCAATTGTTAGATCAATGTCAAGTTTGGATACAAGCAGGATTACATGATTATTAGAAAACGAATTAAATTTGAATAAAGAGAAGTATACAAAATGTGATGATAAGCATTATATTATTATTGTTGGCCGACATCAAATAATAGCCGCTGTCTCGGTATTTCTGGGCAAATGAATTGTTGGGGAATACCAAAGTGTCGTGCTTGTGATGATTATGAGTTTCATCGTGGTGGTGATGATGATGGTGATGCTTCCTGAACGTGATTGATTAGAAAATGCCGTGATATATTTTTTCTTTTTTTTTTGTTCTAGATCTGTGCCAATTCAATTAAATATGTTTTTTTTGCTAGAATGTTGACCACAGAATTCTCGTGATAAGAATCACATCCAAACATCACATGGTATTCATAATAATTTTGGAAATTCATTAATTTTCAACGTGTAACGCCAACTTTCTATGTCCCGAATGGATAAGTGTGGTTGTTTCGGGAATTGTGGTGGTCGTTGTCGGCGATCTGCAGACATCACACTCGCATTTTTGAATATGCTCGAACGCACACGAGCCCCCACTGCTAACCTGTAGTCAATAAAAACGTTCGCGGTTGAATTGCGACCAAAAATAATTGCATCTTACCTGTCGGATTGATTCGTCATCTACGTAATAGTCTTGATATGAAATGCATCGGATTGTATGTTGAATAATTGCTGGGTCTCCTCTGAATTCAACGTAATTACCGTAATTCAATGTGTCATCAATTCTAACCCATTTTTCTCATAAACATTGAGGCAAATAATTAAAGAGCTGGGATCACGGTATGCGCAGTCGATGACATCTTTGAAGCAATGCTCATAAGTTGATCTAGCTTCAACGCAATACGTGCAGTTCTAAACAAAACCGATTCAATGTAAATGTGTCCTCACATTGTCTATTTCTTACAATTGTCGATGGCAGCGGAATGAACTGCACCGCAGTCGTGAGAAGGCAAATTGCCGCGCAGTCCATCTGCAAGGTGTGTTCATTTTTTGTTCGTTATTAAACTTTTCCCCATCGCCAACAAACACAATAAACGAAAAATCACCAACGGAAATGCGCCTAGAGTGAAAAGAATTGAAGAGAACACCGGAAGGCAATATTCATACTGTAGATCAGAAAGGCAATCAAGTGTAAAATTGTGAGGTGGTGAAAAAGAAAGGAAGACAGCCAAAAAAAAACAAGCTCGCATGCAACGAATACATATATGTACAGCATAAATGGGATTTCACCAACAACAGAAAAAAAAACAAGAAAATGTTTGAAATATGGCGAGCCAAAAGTTGTTTTTTTGGCGGCGTTGAAAGGAAGATATTTGACTGGTGGAATTCACGCAAAATTGCGTTATGCACTTTGTTCAGTTTGGTGCCTCTATTGGGTGTGGATAATTGCAAACGATACATAATTACTTTTTTGTCGCCAATGTTGTACATTAAAATACGCTTCATTTGTGTTCGGATAGTGATCTTCGTTTTTTTTTTGTTTTGAAAATAATACGAAATCCGGTAAATTTTCGCATTTACTAGAGAATTTTGTTGGCACATATGTTTATTTTTTTTATAAAGGTCACCTGGAAATGTACGAGAAAATAATTTGAAAATGATACATTTTCAGTAAAGAAAGATTATAATCGTTCGAAAAAATGATATTGATACTGAAGGATAAATTCAAGGAGTTTCCGAAAATAATTTGATAACACTTATCAAATATCTGATATCAAAATCCAATGAACATTTCGAATTGACCAATTTTAAGTTTCGTGGCAAAGGAAACTTTTTTTGAGAGTCAGAAACCAGGCATTGAAATCATCAATTTTCTCATAAACGCTCTCAATGAGTTGTCAGAAATGTATGTACTTTCCAAATGTGTTTTGTGGTAGTATCATAGAGAAAGGTCGTGGCGAAAAGCAGAAAAAAACAATAATAATAAACCGAGATAATCGGCAAAACTAGTAGTGATGAGTCCTGAGGCCTAATTAAGCTTGTAGCATTCAGTTCTAGTAGCCATAACATCGGGCAGTTTGCGGGCCGACCCAATGTTGTCGTAAAACCATCGTCGCAACATTTGAAATGTCAATTTGATGGGGAATGATACGTATGGGGCTGTAATAAATTTTAAACAGTTTCTGAAAGTAGACAATCGCCGAGAAATGATCGTAATGCGGTATAAAAGAAAGATGAAAAAGAACGAATTGTGTGAATTTGGCGGTTTGGCCGAAAACAAACGGAATGTTTTAATTGGAAAATTTTTTCCGATATGCATTTCCCTCCGAAAAAAATTTGATACCGGTGGGATCCGATGGCTTTTAGAAACCGAGAAATCCTATTAAAGAAAAAAAAAAACAGGAACAACAGAATAAAGACTTAATTATTTTTTGCTTTCACCAGACAATAGATTAGGAACCAACGAAACATGCATAAAGAAAAATTATTGAGCAAAAATTTCCAAATGAACGATTTTCAGCAAACACGTCGTTTTCTGTTCTATTGACTAAGAATCACTTTTGTGAAAGCTAGTTTGTTTATATTTATGAGGCTTGACCCTCAAAGTTTTTTTCTGATTTATGATGTAGATCATAAAGAGGGGTTGAAAGAGAGTTCGTCGAAGGACGGCATTGGCGGCGGCGGCTCACACACAAGTGAAATAAGAGAATTTTCGAGGGGAGGAGTTTATCCATTCGGTTTATTACCCGTTTTTTTTAGAGACTGAACACCATTTCATTCGTAAATGAAACGTTTGACACCGCGATTTGATAGGTACATAAAAATCTGTAAAGCGGCGACAGCTGCATAGTCAATAGTTTTAGATTGGATGAATTCGTGACACTCTACCAAATACATAAAAAAAAGTGCATCGAGCGAAACGTAGAAGGGGTCAAATGACAGCAACTTTGACAAGTAAAGGAACTGCCTACTTAAAAATGCATCTATGCATAACTTAGGATGGGACAACACCCGAATATTTATTTTCATCTAATTTATTGTACATGTTGTGAAATTTGTGAAATTTGAAAATACTTGAAATCGATTTGGGGAAGCGCAAACAACAAATATCGTTTCATTCATAATTCTCGTAGAATGTCTTCTTCCACGTTATTATAGTGACTCGTCCAAGGTATACAATGCTAAATGGTGGGGGTTATTATCGCGAAGTCCATTGTCATTAAACCATAAGGTTAAAAATATTTGATGAGGTTTTGACTGAAATTCTATAATTGATCATTTTGCTGAAGTTCTATAATTAGTAGAGACTTATATAAGTTATTAAAAGCACATTTTAACTACACCAGACACAAAATGCACATGTTCAAAAATCTGTCTTATATTTTCATAAAATTCTTAAATGAAATTTATTATTCATCACGAAATGAGAATTTTTGACATCAGGAAATATTTCTGCAATTTTGTTTTTCAAGTTTTCAAAATCGGGGATTTTTTTTTGAAGACCATAAAAGGGCGATGCCAAAATGCAAATCTCAATATAAATATCACCCTAGGAAACGAAAAAATGCAGTGAAATAAAAATGGGTTCGGTGACAAAAATTCTAAAAGCGAATGGTGGTGTCGTTGTGAAGATGAGAGATCATTATTTTGAAGAGCCACTGAAAAGAACCAAACCAGGAAATTAATGAAAGTTTTTCTGTTTCTTTTTTCAATGGCGACAAGTCGTTGAGCAATGCGAAAAGAACAATGCGTTGAAAAAGAAAGTTCGAGCCATTTGTGTTCAAAAAATTTTATGGGCTGTTTGAAGAGCGCAATGAAGAGATACGAGCCCTTTTACAAGTAATGAGTTTTTCAATGCCGTCTGATGAAAATGGCGTGTACGATATGAGCAATACAACCAGGTGGTTCTGAAACGAGAAAAATAGTACAACCTATTTTTATGAAGAAAGAGGGGGGGGGACGAATATGCGTATACTTGTGACAAATTGCCACGAGACAAAGAGATATATAACTAGCTTTCTTTGGAGAATTTTTATTTACGAACATATTTTCAGAAAAATGATCTAACAAGGCTAATAATTAAATGCGACGAATTGTGGGTTTATTCTCAAAAGCTTGTTTTGAGAAATGATGGTTTTATAAGCACTTCCTAGAATTTGAGCTCATGAAGATGAATAAGATTTATCAAACTCGCTGAGAAAATTTTGCATAATGAAACATATCGAGTGTGTTTTGGAAGTGCGGCCGTTTTCCAAAAATAAAGTGTTGGAGAAAACAAGCACGTCCTCCAATATAGGACCGACAAAAAAGCACACAAGACAACGATCCCCGGGGGAACGCTGCTCTAACCCAAACAGCTGGAATATAGACATGAGAAAAAAATGGTTGCGTGTGTCTTGTTGTTAACTTTTCAATTAACTTATATGAATGTGATTGCATACAAATTAAATTCGCAGATCCAGTATTTCTCTAACATTTTATGAGCAAACTATTTCTTCATTTTCTTTTTTGGTCCACATTAATTATTTCATTTGGGTCGAGTGTTTTTTTGGTAACTTGTTTTGGCAAAGCATTATCTATTTTGCAGAAATGGGAAAACGCTAAACGAGATTAAGAATACTTGAAAAAGGAACGGGAATTAGTTTTAACTTTACTCTTTTGTTTGCGAACCTTTGAGATCGCCGAAATTTATTACCATGTAACTTTAAGCTACCTAACTTATTTTCTGAAGTATAGGAGAACTTAAATAGAAAGGTGTTATCATAAATTATATGACAGTAAAAAAGATTTGAAATAAAAACTAATGAATTGGGGAGATAAGTTACATGTTAAAGGGACTGAATGAATTTTCTGTGAATGATATTAGCTAATACAGTGTGAATGAACGAAACGTATGATAAATGAAATTACGGTAGTAAAAATAAATAAAAATGAGAATAGCGTCAATCTTCTCAGAAAATAGTATTAATTCAAGTAGATAAATTTTGCTGTAAATAGTATTACAAGGATTAATTTTTGAATTTTTTCCTTGACACAATGAATTGGAACTGCGGGGCGAAATCTTGAAATAGACTTGACTCTTAAGATTAAAAATATAAGTTTTTTCACCTACAGGAAGTATTTGAATGCACAGCACTTTTAAACAAAATAATTAAATAATAATAATAATATGGATTAGTTAATGGTAACTTACGGACACCTAAAATTGTGAACAAATAGCAAATGCTGTAATAAGGATGTGTTCCGATTTTCCTTTTAGTTGAATGGAATTACCCATGTGCAATAACGAGGAAAAAGGTGTGAGAATAACGACGGATTTAATTATCGAAAGTTGGGCTAATGGTTCCACCCCCCACATCTCGTATTTATAAGAAATCACCCGTGCAAGATAATTAATAAATGAGTTTCTTCTTCAATCCTATGAGTCACAATACATAGTGAGTCATGCGAGAAGAAATGTGAAAACACACGGTGGTAAGTCAGTTGATCGAACATTTTGGTATTGAAAAGCGATCGAGTCACCGCGGGAGGTCTTTCGCAGAGCGCGAATTGTTTTCGCACCAAATGGGTGGTGAAAGAATAATGGGCGAAAATGAAGACGATGACTGCACGTGTTAACCATCTGCACAATTTTCGTCGTGATTTATCAATCTCTCGTTTACCGGATCATTAACGACGTGGTGTGCGTTTTTTGCACATTTTCCACTCATCTCTGTTTGCTTTTTTTTACGAGTTTTCGACGAGCCAATGGTCATTGTGTTCGGAAAGCTAAAAGCCATTGGATGTAATGATATATAACGATCAAGTACACACAGCAATATTGTCTGACCCAACGAAAACTTTACATTCACGCTAAAACTGTGAGGACTACCATATGTTTTCGTTATATAGCAATCAAGATCGGAAAATATTATTTGAAAATCAAACATTTTTTTTAAAAGTTTTGTCCATACACAGCTTATTTGTGTAGATTTATGAATTTTTATTTTTGTCTCAATATTTTTGTATTTATTTTTTTTTTAGAAAATCTCTTTAGTGACCGTAAAAATAATAAAACCGTAGACATGAGAAAATAAATAAAATTATTAGAGCGTTCTAGAAAAAAAAACCAAAAGCCAACTGATTCGACGAGAAAATATTACGACTTGAATTTATGAGTGAATGTCGATTTGGAACTCGCGTGTCACATATGCTCCAGGATTTGGAATTTCCATGAGGAAGTTTTCGCGGTTGAACTCAAATTCGAGATCCTCAGGAATGATATCTGAATAAATAATTCGTTCAAAATGTTGACTTTTTGAATCTTGCCATCAAGGAAAATATGAGCATTTCTTGGGTAGAATTTCGCTCCGCGGATAACAATCTTCTCAATATAATCGTCACTATCAAGTTTTCCATTCTTGTCCAAATTTTTGTTCTTAATTGTGTGCAAATAGTCGTGCTGCCTTCAAATTAATTAGTTTTAGATTACAATCACAAGAAGTTGACCAACTTCTGGAATGTGAATCCCCAGTAGGCGAAGTCGCCCTTCTCGTAGGCATAAGATTCTCCATCGTCCAAATAAATTGTTCCATTTGCAAAGTCTCCTTTAGAGTTAAGTGCAATGTACAAAATAATTGGCTGCTCGCGGGTCTCTTGAGTTGTAAGCTTAACCTCAGATTGTTGCGGGATGATAGTTCCTAAAAACATGAATTAAGAGAGGATCTCTGAGAAATTTGTTGTACCTCCTCTCTGGAACATTCCAATAGTATTTGTCTCAACTGGAATTTGGACTGCTCCTGGAGATGGGCGAGCTTTGTGAGTGTGCCAGTCATACCAAACCTAAATTACAACTTTGGACTTGTCTGCAATAGCATCTGAAAACTAACTTGACGCTTTCCGGCCAAGTAAATTGAAAGATCTTTAGCTTTCGGCTCTTGGACAGCTTTAACTAACAATGCGTTTCCAACCATCCATTGGCGATCCTCTTCCCATGAAGCTTCATCCTCAATGAATTCCAACCAGAATGGTCTCATCACTGGTTTTCCGGTCTTAGTGTGCTCGTAGAATAAAGTGTACCAGTATGGAAGGAATGAGTAACGAGTCTTGATAGCCTCACGAATTGCATCAGTAGTTGTCTAAAATACACATAATTGATAAAACTGAAATTTAAAAAATTCAACTTACAGTGTTGAAAAGCCATGGTTCACGGCGTTTGCTGTCTTGGTGGGAGTGCCCTCTGAAGAATGGCTGGAAGGCTCCGGCTTGGTACCAACGAATAAGGAGTTCCTCATCAGGATTTCCAAAGAATCCTCCAACATCAGCACCAACAAATGGCATACCAGCGGTTGAAAGAGCAAGGAGCATTGGAATAGATTGCTTCAAGTGTGACCAATCAGCAGTGTTATCTCCAGTCCAAGCAGCAGCAGTCCTCTGCGATCCAGCGAAGAAGGATCTGGTAAGCACGAATGGTCTGACTTCGTTGTTACTTCTATCCTTGAGCCCTTTGAATGTTGAGGAATGCTGGTAAAATCCATACATATTGTGAACATCTCTGTGCTCCCATCCACCGTAATGCATGGCATCTTTATGCATCGTAACTTCAGGTCCTGAGAACACGGAAGGCTCATTCATGTCGTTCCAAATATGAACATCCTTGGTGGTTCCCTTATATTTATCAAGCGAGAATTGTTCCGCCCAGTATTTTCGGGCTTTCGGATTGAAGAAGTCGATGTAAGTCGAGTCTCCTGGCCAGCAATTTCCTTCGTAAACATCACCAACGGCATCTTTGACGAGAAGCTTCTGCAATTTTAACAATTAAAAAATTTCGTGAAAACTAAAACCCTACGTTCTTCTTAGACTCTTTATAAATGTGATATTTGGAGTCTTTCTTGATATGCGGGTCCACAATAGTAACCAATTTGCGATTCTAAAAAATCTTATTTAAAACAATTGTTTGTACCAATCCTACCTTGTCAGCCAATTCTTTGACCATCTCTTCTGGTTTCGCGAAATTATCTTTGTCCCAGGTGAAGTAAGCCTTCTGGTCAGTATGTTCAATATCAAGCCACAAAACATCCAACGGGATTTCGTTCATTATGAATCCTTCGTGAACTTCTTTTACATCTTTCTGATCTTTGTAGTTCCAACGAGATTGATGATATCCAAGCGAGAAAAGCTATAAAACTTTGATGTGCATGTTTTGGTTTATCTCCAATTCTTACTGGTGGAAGTGGAGTGGTACCAGTCAATGTAGCCAGCTGTCTGAAAATGTCGTTCGGCTGTGGTCCGAGGGTAATAAAGATGTCAATGACTCCAGACTCCGAGAAGAATCGAGTGTTGTGTTGTGGAACATTTCTTGGCGTGGTGTCAGCATCCAAAATTTCTTTGCTCAACCCTCCCTGATGTTATTTGGTTTAACTTTATCAATTTCAAAATTCTACCAACTTTATCTCCAGTGGTAGGTTCAATATCAACCCAAGTTTCAGCGGCATTCAGCCAAAGAGCTCCAACACTTCTCTTTTGGTTAACTCCAACCAAATAAGGAATAGATCCGTACAAGGCCATTGGAGAGTTTGTTTCATACTCGAAAACGTCCAGATTGTAGAGACGGTATGGCTCATATGTTCTAGTGTCTCTGAGCTGATATCCTTCGGCGTGCTCAGGAATTCCAAAAACATATTTGGCTCCAACGAACGCGATATCAACTCCGACCGAAGAAGATCCTATAAATATTTCGGCTGATGATAGAATTACCCAACTATACATATATACCATGCGGTTTAGTATCCTTGACCTCTCCAAATGTCTCTTCCCAGTAACCTTTCTCTCTATCCGAAAGAAGGACTTTCTTTTTGAACTGCTCGAACAGAAGAGTTCCTTTTGAATTGATTGATGAGACCAGCTTGTCCTTGTGGTAGAAATCAATTCTGAAGGGTTTATGAAGAAGAACAATGCGGTTTCCATCGGTTGTTAAAATCTTGGTAGCTGATTCCTCTTCTTTAGTCTTTTTGACTTTCTGCTGAGATGGTTCTCTTTCGACAAGAGCATCTAAAGGCTGGTATCTCTTTCTCAGTGCTCCTTCATCGTCATCAATAAGGACTCTAACAGTAGAATCTTTAAGAGAAACAATGCTCAATCGTAGAGTGGTATCCTATAAAAGGACGATTTGTCAACGTTCATAATTTCTGAGTACCTTGTTCTTGATTTTCGCGTGTAAACCTGTCTCGTTGATTTTGATGGAGTCTTTGATAACCTCATATCCTGTTTGCGTCGTTACCGCTCTATGACGCCTAAAACAATAATTATTCAATTTTCGGCGTGAAATTTCCGCATTGAGAAAAACAGGTTCTTGTATTCTTTCAATTCACTTCCCCACGTTATCCAACTAATCTAACTCACTTGCAAAAGCCCGATTGATCACATGTTTTGAACTTCTGCCTATCAACAGCCTGAATCGAAACGAACACGAGAAGTGCGACTATTAGTCGCGACCACATCGCCCTGAAATACAATCAACTTTTTGGAAAACGCAAGAAGAAGCCAACAAGATTGCCGCAGCTTAAATGAAAACGCGTCGAATGACACGTTGCTTTTGTATTCGCGAAAGTTTCTAGAAAATTCTAACTAGACGTTAAACACAGTGGGTTGGAGATAGAATACGATGATTGGACGATGCTATACACGACCAAGACGACGTCCATGACCTGTTGCGAGAGATACTGTCGAATGAGGAGACTTCCCCCTCCCCACCGAAAAAGAGAACTAGGATGAAGGCTTGATGAGTTGGAACTTTGATCCAGTATTCCAACAGCCGAATGAAGTGTACGTGAAAATTCAATAACATCTCGATTGGCAGATTGTGTCGTCTTTTGGATGACCTTCAGATATATCAGCAGAACCTCATCGCAAAACAATGACACGTGTACTTAATTGCAATTGAGTACAACAGGAAAGAATATCAACTTTTTATTTCTTCAGAAATTGATGAAGTTGTTGTTAAGGAAGTCACAATTTTGCTTGAAACATTTAGCGTACAAAGTTCCCGAAAACCAGCAGTATATGATTTTCCCATAACATGAAGGTATAATTACCGTCTAAAAATACTAGGCATTCATTAATCATCCGAATTTCTTGATATATATTATAATGTGTGCTCAAACCAGCAGAAATCGCAATAATTTATAAAAACAACCAACACAACAAAAATAATGAAAATAAAATACGCGTAATTTTAAAGTTCGGTGCAGAACTCGAGACCCTTGTAAATATCAGCTGGTGGAGTAGTTCCCGGCTGGAAATAACTTGAAGAATGTTTTAAACAAGTTGGATTACCGTAACTGCTGACAATTTCTTCGCGAATTCGTAAAGCTTGACTTTTTCCTTGTCGTCCAATTCTCTTGCAAATGTATGTCCAACGTAGACTTTATTGTTCTGCACCGAACACGCTCCAAAAATGTACATTGTGGTGTCAGCGCCAGTGCAGAAACTTGGAAGAGATGGACGTTTTGGCATTGGTGGGACCGTCACATTTTTCCCGTCATTTTCTTCTGCTTTCTTGAAAGCTTCGCTGATGATCTGAATAATTTAATATTGATGACAATTTAATGGACAACTACCGAATTAAAGGAGGCTAGCTCTTTCTTATACTTTTTGTATTGGTCCATTTCTTCTTTCTTTAAGTGTCTAATCATGTTACCTTGAGAGAAAAGAATGTTTTTCTGAAAAATAATGACTGTTTCACCTAGAAGAATGAATTTGATTACCGTTACAATGCATCCCAAATTTCCAGCATTGTTATAGCTGTAGGGCAAGACAAATTGCAAAAACGTTACAGCAATTAGTAATCTAAAACATTCTTAAATTTGGCAATTTCATTCAAAATCTCACCGAAGCATTGTGTGTTGATTGAAATAAAACAATATCGAGCCGTTGGTGAGCAACGTTTTATAAGCGAGCCACAAAAAACGTACGGGCGGTGCCTCAGACTAGAGTGTCATGTCATGGCCGCTGACCTTCTTTGTTTCTCAAAAATCAAAACACATGACTGTTTGTGTCTGCATAGAAGCCTCAATTTCCGAAAAATTGGTAGAGAGCTCCGACGAAGAAAAGAGCGAGAGATAGAAACGTTTCGACGAGCACAAACATTACGGATTAGGTTTTCAAAGCGCACTTGGAAGCCTGAACCTGATCGAAATCGTACAGAGAAAAAAAATCGAAAACGGCAATGTTTAATTTTGAGTTTTATCTCTTGTCGTTATTGTTTGCACACCTCGTTTTGGGAAATATTTGAGAGCGATAGTCTTGTCCTATTCTTAGATTCCATTCCATCAAGTTTCTGGAAAAAAACTCCTGTTTTCCATAAATTTGCGTGTAATTTATTCAATCAAAATAAACGTATGTCACATTTAAAAGAACCTGGTGCCAATTAAACCAAAATCGAATTATTTTAGCAAATTTGATTCAAATATTAGAGTTCACTTGGATGGAAATATGAGAGACTTGAGGTGACCACAGATATTTCTGGATTATCGTGAGTCTCTCGTTGAAAAGCATCATGATGAATCTGAAATTTTCACAAACTTAGTTGAGTTTTTTACCTAAAAGTATATTTTATTTTATAGGTCTTATTGAATCAGCCATCTACCCTACCATTGTAACTTTCATTCCGCATATTTTATTGTAATATAATGGGTAAAAAAGTGCGATAAAGCGATTAATTGCAACAATTCCCGAGAAGTATTGGTTACCCACATATAAAGTGTTGGCAGTTGTTATTATTAATGTTTCCATTACATGCGGATATATATTTTTACCACTAAATATATTTCTTGGTTGGATTAAATGTTTATTGGAAGCTTACGCTAATGTAACTGGAAAAAAGTCAATGAAAAAAACGCCAAACAAAATGTAAATATTGATAAGTGCTCGAAACAAGCACACGAGATTGAACGATGTTCGCTCACTTTGGACTTTAATAAATGAAAATACAATCAACGAGTTGGTGGTAATTCCAAAAATCGAGCACTGTAAATACATTAGTTTCTGCGATTTTTTCTATATTAATTGCTGTTGTTATTAGATATTCAAACCAATAATTTGAAAAAATTATGCTCTGCATAATTAAATATTCTCACCGCTAGCATTAAAAGTGCAGCGACAAAAGAAGTTCCATCAGTGTAGTCATAAATAATAGAATTATTCATCTTAGCGACTTACAGCTATAATAAATGAATGAAAATAATGTCTAGCGGGCAAATCATGATTACAAGGTTTTGGGGGCGATATTTGTTGTTAAATGATCTTTATTTCCAAATAACGCGTTGTCCTGGTGGCGAGAAAATTGCTGCACGATTTCCACTTCTAAAAAATACCTAAGGTGTGCCAGAATACGAAATTTGCATTGTTGATGTCAGATGATTTCTCAGGGGCGGCGTGTAAGGATTTGAACTTGGTGATTTGGCAACACAATTTACGCTGCGTATCAAAAAATATGCAAAACTATAATATAAATCAAACGTGTATGCAAAAAAGTTGTTAACTTCGCCCTAAGAAACAAAATTTCATTCGGCTTAGATTCTTGGGGATTCGTTGACTGCTTTCGGCAATATTTCATAGTATGTAGAATACATTAAATGAAATATTTATCGCACAAAATAAAAATATAAAATATGCTAAAAATTTCAAACATTTTCTAGAGATCACTTCTGCAATTCACAATTATTTATAATTTATACGTATCCATTTTTTTTTGATATGAAAAAGGTGGATGTTTACTTTTTTCAGTCAAAGTCTAAACGGGTTTTGTTCGGATTTAAAAGTGACCTTGACAGATGAGATGAACACTTTGAGGATCCAAATTAAAAAGAACAATTACAGAAACCCATCATCAAAGAAAGAAAATGGCAATAAGCCCAATTAATGTCACTGGAGAAAAGACGCGCGATGAGTGTCCGTGAAGCAGTCGAGCTTCTTTCCAATCATCCCAAGCAAGTAAGTTTTGGTCCGGCGAGTTTGGCTCTAGTTGGTCACAATTGATACCACAATGAACATTGAATCGAAGCCTTTCACAAAGACAGCGAGTGACAAGAGACTGAAAAAAAAAGATTAAAATCGGGGATATATCTAGAAAAATTACGTGATAACAGTTGGCTTGATGAAGAGTATACATTTCGGATAATGTTGAGCGCACTACAAGACACTCTCGCTCTTTGTCAGTTTCATCATACATAAGCAACTTTCGCGAAGTGTCCATTTTTATCCTGAATATTTTAAATATCCAAACATGAAAATTTTTAGTACATTCTCTAGATCATTGAAATTCAAATCTTCTTGCAAATGTTTTAAATATTCTTTATTTACTACGTCATTGAATCCAGATGACTTCAAAAGTTTCACCTTCAACTTTCGCTCGCAATATACATCTTATATATATTCATATATGAATGTAGTGTGCTCATCGTTATTCTTGAGCTTTATCAAACCTCACACTTCATGAAACATTTTAAAAGTGTTATGGGTGTGTGTAGATGGGTGCGTTGATGCATCAATGAACATATTCGAAATTTAGCATGCTATTTTCAATATTATTCGTACCAAAAGTTATGAAGAACAATGGTTGTAAAAATTTCTTTTAGAAGCTGCTTCCGGGGGAAGATGACCAAAAAACAAAAAATTTTAAATCGATGTCAAACCTTAGAAGACGGTGCCGATCGAATTGTGGATAACCAACAGATGGTTTCATTTGCTCTTCACATTGTGCCATTATATTTTGTACATGATCGCTTGAGCAGTTCTTGCTCTTGCTTAATGCACACTGAGTTTGAAGATAACCTAAGGCACTAATTAATTGCACGGGGGTTGGAAAGCTTTGCGCAGGCGGTGCGCTAAGAATCGGTAACGTCTGAAAAAGAGAATATCAGAAAAGCTTATGAGTGTTTTAGAGAAACCCCTTGAATTTTATGTTTGCGACTGGACTGACATCCAATGATCGCTTGCCTATAACCCTGTGCTCCAACTCGCGCAATAGATGCCGAATCACATTTCCCGACACGCGATTCGAAACATTCATCGAGGAACTGAAATTCAATTGTTTTCATTTGTCATTGGTTTCATTAGAACTATACCGTATAATGAACGCATCTGAAAGAAATTTCGCGCTGCTGACACACTTCAGAAATCATACCAAATAGTTCAGCAAAACAGCTCACGGCTAATGTTGAGTTGCACTTGGCATTTCTGAACAAAATTAATGTTGGTTTTTTGTCACTCCCTCCCCCCTTTCTTACATTCGTTTCTGTTTGAAATATGGACACCTACACTTTTAAAACGAAACATATACTGCAAATAATTCAGTTTTGAAATTGAATATGTGGGGGAAGCCCACAAATAATAACTTTGTATATGCTATATTTCGATTCGAAACCCTATGCATTTTAAATCTGGATTTTGTGTCCTTATGCATAGCTTGTGGTTTTGTTCATAATTAGAAAGAAAAGTGAAATTGCTTTTTTTTTAAGCCAAGGCAAGAAAATAAATGAAACTGGTTATTAATAGAACAAATCTTCGTTTGTATTACAAGAGCAAACTCGAACACAATTTTTTTAATGAGTAGTTTCGCAATTCAATTTGAAAATAAACTATATAGCAATTTCAATTAGCCCAATACTCACGGTGGCACGTAGGATCGAATGATAAATGCGGTCGAAAGTTGAATAATCGCTGACGATATAATGACAAAGACGGCACGCATGAAGACATTAGGTTAACTTTGCACCGACATCTACTCTCTAATTATTCCAAGTTGCAATCGTGGAGAAGAGCCTGTAAGAAATTGATTAGAAGATTACTAATTGGGAAGAGAATCAAAGCTAATTGGAAGAAATGAATGAATCATAGAATGCGCAAAATGGAAAAGTAGAAAGCAAATATTCCAACAAACAAATGTTCCTATAAATCGAATAGATAATATTGTGAGAGTTTTATCATGAATGTATGTTTTCACATATTCGTGATCCATCATCCACAAATCCCTTTTTCAAATACTTGTCTTCTTATCTTTGCCGTCAGCATGACAACCGACAGCTTTCGAAAAAAAATTCTTCATCGAAGCTCAGCGGAGATGATTGCAGGAATGATGATGAAGAGGGAAAAATTTGTTTTCAGGAACAAAAATTTTGCTTTTTAGCCTCAAGTTCATCGCAAAACCATATGAATTAATTATTAGATACGTATAAATCTCATAGGCAACAAATATGTGTTCAAGGTGTTTGCAATAAATAGGAAAATAAATAAGAAATTGAAATTTTGAAAATTTTAATCAGTTTTTGAAATCGAATAATGTTTGATGTTTAAAAAATCGACATCACCCAGTTAAGACCATATTTGCATACGTATAGCCAACCGGAAAAAAAACCCGAATTTTTTCTGAATTAATATTCGAATGAAAAAGTGGAAGAAGCTTGAAGAACAATGGTACCCAAAAAGAAGGGAATATGAAGGTTCTCCTCACATTTTCGTGCATGATGGGCAATGTCCTACTCGAACATAAAATAATGAATAGTTGAAAAAGGAATTCTCGAGAAAAATAGAAAAAGTGCCCAAAAAGGTACAGGATGAGAGAACAAATAAAGAAAATGGATAATGTTTCATATCCGCTAAACTTTTAAGGCCAACACCAATTTCATCGAGATTTTGTGAATTTTCGACGGTGGAATTCCGAAAAAATAATGAATGCTGCTTTGTGTCTTTCATGTTCTTATTATAACATTGTCAGTATTCTTTATTAGAAGGAAGACGAAAAGGAGAAAAAAAATTTGATTCAATAGAAGGAGAAAAGAATTGGTGGATATAAGGATTCCTTTTGGCTGCTGAGGACAACACATTTTTTGTCAGCGCAATTTTGTACTTGCCAATGTGAGATTTTACGCGTAATAAATGAGTTTGGCCGCCGCTGAGAAACATGCGATATCCGAAAATCGAAAGGATTGTATGACGGAACACATCGCGACAAAAACATTCAGAAGATAAACGTGCGTTTCCGTTGCTCGAGGTTGGTCATTTTTTATGAAAAAAAAAATAAGAAACGAAAGGAAAGAAAAGGAAGACAAACTATACGAGCACCTTCATATTTTTGGTATTGTCATTTTTTAGCCCTCGTAGAGAAGCGAGCCTAGCTTTTCTAGAATACTGCGCATTGAAGGCTCAGAGAAAATTAGGTCGGCTTGTATTGGATATGCTTAATCGGAACTCCTCTCTTTAATAATAGTTTTTAAATTTTTTTTTGTTTTCAGCTTCAAAAACAAATTATTTCCAGAATAGAATCTTTATAAGTACTTAAACTTTTTATGGAGTGGTAATATACTAATGTTCATTGTTCACTCGTCTGTAGACGAAAAAGTGCAGATTTGCGAAGAACCCATATTCTGAAACTTCAAAATCTTTAATACTTGATGAGAACTACCTAATCTTCTTTATTTCTTTTCATATAATTTCATAAAACGATCGTTTTGAAATGTGCGATTTTTGGTGATGTCACTAAAAAAGGAAAACAAAATTTCAAGTTTTTTTTTGAATTTTCATTGAACTGTTATTTCCGTTAAATCCTATCGAAAAATAAATAAGCGACTAGTATAATATCAAAAATTATGCTATATTCAATACTTGGGGATTTAGAAAAAGCAGGAAGCGAAACCAATCCAATCCAAGCTTATTAGGAGAGCTTCATTTCATTCGAGTAGTTCAAAAAAAAAAAACACAAAACGCTTGCCACCAAACTAATCAATGAAGACGTATTCCCCGGTGCCTCACGTTTTTTGTTCTGATTTTCCAATTAAACCGAACAAAAATGAGAAAGTGTGCGCGGATGAGGGGGAAATGAGAAGTTTTCGACGAAAGTTCAAAAAACTTGCGAGTGCCGCCCATCGCTGATGAACATCTTTTATTGTTTTCATTAATTCTGTATTCAGCACAAATACATAAAAATTTGTCATTCGAAAAAAATATGCAAGTGTTTGAAAACATGTTTGCATTTTGCTTTCAGGGAATATTTGCTTCGGTGTCGACAATTAATTTTAAAAACGAACGAAAATAAATGAATTTTCGACGCTGCCAAAAATTGTAAGCTTCAAAAATTTATAGTCGCTGGATACATCTGAATGTGAATTCAGGACAAACATCGCTATTGAATGGAAAATACCAGATGTTGATAACAATAAAATCATATACGGGAGGTGGGTGATTAGAAGTAATTCATCATGGAAGATCAATCGTATCCTTCATGTTCAAATCAAAACGAAAACCGAATTGAAATGTTATTCTATTTAATGAATGAAGACAGAACAATGTTAATTTCATTTGTGCTTCATAATATTAGGTTTTTATATTTATACTCATCAGTATTTTCAAAAGCGAATCCAGTTCTATTTTTATCCCAATGAGCTATTACGTATAAAAATGGAAAGGCTTTACTAAATTAGAAAACGATATATTCAACAAGCAGGAATGATTTGGAAAAAATTGTGGAATGAAAGAAGAAAATTTATTATCATGATAGCTCTTGCTTAGAGTTGTGAAAAATCATTGGTCTTCAGGTGCTTTTTGAAAAATACCACCGTTCTCTTGTTATTTGATATCTCATGTATGAATATGACTGAAAACAAATATAAAGATTTAATTCTTTTTTTTTAGAAATCTATGCATCACATAATATCCTCTTTAAACTAAATACCCTAAATATTTCTAGGAACAGGAGATTAAAAATATTTTAATTCTTGAATGAAATAATTTTCTCAACGATTTTAAATCTCTTGTACAAATTGCATTCTAAAATGCTAAAAATGGTAGTTATGTTTGAAAAAAAACTGCTGAAATAGATTGTTAGTGAGTATGGATAATGAATTACTATGTGTGATGAAAACCCCCGATTTCAGTAAAAAATGATGAATATTTCAAGTTATGTACTACGAATTATATATTCGAACACGGCAATTTCAGAAAACAGAAATTGCTACCGTGAGAAATATTTGCCAATAGATATGAATGAATGCGTTAGTCGGTGGCAAAAAAATATGATTTGTTTTGTTCTCCTGATGAGGATGGTGATAAAGATTAGAGAGATTTGTGGGCACATGAAAAAAAAAGTGAAAACCGCAGATAAAATGGGATTAACAGCAACGAAAAATACGGATGAGGATCGCTATCACCGCGTGTTGGGTTGTTGGCAGCAAAGTAAGGGTTTTGCCTTCGATTCCCACACCCATTGCATATCTACCTAATTATTCGACATTGTCCGTTGGGCCAGTGCCTGCTTGCTTGCGAAACTAACCAGAGACAATAAATGTACTCGGCTAAATAGAAGAAATGCATTTAATGCAATTTGCATCACTTGTTTTTTATTCAATCATACAAATACTTTTTCCAAAAAAATAAAATAGATAATACTATAATATATAATAGGAATAATAAAGAAGGCGGAATCGGAGATGAAGATGGGCCTAGACGATTAAACTTTCCGGGCCATTCAGCTCCGATGTGAGTATTCATACGCGAGACAAATGCATGCAATTTTGATGCTATCAGATTTTATTGATAATATCTTTTGTTAATTATTTGATATTTTTTATCATGAATTTTGATCAAAAAATTGAAGCAAACTCGTATATTTCAGTTTATTTGAAGAGATAAATAGGCGTTATTAATAAAATTGTAAGGATTTGTGTGAATACTCACACAATTGTTTGCTTTTTGACGCTTGTAAAGCTGAAAATAGTAAATGGATACACGACAGAAAAAAAAAACAATTATACATTTGTCAGAAATCAACTTGGTTGAATGGAATTGTGGAAATGTGCCAGTGGATACAAAATCCAACTTTTTTTTTTAATTTTAATGAATCAGCAAACGCAAAAGAGTTTTTACATGATTGTTAGTCTCTGAGAAATTCTATAATTTTTATTATCAAATTTCGAATTTGACTAAGCTTCCTTGAAAATGAAATATTATAGTGAAATTTCGAAAAGCTATTGGTACTATGCCGATAAAAAAAAATTTAAAAAAAACTCTAAAGCTTTGTTCAATCAGTTTTGTGTGTTTTCTTCTGAAATCTGAATATTAAACCCACAAATTCTAAAATGTTATATTTTGTTAGGAAATTTATACAAAATAATTTGTAAAATTAGAAATTGTATCGAAAATTTTTTGCCATAATTGCAAAGTGTCTCAATTGCAAAAATATTAATCATAAACTTGCAATTTTTATTTTTAAGACATGCTGAAAATTTAATGAACAGAAAAAGTGCACCAATATTAATTCACAATATTTTCTCATTTTTGATCATTTACTGAAGTTGGAAAATAACGAAAAAAAAGTATTGGAAAAATAGATTGAAAGATCATTGATATTGTATTCTTTGAATATTTAAGTGCGAAATATATTTCTCGCAAGTCTCGAGGACGGGTATCACTTGCATTTCTAATCAATTCGATGAACGTTCAATATTAAAAGGTTTCGAATAATTAGAAGAAGCAGAAAAAGACATGTGAAAAAGAATGTGCAATAGAAAAAAGGGGAAGCGATTCTGTTTAATTCATGTTTGAATTTCACTAATATGTAATAGAATTTGCCGTTTTGTTTCTTATATATAAATCTCGTACGTCTGGGAATTTGATGAATTATTGCGCGTTGTGAATAACACATCGACACTTATTCGTGAAATTATTCCGGAAATTTAAGTATTAAGTGGAAACTTTGAGACTTGAATCAAAACAAACAATTTATTCCAATCAAAAGTGTAAGCTTTATTTTTGGTTGGGTCATTTGTTAAACACATTCGATCTAATATTCATAGTGTCGGCTCCTCAAAAATTAATTTTTTTAGCCTCGTGTAGACGGCGACGAACAATTTGACGTGTTCGGTTGTGGTGGTTGATGCTGAAAATAATAGCAATAATAGTAATAAGACCACTTAAAATTATTCATTTTTTCAGAAAATATGGAAAAATAAAAAACAAAAGAAATTTGTTTTTGAAATAGTCTCTTGCCACTCAAAAATACCTGAAATTATTGGGGATCGGATTCAAATTTATGTTCTTTTCTTTCAAACTATTTAAAAATCACATTTTTTTGTCAAATATTGTAAATGTTTCTCCATTACTTGAGAAAAGGATCGAACCGGAGATTAGAACAAGGTCCTCTTCTTTAAAACAAAAATCATTCTATTAAAAAATCCATTTACATTGATTCGTTCTTATTCTTCACCTATAAAAACAATAGTCTCATTATTTTTTGTTTAGTCAGCAAAAAAGATGGGCCGAACCGGGGATTGAACCCGGGACCTCTCGCACCCAAAGCGAGAATCATACCACTAGACCATTCGGCCACATTTTGCAAGGCGGCTTTGGGCGGTGAAGAATGTGGGAAACACGAGACGCGCAAAAGAAACGCTCCTCTCACTCTGTGATCAAAGTTTTGCTGCGCTTCCCACACGAAACAGGAATAGCGTTGTTCTGAATCATTAATATAAACTTTGAAAAGAAAACTTCTTCCTAATTAAAAATTCAAAAAAGTAACAAAATTGCAGAAAAGATTTATGAACTCGCTGTTATTGAAACTGAAAACCTAAGCAGCGAACCAATAATTTTGAGTTGTTTTTCGTAGTTTAATATTTTAAAGTTTTCCGCATGTTCATTTAAAACTCTGAATTATAAATTTTCCGATTTTCAAGAATTTTTTTCATTAATTTACCGCACATTGATTTCTATGATTCAAAAAATAGTTTATCAATTAAAAAAAACGTTGACAACAATATATAGAATAATGGATTCTTTATTTCTATTTCGAACAGATTTCGGCAAAAAAATGATTGCGACTGATGGCGAGATGATCTTAAATTTGGGCAACATTAAAAAAACCGAAAAAAAAGAATCACTAGATGTATTTAAGGAATCGGACTTTGTTTTTTTTTTGAGGTAAGTATCGGAATTCGGAATACATTTTTCGACTACTTTTTTCAATCAAAAATGCAAAGAATGAAGGCGGTGCTAAAAAAAACAGAAAAATTAAATCAAAATACAATGGAATATTCAAACTAAACAACAAAAGAAATTAAACGCACTGCGAAAAATATTGAGGTAGCTTAATATCTTAGTAGCGGATTGATATAAGAAAGATAAATTTTAGAGAATCACACAAAATTTGAAGGGCAAGAATGAAGGATTTGACGGGATATTGACAGTGCAAAAAGGTGTTCAAATTATTCAAATTTGCCATAATATGCAAATTTGGTCAAATGTGGGTGAAGATATCTCGCCCACTTTTATTTATTTGATTTATTAGTGATAATGATATTGATTGAGAATGCTAGTAAATAATGAATTAACTGCACTCGGTTCTCCTGAGGGAAAGAAACAATGAGGTAAGATTGAGGAAATCCGGGGAACCATTCCTCCCTGAGTTTAGCATTGAGAAATCGAGCAATGTATAGAACTTTTGAGAAAAGGGATTAATGAAAGAAGTCAATCCAATATATGACATCAAAACAATAAACAATTAAATCTATTAGAAGCCAAGAAATTCATTTCCATTATTGGAATCATCGCCATCGACAACTGTCTTTTCTTGGCCGTCACATACGTCAACGACGTTGTTTCCAAATCCTGGCTGGTCAATCGAGACATGAAAAATGTGCTCGCGAACCACCTAAATACTACTATTTTCATCATTCAATTACATTCAAACGGCTCACTTCTGGAGATTGTTCGCGCCATTTGGCCTCAAAATTTTGGAGATGTTGAAGAAAATATTTTATTGGAATTATCTTCTGGAATTTCTTTGGAAAAATTTCGAGAAGTTCCAATGATCGTTCTGTTTTCAAGTTAATGTCGCTCGAATTATTTTCTCCAAATGCTGCCATAAGCTGATTTGCCTAAAAAGATGAGATTTGTGAGATTTTGCTCAGCGGTTTCGTATTACCTTATTAGCGAAATGATTTGCGCAGCAATTATTGCGCACCATCAAATATGCTTCAGTTGCTTCCTGCGGACTTACTTCACCAGTTAGAATATCACAGTACAATAATAAAACAATATCGGATTTATTGACTCTTTCAAAAGCTTCTGAGTGCATGAGAAGACCGCAAACAAAGCAGCGGCGGCATCCAGAATCGTTTTCGGCGTTCAAGAAGAGATCAAATTCCCGATTTTCCTCTTCCATTTCTTCTTCTCCCTCTTCGTTGTCGTCTTCGTCGTCTTCGCCTTCTTCTTGAGCATTTTCGAAATCATTTTCCTCTTCATTATCTTCATCTTCGCTGACATCAGGATTGGAATCAGATCTAGATAATTGCACAATCTCGTTGCCTTTATTAAAGTCTTACTCTTGTGAGACCCGAGAATTCGGAGAGTCTAGAAATAATGGGTCAAAGAGCGTATTCCTATCATAGTTGATATTTTCGAGTTCAGCGTCGTTGACGTAAATATTATTGTGTTGAAGCACAAAAACTCGTGCCTCTTGAGGCAAAAAAAGCTGTGGAAATAATAATAGTGGCATACCGGCGTCCGAGGACCCAACGCTCATTTTAGGTCTGAAAATTACGGATAAGTATTGTTTGACAAAAATATTGCCAGAAGAGAAATGAAAAACAATTAATGAGATGCGAAAATAATAAATAGAGAAAAAGGAAATGGACATTTCTACGGTATCCCCCTTTGGTTAATTAAAAAAAAAGGACTTCTGGGAATATTTTGTGACTTCTTCAAACGAGCGCTTCAATACAACACATCTGTGCAGGATTTTGGAGAATATTGTATCGAGGAAATAAGTAGGCTCACTTTGCTCTTATTCGAGATGATTGGAATTATAAAAAATCTCATTCCATGAGATTATTCCAAGTAATCAATTATCAAATTCACTGGAAATTGAGGTATATTCTCAACAGATGAATTCGATTTTTTAATGGAAAATCGAGAAAACCGTGAAGGAATTGTGGAAAAAAAATCAACAACACGTATGTGTTTGCTTACGGCGAAGTCCTTCAAGTTTTCTTTCAAACTCCGTTAAAGCAAAAAGCAAACTTTGAAAAAACAACATCCAATGAAAAATTGATACTGCACAATATTTTGATGGTCATTTGAAATAATAATGCAGTCGTGTTTGAAGCTACGTTTTGATGTTTCGAATCGTCATAGAAACCAATCACTATACGATTCGAAAATACAAAAAGAGTGGTGAATCTGTATTAAATAAATAAATATTGCGGCGTGTAACATTTCTCTCTCTCTCGCTCATTTGGGCTGATACGAAAGGAAAGTTTTGCCTCAGCCAAGAATTGCTAAAACTACAAGGGCAATTAGTAGTGGCGCTCAAAGATGGTTGATGTGTTTACAAAATATATGGCGAGTAATTTAGGGTTGGTTGGAAGAATGCTGAATGTTTATGTATTGAGAATCGATGGGAAGCATGGCGCAATGCCAAAACAAATAAAACTTTCTGCAACAGAATTGAAAAATGAGGCGAATTCAGCTTTCCTATTAAGGACTAATTAGGAGAGAGGAGGGGCTCGCCGATAAACATGTTTCTCTGCTTCACAAGATGAATGTGAGCAGGTGGCTGGCACTGACGAAATAACATTTCATGCATCTTTGACTCATTGCTATATGCCTGGATGAGTTGATTAGTTAGAAGAGCGATAAACAAATTTGCAAATCAGTAATTATTTGTGGTTAACTAAATAAGTGTTGGCTAAGAAAATTTTAAAAAAATTGATATGATGAAGCGTCAATAATTTTCAAAACAAATTTTAGACAAAAATTTCTGAAAATTTTTGCGACCACACAATGAATTTAGTAGATTAATTACTAAACCTTACATTGTTATATGATTGCACTATTTTGTGTCCGATGCGAATAGATATAGAACAAATGAAGCCAATTTCTGGATACTTACCAAGAATGAAAATGTTCACATCTTGAGATTAACGCGCGCATATGTCGCTTCGAATATGGTGCCATTTGGTGAACGTTGCAGAAAAAATTTAAACGAGAATTTCACACGAAACACATTACAATCGAACAATCGTCAACATTCATGAGAATTACTTAATTTTAATCGAACCAATTCTAAGGTATTAAAAGTATTTGGATAACAGCCAGAAGTCGATTACGAGATAATTTCATCACCGTTCAAACACCATTTGCAAATAACAACTTTATTTGAGTAAATAATATTTTGGCAAATAGGAAAAAAAATAGGAATTGGACCAAATTCAAATAAAAAACAAATTTAATTTTCAAAAACTTCCGTGTCCCCAATTTATTTTTAATGATGAGTTAGATTTTGTTAATTGCTTTTCGCAATTATATAAGTATTATAGAATGAATAACCATACATAGACATGGATCATACATTGGAATGTTATAAGATTGGCATAAGCTTAACAACATGATTCAAATTGGAATGCAAGTTTTTCAGATTATTCTTTTTTTCATATTGCAGCTATTTGGATTTGTGCCAGTCTCACTCAGAATATATAATTAACATTGTCTAACTATTTATTATGTTTGTCCAATTTGTCATTTTCCGACCTTAATTATCTAACTTTTAAACGTAGTTTGTGTTAGGTTGACAATTCTCTTGAGATTTGGGGCTCTTATTTAACCTTATGTTCTCCGATCTACTATTATAAAATTGTCCCTACTTGTGTAAAAATGTGTCTAATTGCCAGGATTGCTTAAAAATGAGAACACATGAGAAGCTGACGGATTAAGTGACCACGAACAATGATTAGCAACTTTCGACTATACTAATGTTGATTTGGCTGTAAAATTTTTCTGATAATTCGCTCTAATTCATTTCAGATTTATTGTTTCAATTATTATCTATTATGGTTAGATTGCTTCAAGCGTCACAAAAGTCAGCCTTGTCAACCTATAACCTACATAGATAGCAATCTAAGCCGCGGGTGGAAATGAGGCACAATGATGAGAACAGAAGATCTCCTAAAAATGCGCACGATTCTATTCGCGATCCTTCTAATTGTTTTATTCATCTCTTCATGTGTTTATGCTGTTTGCTCATCAAGTGAGTCAGCGAATTAAGTAATCCATCAAAAACAATAAATATACCCAGATGACTACTGTCCAGATGGATGGAATGTTCTAAGGCGTGCCGACGGTACTCCGGCGACATGCGACCCCATGGCAGGCAAAACAAAATGCAATAAACCATATACCTGCGTACATTCGAGCTGCGGGATTAGCTTCTGTTGCTCGCACAAATGTGAGTTTTCATTCGAAGTCGTCTCCAAAGTGTTTAATTATTCTGAACTACCTTTTGGGTAAAGCTCAAAGTACAAAATGAAAATAAATAAATAATTTATTTTGAGAATTTTAATGCATGTGTCCTTATGTATATTTCTTAAGGTCTCAATAAGTGGTGTTTAGGTTTAATTTTGGCCTAATTCTATGAGTCTAGTTTGAAATCGCATTTAATCAAAACAACAAAACAAACAGAATCACCTGTAAACAAATTTATTTTTCAGACAAAATTGATGAATTCAAAAGGCAAAAAGAAATCGAAGCTGATATAAGGGAAGCTGAACTTGAGGATGATGATGAACTCTGATCTCTCTCTAATTCCAAAATGTTTATTCACTCAACATTATTTCAAAATAAATTCTTGTTATTCATCGGGATATAATTTGAAAAGCGGCTTGCTCATATCGCTTAAAATCTTTTTCCGCTCGATTTTGATTGAAGATAGTGGCTTAAGATTCATCCTAATGCTCTCATATGACATTATTTTGGATTGAAAATGTTATGGGAGTTGGTGTTTTTAACATAATACATGCATATGACTATTGTTATTCAATGTAAAAACTGGAACTTGAAAATAAAAAACAATGAGTAATAATGGGAGAATTATTAATGTAATTGTTTCATTACAATTTACACTAATCAACTTTTTCATATTTTTTTTAATTCGGGACTATTATTTTTTAAAATTAAATTGGAGAAAGTAAGAATTGAGCTCACAAAGACAATATTTAAAAAAAAATTGGGTTTTGCTGCAATGTTTTTCAAGTCTCCAAACATGAAATTCTATGGAATATCAAAAACCAACTAATTGAATAACGTTTCCGAAAATTATGAATTATTCGGTAGAAGTACTTATGCGTTTGGTGGTTTGATGGAAAACGTAAAAGTGCAGAACTCAATAATTCCGACATTTATTTTATTTTAATCATCTATACTTGGAAAAATTTATATGTACTATACTTCTATATCATTAAAACAAGGCAATGTGTCATTAAATCGTATAGACTGAACAAAATTGTGCTGAAATATTTGGAGAGGCTGAACAAAATAGATGATATAGTGTTCAACTGTCTTCCATCAAAGTTATTCGACCTTGTTAATTCCGTAACTATACGTCGATAACACTGCCAAATATCAAATCATGTTAACTAGAATGTTTTGTAAAACACGAGAATATGGTTTTGTTAGTGAAAGTGTTGTTCAGGTGATTGATAAGAATAGTAGTTTTTGCAATGGGCTTAGGCGTCATTAAACGTAAAAGTATGTTGTTGGCATAAACAACGAAACGAAATTGTTGACTTGATAAAAAAAAGAAGGGATTCCACAATAGAGACTTGAAAAATTTTAAAGAATTGGTTGGGGTTTTGTTTTTTGAGAGATTAAACTGCCAATATATATATACTATAATATCGCGAGTTATGAAACTCTATTACAATGCGAACCATTGGGACGAGCATTTGCGAGGTTGGCGATGAATCTGTCATTCGTTGATTTCAAGATTACCTCAGCGAAAAGTAACATGTGTTGTTACAAACATTACGCAGCAGTTTAATTTATCTTTTGTTCGTTATTTTTTAGTATTTAAGATAGAAAAAAGCCAAGAGTTTTGAAATGAAATAAACGACAAAAAAGGGAAGAGGAAACGTGCTATGAATACACTAGCATTTGCAACATTTGAATTGACTTGTCTCAAAACGTTGCACGACAACAACGCCGAGAATATTCACAAACCCTTAGTTGCGGCGTACATACAGCTAGATGTATTTTTTGACAAATCGCATTATTCAAAGCGGCATATCTCCCAAACACATTATTCTGAAAAGTGTGGAATTTTTTCAAATCTTACACTACTTCGTTTTTTTTTTCAATTAACAACAATATTTATATTGTCATGAAACGCGAGCACACGCAAGAAAACACGAAATGTTTGAGAGAAAGTTGACGATACAGCTAAAAAAAGTCGGATTTCATTAAGTTTGACGTCGCCTTTTTCTTTTCGTGCAAAGGCCCGCAGAAGAAATTGGCTCGTGTCCAACACGCAACTATTCATATTCTATTCATGTATGTCTTTTTTTGACAGATTTGCAGCACCGTGTAAATTGAATGAAAAAAAATGTGAAAACGGATTCGAAACTAACCGTTAATCCGAAAAGATTTTTATTTTTGAAGTATGACATTCGATACACGTCCTGCTTCGCACTCAATAAAATGTAAACAGCAAATCCCTCGGCTAAATTGATAATCTGAGCTTTCATTGAAGAC